AAAATTATTATAATATTAATATTTATTGCTTTATTATTTTAAGTTTAAGTATTATTTTCCCTTATTATAACGCTAAAAATACCCTTATATTACCATAAGGCAAAGCAAAAAGCCTTAAATATATTTAGCTATTTCTTATAATTAAGTTAAGCTTTTATTATAAAAATTAAGCTATTAATTATTAATAATATTTTATATTTATTTAATTAACTTTAAGCCTTTATTATATAAGCTAATTAATTAAATTAAGCAAGAAATTTTATTATCCCCTTTTTATAACATTATTATAATATAATTAAGCTAAGCTTAACATACCTTTATTTAAAAGAGTTTTTAAGTGCAAAGCAAACCTTCTTTAAAAAGCTTTTTAATTACCCTTTAAATATCTTTATAAAATTAATATAAAGTAAAAATTAATTAAAAAAAATTCTTAATTAATTAAATATATAAAAAAATTAAGCCCCTTTAATATTAATTTCTTTTTTATTTATTATAAACTTAGCCCTTATCTTTATTAATTAAGTTGCTAAGTAATTTTAAGATAAAAGTTCCTTAAAATAAAGAAAAACTTAATAAGCTATTATTATTTATTTTAAGTTTTATTATATTAAGTTTTATATAATTATATTATAAGTTTATAATATAAAAAAAACTTTAAATATATATTATAAGCTAGCCTTAAATTATTTATTATAAAGTATTTAAATAAGGTTTATATTTAAAATATAAAAAAAGAAGTTTGCTTTTTTTTATTTATATTTATATTAAAGCTTATTTTTATAAGGTTAAAGCTTATTAATTAATTATAATAAGCAAAGCTTAAATTATAATATAATTTAATATATTAATTAAAATAAGTTAATAAAAAATAATTATTTAAATATAAGTTAATAATTAAATTAATAGCATTTTTATAATTTTTTAATTTAAGCTTTTTATAAAAACTTTTTTATATAAAACTTTAAGATTATAAATTTATTATATAATTTATAATTAATTAATGCTTAATTATAAATAATTTACTTTATTAATAAAGAATTTTTAAATTTTAAATATTTTATAATATTAAATTAATTAATATATAATTAATTTATTTTAAGCTTAAGTTAATATTAAATTAATAAGATTTTAAGCTTTATTTTATAAAAAAAATTTATATTTCCTTAAATAAACTTTTTTTCCTTATTAATTTTAATTAATAAAAGTTATACCCTTATTTTCTTATAATAATTAAAATAATTATACTTATAATAATTAAATTAATTATATATAAAATATTTAACTTTGCTTATTAAAATTATTATAATATTAATATTTATTACTTTATTATTTTAAAGTTAAATATTATTTTTCTTTATTATAACATTAAAAATACCCTTATATTATTATAAAATAAAGTAAAAAGCTTTAAATATATTTAATTATTTTTTATAATTAAGCTAAGCTTTTATTATAAAGGTTAAGTTATTAATTATTAATAATATTTTATATTTATTTAATTAAATTAAGCAAGAAATTTTATTATTCCTTTTTTATAATATTATTATAATATAATTAAGTTAAACTTAATATACTTTTATTTAAAAAGGGTTTTAAATATAAAGTAAACCTTTTTTAAAAAGCTTTTTAATTACTTTTTAAATATCTTTATAAAATTAATATAAAATAAAAATTAATTATAAAAAGTTTTTAATAAATTAAATATATAAAAAAATTAAGCTTTTTTAATATTAATTACTTTTTTATTTATTATAAACTTAGCTTTTATCTTTATTAATTAAATTATTAAATATTTTTAAAATAAAAGTTTCTTAAAATAAAAAAGAATTTAATAAGTTATTATTATTTTTTTAAGTTTTATTATATTAAGTTTTTTATATAATTATATTATAAGTTTATAATATAAAAAAACTTTAAATATATATTATAAGTTAATTTTAAGTTATTTATTATAAGGTGCTTAAATAAAGTTTATATTTAAAATATAAAGAAAGAAATTTATTCTTTATTTATATTTATATTAAAGCTTATTTTTATAAGGCTAAAACTTATTAATTAATTATAATAAACAAAGCTTAAATTATATATATATATATATATATTTTATAAAATATTTAACTTTAATTTATATATAATATATTTTATAAAGTATATATATTATTAAGTTAAGGTTTAATTAAATTATAATATAAAAAAAATTATTTAATAAAAAGTATTTATAAAATTATTATGAAAATAGCTTATTATTTATATTAAAAGAAAGTATATTAAAAAATTATAATTCTTAAAAAGTTTAATAATTAAAAATAATTAAGAAAGTTATATTTATAAATTACAAAAAAATATTTTAAAGCTTTTTAAGGTAATATATAAATAAGTAATTTAAATGCTTTAAAAGTAAGCTTTTTAAAAGTATAATATAACTTTTAATTATTATTACTTTATTTATATTTAATATAGCATTATTTATATTAATTATATAATTAATAAAAAAAATATTTTTCTTTTAAAAATAATATTTATAATAATAATAATAAATAAATAAATAATATTAAATATTATAAATTTAAATAATAAAATAAGTTATAAATAAAAATAATAATAATTTTTATATAATATACTAACTTAATATTTAAGTAAAATAACTTAATTTTTAAGTTATTAAATAATTTTTTTTAAAAAATAATATTTAATAAAATATTATTTATTAAGATTAATAACTAATAATAAGGTTTATAAAATAATTAACTTAATAATTATTAAAATAAAAATATCTTTAAATATTATATAATTTTTAACGTAATTATATTAATATTTATAGCCTTAATTATAAGAATAATAATTAAAAAGCAATATATAAAGGCTATGAAAAGTATTAATTAATTATTATAAGTAAATTTAATTATTAAAAATATTAATAATAATAATAATAATAATAAAAAGAGCGTTTAAGATAAGATTATAAGTTATATAAATTAAATAAGCATAAAAATATTATATAATTAAGTAATTAACGGCTTAAAAAGTATAGAAAAATTTATATTTATAATAAGACATGGCAATAAATATGCTTTTTAATGTATTACATTGTTGCTAAGGTTGGATTAATGTTGCGCCATATTAATTGAGTGGTGGGGCGTTAATCGTGCACTGGCTGCAGCATGTATCTATGTACCCTCCGATTTAATCTGTGCGAATCTCCGTATTCATAAAGAACTAGAAGCAAGCATTCAGTCCCACAACTTGAACCAGTGTACTTTAGATAGCAGAGAATAGAATATAGAACTGCCGCCTACTATTTAAATGTACACTTGCATTTGTAACGTTGAGGGAATTGTATATTACTTATGGCTGTGGGGCCTTTTATGACATTGACATTGAAAAGACTTCTGTATAACTTGCGCTAGACACCGGCACATGGCAAGCTGGGGTAATACTTCATCGCTAATGAGTCTTTCTCACGTATAATGCGCCCCCCTGGTCGATTTAATACCTACCGTATCGATTACACAAACACCTTGGTCGACCTAGGGATCAACTATCGCGTTCCAAGGTTTGGGTATTGTGACAAATTTGCTAATGGGCACTACCTTTTCCAGCCTTTATCCCCTCCAACTCGCATGACACTTTTCACAGATGAACTGATCGCTGTTTCACTCGACAACCTACGAAGTGCGACATACCCGAGGGTTCTGCAATAATCAATCCCATGCTCACTTACTCTAGGAAGATTACTTTTCATGTGTCATGTAACACGCCGGAGTTCTAGGCTTGTCACAGCGCAAAGGTTTGCCTGCTCTGATATCCACCGACATGAGGAAGCCTTCCATCTGGAGACCCCACGTCTCATTCTGACTCATAGGAGAATATCACCTGTTCTCTCCAACACCAGCCCACAACAAATGCTGTCCCAGGCCCAGTCACTGCGGCCACAAGCTGAAGAAGTGAAGACACAATCAGCGACCCGATCCCAACCAACCCAGCCGCGTAAAGATCGAAAAACATATAAAAGAGCCACAGGAAGGAACTCCCAAAGGAAAACACCTCGTCACACTGCAATGTCTTTCTCGTGTGTCCAATGAAATCCAAGTAGACTGTGGAATCCGGGATGAACACATGAGACAGATGATAAGACGAGGAGCAAAGCGTGTATGCCCAGATAGAGCTCGAAATAACACACATAACAGCAAGAAGAGAGCTCGGCGAGGACATAACAATGTGTTTCAAACCCGGTAACGTCCCCGGCCCAGATCTGCCGCACCCCCTGGTCTGCCGCACGAGATTCTCGGTGCAAACGCACCTTAAGACACCTACCTTTAAAAAGCACTTAATTAATTCCCTATTAGTTTTAAAATTACTAAATTTTAAGTTTAATATATAAAAATAAGTTAAAAATTAATTTTCCTTATTTATAAAATTTTAAAATAATTATTAAATTAAACATTTAATATTTATAATAATTTATATATATATATTTTTTATACTTAATAATAAATATTTTTTAAAAAGTTTCTTAATAAAATTATATATATATAAATTTTAATTTAATTTTATTAAATACTTTAAAATTTATTAATATATATTTTCTTTTCATTTTAAGTAGTATAATTTTATATAAATATATAAAAAATATTTTTAAATTTTTTATTTAAAGTTTTCTTAAACGGAATTATTATATTAAAATAATATTATTAAATAAATTATATTAAGTAAAATATTTACATTTATAATAAAATATTATATTATTTATATAATTTTATAAAACAAGAATTTTGCTTAATTTCCTTAATTAAATAAAAAATAAAAAGAAACCTTGAAAAGTATTAATATTAATATATAATTCCCTGCTATTCCTTTATACTTTTAAAGACTTAACTTTACTATTTATTTTATATATATTAAAAGCCGAAATAATTTTAATGAATATTTTACTTTTAAATTATACATACGGTTCTATGGGGATTAAAAAATATGGATTTAGAAATATTAATTTTGATTTATTAAAGGGGACTGAAAAGTGAGTGTTTGTATGGGAAAAGCGCGGCAAATCGGGGGGTGCGGCAGATCTGGGCCGGGGACGTTACGGCAGCGCTGAGGCTGCCCAGCAGCGAGTTCGCGACGCCGATCCAAAGAGGCGACATCTGCCATGCCCAGACCCAGTACTGGCGCGTCTCGGGCTCAGCAGCGGTGAAGACACGCACGACCTCAAAAGTGTGAAGGCCGAGGAAGAGCGGAAGCAGATACAATGCCTGCTCCGACCGGAGCTGCCGGTCCTTGGCCGAGCGCCTCAAGGCCGCCGCGGACGGGGCGAAGGTGACTTGCAAGAAGTAATAGATCGGCGCGACATTCCCGACGCCTAGAAGCTGGGCAATGAATGTGAAAATGGTAATCCTGATAGGAGAATGTGAGCACGAGGATTTGTGTTATTTGCCGCTGCCCAGAACATATTACTTACGTGTAGACTGGTGTCCAGGCGTTCCCGGCACGGCATGACTCCAAGAACCAGACACTGTACATTGGGCCCAGGTCGTTGAGGACAGAGAAGAGCTGCCACCAGCCGACGGCATCCAAGGGGAGGTAGGAGGCCGAGAAGGTGACCGTGATGCCACGCCACATGTCGTCGATGAACGGGATCTTGCAGAATTGGTCAAAAATCTGCATAGTTCCGCCATCCCAATCGATGCGGCCCGCTTCGAGAAATGGTTGCCCATGGGCAACGAGCTTATTTATATCCATGGCGCTCAGGCAAAGGATGGCCAGGCCAAGGAACGGAATTTTTTGGCTGAGACCAGACTCCAGGCACGGACTAAATGAATGTCTACCTATCGGCCAGCACAAAAAAGCCACCCAGCGCCCCTGAAACTATGTTACTTGTATGAGTCTGTATGCTTGATTTGAGAGACCATGCGGTATCCGAATCGAGCTGAAACGGTTTCCCTTTGGTGGTTCAAAACAACTCTGCGCCAAGTCAAAGGGATCTGACACCGAGAACCGAAGGAACCAGGGTCTATTAAACGGGGCTTTCAGCCGAGGCAGGGTACGCCCACCCAGCTTCCAGCGTTAGCCCACTCAATATAACCAAATTAACTGCATACACTCCAAAACATAGGTATAATTTATATTTATTATATTAATATAAGGTATAAAACTTTTTTTATAACTTTAAATTAACTTATTTGTTTCATTATTACTTATTTTATATAATATTTAAATTATTTTAAAATTTTATTATAAAATTACTTTTCGCTATAATTATTAATATTGGAGATCTTTTCGCAGCAATTATTATTACTAAATCACGAAATCTTTATAAAGCACTTATTAACCTGAAATGTAAGTAATGGTAATAAGCTATAAATAAGGAGTATATTAATATAAAGAATTGGAAAGTTTAAGAAGTTATTAATGTATTTTTTTAAAAAAAGACGTTAATAGTTAAGTAAGTATTTAAGAAAAAAATTAAAGGTAATAATAAATGTAATAAATTTAAGGTAAAACTTATTATGCAAGGTTTTAAATAAATCTTTAAATTAAATTTTAATAAAACCTTTACTATTATTATTAAAGCACTTATTTATTATTTCCTTTTAATAATAATTATTATTTTTAAATAAAACTATAGCTAATTTAATGTAAAAATAACATTCCTTAATGCTAAGCTTAAAAATAATATTAAGATTTACCTTTAAAAGCTTAAAGGATATTATTATAATTTAAGGAAGGTCCTTTAATTAAGAAAGAGTTTTTATAATTTAAAGCAAGCCGCTAAGCTATAATATTAAGAGTTTAAAAAGATTTTTACCTTAAATAAATTTAAAGTTAATAATTATAATAAAGTTATATTTTATAAAAAAAAGTTAAATAAATATTTTATAATTTATATAATATATATAAATAATATTTAAGGTTTTAATTAAATTAAAAACCTTTTATGCATTAAAAAAACTCTTTACTTAAAACTTTAATATTAATTATATAAAAGAAATTAAATATTTTCTTAATATTAACTGCAAATAATTAAAGAATAAAAGTATATTTATTTATTAAACTCATTATATAAAATAAATACTGTTACATGGCCTTTGCCATATGGCTAATGTACGTATATACATGGTTGTGCAATTGCGTCTGTATTCATTATTATCTCTTGCTAACTATTAAATCAACGGCTTTTGCAAGGTGGCCAGATAAGGCCACTGTACCAGTTGGACGGGATGACTAAGCCCATCTTATTAAGGGGATAGCGTACGATCCAATGGAGTGTTATTTCAACAAATATTAAAGAAGTTTTATATATAAAATGCATATTTAATTTTTATTTTAATAAAACCAGGAATATTAATAAAGCTTTATCTTAAAGTTAATAAAGTTATAATTAATAAGGTTAAATATATTTATTAATTATAAGTTAAATTACTTATTTATTTAATAATTAAAATTAAACTTAACGTTATAAAGTTAATAAAAATACTTAAGAAATTTAATTTTAACTTAAATTAAAAGCATATAATTTTACTTAATTAAATATAAAAATATATTAAACATTTTATAAATTATAAAATATTATATTAAAAGATTAAAAATTTAAAAATCTTTATAAATAATAATTATAATAATAACTTAAAGAACTTAAAGATTAACTTATACTTTGCTTTATATAAAGAAATAAAAATAAGTGCGTTTCTTTTTAAAGATTAAGAGATAACTTTCTTTTTAAGTATTATTATTTAATCTTTAATTAACTTTAAGGTAATTTAAAAAGCAATTTAAGTTAAGAACTTTTTAATAAAAATTAAATTTAAAGAAAAACTTAATATAAAAAATAGCGTAATCCTTAAAATAAATAATAAGTTAGCAATTAAGCTTATAAAAAACCTTAAGTATTATATAAAAACTAAGTATATATATGTTAAATACTACTTTATTTAAAAAGCTCTTTAAATTAAATAAGTTAAAGTTTAATAAATATTTACTTAAAAGATAATAATAAATAAATTAATAAAATTATTAACTTACTTAATATTTAAAAACTTTTGCAAGAAGCTTAATATAAAAAGGCTAGTTAATAATAATAATAATAATAATAATAATATTTAAGAAATAATTCCTAAGAGTGGAAATATTAGAAAAAAGAGCTCTTAAATATTTCCAAAATATCTTAAAGTATGCTTAAAAAGGAATAGGCTCCAAAATGGAAGCCTAAAGGATGAAATGACTTACTTTATACTTAAGGACTGGCTATTTAAGCCAAAGGAAAGGAAGAAACGTGATATAAGGGTGGAAAGGAAGCTATATAATAAGCTTATATTATATTTAACTTTTTTATATAATTAAATATATATTTTAAAGATAAGCTTTTATTTTAGTTTTTTTAAGGCTTAAATTATTATTATAATATTATAATTTATAACTCCTTTTAAATATCTTTTAATAATAATTTAAGGTAAACTTAAAATAAAATAATAAAATTAATTATTATTATTTTTAGTTAATAAAAGATTTTAAAAATAATAAATAATTAAAAATAGTTAAATCTATTTATTTTCCCTTTATTAATAAATAGTTATAAGCTTAGGCCCATGTTTATTCCTCTGAGTATTATGCATGTAGCCACTTAATAAAGGGACCCAGGGCACTCTGCAATTTTGAGCCTGGATCTTGTTAGAGCAAGAAAAACAAAAGAATTACACAGCAAGGGGAGGGCAAGAGCAGGGGGGCCCAAGCAAAAAAAAACGAGGAGCAACAGCCCAGAAGAAGACCTAGCCAGAGCTACCTGTGTCCAGCTCAATACTTCATAATCATCTAAAGGGAAGAGTTATATCCCTGGCCTTATGCACATTAATCCACGCTCGGAGGGTGTAGATGCATCTATTTTCCCTCTGTAGCTAAGTGGTAATGAGCCCGGAATAAATTGATTACGGTAAGTTTTGAAAGATTGAGATATAGCAAAGTTAAAACAGAGGGTATCAATCGAGCAGTTGTATTTGCATGTATGACTTTATGAGAAGGCCCAGAGTTTTGCCTGTAGACTATCCTCTGCCTGCGAGCCTGCATTATGCGGCAGGAATATCCTTTTGGGAATCTGAAACTCTACCACTGGCGCTTTTCTGATGTTCTTCCCCAGCTCCGCCTCGAGCAGGCTAGCGTACGAATGGTCGAGGAAGTCCTCCATGTTGTAAAATTGCTTGGTGAACTGCTCGGACACAATCTTAGCGATAGTGGCAACATTGGGATGGTAGTGCGACTGGAGCTGCACAATCTCCCAGATACAGCTGTCGATGGCGTGCGTCTCCATGGGATCCTGCACGTCAGGGTCGAAGGGGTCATCCATGCCCTCTGTCGCGAGTTTTTCTCTCTCCTCCTCCGTCCGTGGGACCCGGTGTATCATGAAGGTGGTGGTCGGGTGCTTCTTGAAGAGGTTGTACATCCAAGGAATGATAGTAACGATGGCACTCGGTGGTGCGTTCAGACTGAGCCGTGCCAGGCGCTTGATGAAGCTTGCCACGAGGGCGGCGGGCAGATGCGAGGAGGCGAGGAAGATGTCAAGGAGGCGGAAGAACCGAGAGCGATACTTCGAGTGAAGTATGTCCGCATCCAGCAGGGAATACAGCTTGGTGTAAAACGCCGGGTAGTCGAGGTTCCGCTCCTGGATGAGGTAGAAGACACCGGAGAGTGCAAGCAGGGACATGGAGCCTCCTGAATTGTAGCAGTCGGTAAGGAAGTCCATCAGCAACTCTGGCTTGGTGAACCACGGCGCAATGACCCTGGACATGATGTCAAGCAGGCGTTTCCTCTGGTCCCTCGTCATGTCCCGGCCCATTAGAGCCAGCCATGCGTCCTGCGCCGCTTTCTTGTGTTTCGAAACCGAGAAGAGCTCGTGGCCCTTTTGCTTCTTTGTAGGGTCAACGTAAAAGTCGACAAGCTCCTCGCGGGATTGTGGGACGCCTTCGATTGAGGACAGCAGCTCGAAGACCGCCTCAAATGACCCGTCATGTTCTGACCCCGACCCCGGCCCCGGCCCCGACCCCGACCCCGATCCTGACTGTGCGCCTTGCTCCGCAAGCTTGTCTTGGATGGCCTTGAATGTATACAGCCTTATGTCATCGTACTCGTCGACAAACTTTTCGACAAACTCCCTCCGTACCTGGTCAGCCCCGGGGCGGCACAGCGCGGCCACGACATCTCTTAGAAGCACCTTTGGGAAGCTGTGCTCGTCGCCCTCACGGTAGGGATACTGGCCGTGGGCCTTGAGGAGCCGCATGGACAGCGTCAGGGCGGTCAGAGCGTGGTCGTCGCTGGTGAGGAACGACAGCAGGACTTCGTGGTATTCGGCCAAGCGGTCCCTGAGCCAGTGCACTAGGATGACATCCTTCTCGGCAAGGTTCTTCCTCCTAAGAAGACTGCCTGCAGCAAGGAGCCTGATGAAGACTCTGCAAAGAGCCACGGTGGCGAGCAGTGCCTCATCCTCGTCATTGTCTTGGACTCGGGCGATGTGGAGCAGGGCGGTGATGTTGTTGTAGTTTCGTTTGGATTCGAGGATTGCTGTCTCGAGAAGCAGGATCTTGGCTTGGGGATCGTCGCCCTCGCCGTCGTCTTCGGCTTGATCGTGGGCGCTGCTCCCGCTGTCGGATCGTGCGCGTTTCTTTGGCGGCTCGGTTGTATCTGGTCTCTTCCGTTTCGACGTCTTTTCCTCCGCTCCTCGTCGTCCAGTGCGCACTCCCACTGCAGACGGCATTGTGTGTGGTACTGCTGCTTCAGAGTGCTATGGGTCCTTTGCTAGAGGCCGCAGTACGGGTAACAGAGTCCAGGTCCAGGACTGGTCCGCCAGCAGTCGAGTTGAATGGGTCAGTCAGATATAGGTCGAAGTTCGCGAAAAACATAAAAAAACGGCCCCACCTGCTTGTGGCAGCCACCAGGCATTGGGGGACCAGATGGGCTGGGTACTCTGGTACCTTGGCTAGTGTGTGAGGGCGGTGCTAACAGGAAAAGTACCATCAGCTAGCGGTTTGTGGCCTTGACCTGGGCGGCCTGTGTTAGTGGGCAAAGCTCAAGCTGCTAGGCCCATGGACAGGGTACCTAGTTGCCTGGCTAGTGGGCACCTCAGGTACTCCTAGGCGCTTGCGGGTTGCGTTCCCGGCCCAGCAAGCAAACCTCTGTCGGAGCGAGGGCAAGCGGCTCCGTCAGCGCCCGACAGCAAAAGGACCTGCGAGAAAGTGTCTCAACCTCACACCAACATCCGCCCAGACCAGGCCCGACACCGCAAAACCCGCACCACTCCGTCTCCCACCACATCACAATGGCGTCCCGCTTGGCTAGAACCGCTGTCGGTGAGTTGCTCCGGACCACAACGATTGCCCTCGGCGCTCCTGCCAGCTCAATTGGCGGGCTCCGCGACCGAGGCCGCGACCGAGAGACTGCGATTGAGGACTGCAATTGAGACTGACGCGCTGTGTTCGCTTTCGCCGTCGCAGGGGCTGCCCGTCTGCGGCCTTCCATCCTGCCCCGATCTCTGCCCGCCCTGGCCTCGTCCTCTTCCGTCATCAACGCCGCCAGCGCCCGCTACTCGTCCAACGTGCCCGCCGAGGACCCCAAGAAGAAGGCCGCGTCCATCCTCGACGCCCTTCCCGGCAACTCGCTCGTCTCCAAGACCGCCATCCTGTCCTCCGCCGCCGGCCTGTCCGTCTACGCCCTCAGCAACGAGTACTATGTCGTCAACGAGGAGACCATCGTCGCCTTCTGTCTGTTGAGCGTCTGGGGCGCCCTCATCAAGTACGCCGGTCCCTCGTACAGCGAGTGGGCCCAGGGTCAGAGCAAGAAGATCGCCGGCATCCTGAATGCCGCCCGCTCCGACCACACCCAGGCCGTCAAGGACCGCATCGAGAACGTCAAGCAGATGGAGGGTGTCGTCGACGTCACCAAGAGCCTGTTCGAGGTCTCCAAGGTATGCAATCAATGCTGCCGAGGGCCCCAGCCCCGGACGGCCAACCCTTCCTCCTCAAAGCGCACCGCAACCGTACATCTTCTGACCACGTCGCTATAGGAAACCGCGAAGCTCGAGGCTGAGGCCTATGAGCTGGAGCAGAAGACGGCCCTGGCTGCCGAGGCCAAGGCCGTCCTGGACTCCTGGGTCCGTTACGAGGGCCAGGTCAAGCAGCGCCAGCAAAAGGAGCTGGCTGATTCCATCATCGCCAAGGTCCAGAAGGAGCTGGAGAGCCCCAAGGTCTTGCAGCAGATCCTGGCGCAAAGTGGCTGATGTCGAGAGTGCGTTCATCCTGGCGATTCATCTACTAACCCATTGCGCCTCCCCGTTCACTGACAAGACTCGCAGAGATCGTCTCCTCCAAGGCCCAATAAGCGCTCAACATAGACCACGCAAATACAGTATACCGGGGGTTTCCTTTGTACCGTCTCTGTGTCTAGAAAGACCGGACACCCTGTGCAATAGTCAATTCGAAGATCTTGAGAGTCAAAACCAAGTGCTCTGGGGCCCCATCTATCTGCGTGAACCGGTGATGATCTAGCTCATGCGTCGAAAGAAATAATTAACCGACATTACACAAGGCCTGCCTGCCCAGATTACGTGGAGGAGCAAGTGCAATTCTCTCGAACCGACGTTGTGGACTCCACACAGCTCTCCAACTCCAAAAGCTTCCGCCAGAGCGATGTCGTCTTCCTGGCTTCGGCTGAGCTAAGAGCACAATAAATGACACACATCCCCTCCTTTCATTCCATGTAGGCAGCACGCTATCCGGAAACCAGACACTGAGTGCAACACACGCGCATCGGAGACGGAGGGGATCTTGCGAGGGCAACTGTCTATATTGGGAACAATTTGGCAACCCAGTTGACATGTTCGGGTTCTCGAGTGCCTTTGGAAAGGGCTCAACCAGGTTGTTATGATTCATTGTAGAAGGCAATTACCCAAGCCAAATAGCCTGCCAGGATACCATCTGAAACAGACCGCTACAGGGCAAGTCATCTCACGATCGAGGGTAGCAGAGGAGGTACCCCAAGACAATCTCTATCAATCTCGTTGGAAGGGGGCTCAACCAGCAATTGCGTTTGCCGTGTGTTCCCGGTGGCACATCACATATGTTATCACTATCGTAGGTATGAGCTCTGGATACAGGCTGGCGAGACTTGGGACAAGCACATCGTTCGGACCTGCATGAGAGGATGATCGACAAGGGAAGAATTGATCATACTGCAGCACCGAATGTGAGGTCGTTATCGTAGGGCACGTCTTCCGATCCCGCAGTATAGTATCCCAGAAGAGACCAAGAGAAGCCGAAAGGAGACGTTCCTACAACAGGTCGTGGCCATTAGGTGTTATACTAGGGCAGGTCATCCTAAATTTCACCGGAGGTTATCCCAGAGGAAGTGAGCCTAGAGGAGATTATCCCAGAGGTCCCAGAGGAAGTTGTGGGGCGGTCCGTGCGTCCACCGGGTAGATAGACTCCTCCTCCGGGACGAGTAGTTAGCTTAGACTTGGAAAATACACCCACGCCCCCAGTGACCAAATCCTCCTCCGGGAGCACGAGTACTTCGTCTCGGTGACTAGACCATTCGTTTCAAAGCCATCTGAAAGTAGCTCATCCCAGAGGAGAGTATCCTAGATTCTGGAATAAAGTCATGCCTAGCGACCCAGGAAGGGTCGAAGTGGTCTTTGCCGACGCAGGCGAGATCTCCGCACCTTCCCCGCGCCGCCCATGGGGTTGCAGGCGTCATGGGGCCAGGGGACAGGACGGCAGGACGGACGGCCATGGCCCGGATCGGAAGCATTCCTGAGGGCAGGGGGCCTTGAGACGGCTTAGTGAGAGACTTGTCATACTGCGAAGCGAACTTGGGGCGCGGCGATTTCCGCTCGGGAGTGACCAGCGGATGGTGACGTGGGCCCGGGGGCGTGAGGAAGAAGGATACAGACCACGGGGCTCAAATCACCCGCCATAAAACGGCCACACTGACACGGCTATAAAACCAGGTGCTTCGCTCTGCTTCCTGCTGCAGATTGAAGCTATTCATCGCACACGCGTTGCCATCGAGCTCACAGTGAAGCAACATTCAGCCCAACCAGCTTATCCAGAGACAACGTCTTAATAAAGCGCCGACGAGATGGCCCATTCAAATGGCTCGAGTGGAAACACCACCAATGGCACCACTGGTTTTACTCTGAAAGAAGAGCCAGTCGAGAACCTAAGGCGGCTCAAAGTTCGGGTGGTCGGCGCTGGGTTCTCTGGGATCTGTGCGGCCATCAGGTCAGCGACCTCTCCCCGGAGCCAGTCCCAAAGTGCACACGTCTGATGCCGTCAGCAGGATACCCGAGCGACTCAGAAACATCGATCTTGTGGTATACGAAAAGAACGAGGGCATTGGGGGTGTATGGTAGGCCCCCCTCCACCCAGGACAAATAGGAGCACATTTTGGCGAGCGAGGACGTTCCAGAACCAGTTGCTGACACTGAACAGGTGGCTCAACAAATACCCGGGTAAGAGCCATATTCCAGCAATATTTTCGTGGCTGACATGATTTGTGGTGGAGGTTTGGCTTGCGATATCCCATGTAAGCTGCTACCCGTCCACTGTTTGAACGCATGATTTAACGAAAACAAGCTCATTCCTACCAATACACGTTCGCGCCCAACCCCCACTGGTCGTCTCTGTACGCCCCTGGGCGAGAGATCCAGAACTACCTGCAGGGCGTCGCAGAAAAGTTTGGCGCGGTGCGCTTCATCAAGACCCAGCACAAGGTAGTCCGATGTGCGTGGAACGCCGAGACCAAGAAGTGGGCTGTTCAGGTCCAGAAAGCCGACACTGGCGAGACGTTCGAGGAGCATGACATTGACTTTGTCATCACGGCTCGGGGCCAACTGAACGAGGTGGCTTGGCCACAGGTACCCGGGCTTGGGACGTTTCGAGGCAAGCTGCTGCACTCGGCTGAGTGGGACGAGGAGTGAGTAAAAGTGCGATCTGTGATGTGCTGCACATACACACACACACGTACACACACCCACACCAACACCTCACCCACTGGACTTGTTGTGTACATGCTATATGTACATGCTATATGTACATGCATCCCTAGTGGCCTTACATTCTGCTTCGCCGGGCTCTGAGAGCTGACGAGATTAAGGTACGACTTCCGGAACAAGCGGGTCGGCGTTATCGGGAACGGCTCTAGTTCCATACAGATTGTACCGAGCCTGCAACCCGTTGAAGGGGTCAGCATGACAGTGTTTATGCGCTCGCCTACCTGGATATCATCAAACGCATTCGGCGACTCTGCGATGGCAGCACTGGGTCTTGATGCCGAAGGATGTAAGTCTGAACCCTTCTCCTGGCATGCCGTTAGCTCTGAAACCACCACCCCCCCCCGGATATCACACGTTTATATTATATACGTATGCATATATCAACGAACTTGTTTACTGACCGCCTGACTGCTGTTGAGTGTAGTGACGCCTGAAAAGCGCGAAGCCCTCGCGTCGAACCCGGAGGAGTACCTTCGGTTCAGGAAGGTCATTGAGGATGGTGGCAACGTCATCCACGAGGGTACTATTCACGGCTCGGAAATGCAGAAACAGCTCATCAAGGCTTTTACGGCGTCGATGAGGGAGAAGCTCGCCAAGAAGCCCGAGCTCTTTGACGTTATCATCCCGACCTTTGCCCCTGGATGTCGACGCCTGACCCCGGGGAAAGGCTATCTCGAAGCCCTGTCTCAAGATAATGTTCACGTCACCAACGAGACCATCACCGAGGTCACCGAGACGGGGGTCAAGCTTGCCAGCGGTAGCGAGGTCCAAGTCGATGCGCTAGCCTGTGCCACGGGCTTCAGGACGAGTGCGCCACCCCCCTTTGAGGTCGTGGGTCGGGACGGTGTGACTCTTGCACAACGTTGGAGCCCACACCCGGAGAGCTACCTCAGCGTGATGGTGGACGGGTTTCCAAACTACCTCATGATGTTTGGACCGAACAGCGCCATTGGCTTTGGGTCCCTCACCAAGATCCTGGAGAGCGAGTGTGATTATTGCGTCAAGATACTGCGCAAGATGCAGAAAGAGGACTATGCCACCATAGAGCCCAAAACGGAAAGGGTCAGGGACTTCCAACAGTACGTCGGGGCCTACTTCGCAGACACGGTATATTTAGACAACGTAAGTATCGCGGAGTCCAGTGTTGAGAGAAGCGTTGGCTAACACCACACCACTCACCAAGTGCAAATCATGGTATCGAAGTGATGGTGGTAAGGGCGACTGGATCATCGGACTTTGGCCAGGCTCGACACTGCACGCTCTAGACTCGCTCATGTCGCCGCGTTGGGAGGATTTCAGTTACGAGAGCGCCGACACTACAGGCAACAGTTTGAGATGGCTAGGCAATGGCTGGAGCGTGACCGAAACCGAGGGCGACCCCTCGTGGTATCTCAACCCCGACGAGGTCGATTGGCCACACGAGGGCAAGCCGGAAGAGGCGCCTCGCTTCAAGGCAAGACCCTGGTCGCATTAGACTATGTGGCGGGTGTGGTGGCGGCGGTAGCGGGGGGGATCGTACCTGCGTACCTAGATTATAACCTCCTGTGCTATCGTTACGTGCGAGACACCTTGGTAGCTTGTCATGTAGTAATCGGTTGAGATGACATCTTGATAGGGTGATTGGCTTCCTTTCCGTAAGCTGTGTCTGCTGTCGTTGGACATTGGTTACACTGATGACTTGCACATACCGCAGTTTATTCCTGGCCAGGACGTGAGTATTGCGTACTCTGATATTCTGTTCTTTCTCTTGTAACGGCGGTCTGTCAGACATCCACCAGAACTAATTATCAAGACACACATTGGACGGCGTGATCCTCCAGCTTTCGGATCTCGAAGCCGTCGTCAGTAGCCCAGCATCTAATTCCAACAGCCATCACCCTATCCACTCCTGTTTTCTGAGCGGCGTGACTGCTCGTTCTCTTATGAGACATGAAGGAAGGCTCGTTTCCTGGTACTTCGCCCTTCCTCGTCGGCTTCCCAATTGTCATCGACATAGCTCTTGATACTCTTCTCCTGGATCTGCATCCCGACCACTTTCAAAGCGGCGATGTTGTAGCCCAGTTCATCCTTCTGCCTCTTCAACGTCTGCCTCAAATTCATCCGTATACCATCTAGCATGACCCTCATCGTCTTGCTGGCCACAATCTGCTTGTGGTGCGTCTTGAGCATGAAAAACAAGATCCGACAGGTCAGAGGAATGTTCATGGACCGCGCCGCGAAAAGGTTGATGAAGGTGAACAACAGAGGAACCGTGGAAAATGGCAGAACGAGCAGGGCATCGTGCAGCGCTGAAGCCTTGACCCGCTGGAGTGTGTTCATGACATAGACTTCTGCACTGATGCCGCCCAGTGCCATGAAGATCGGGTTTCGCTGTGGTGGCGCAACATTCGGGTTGCCAGCCCTCGTCTCCTCCCATTCTTTCACCACATTGAGATCTTCCATACCGAGTTCAAGTGCTTCAACGATCCTTTCGCCCGCCATGAGTGTCTCCACCGTCTGTTTGCTGGCAGCAGCCACTTCGCCATTTGGTTGCTCAGGGTCTGCGTCGTTCTCGAGAGACGTCGTCAGCGTGCTTTCGTACAGCTCCTCGATCTCTCTCTCCCGCTCTTCTTCGAGGAAGATTTGCTCGTCTGTCTCCTCCCAGACACGGATACTCTTATCGTGACTGGCACTGACAATGGAGTTGCCGCTGTGGCTGACAGCAAGCGCCCAGATCTCTCCGTGGTGGCCGTCTATCCTCTGGATCTGCTCGAATTTGTCGGCATCCCAATACTTGATGCTGCGGTCCTTGCTAGTGCTGAAGAAGTGGTGTCCGTTCCCGTCAGAGTTGTGAGGCACGAAAGCGACCTGCAGAATGCTGTCCTGGTGGGCAAAGAGTGCTTTGTGACAGTCTCCGAAGTCCAGGCCCCAAATCCTAACATTCTTGTCTGCTGAGCTGGTGACGATAAGCTTGCTGTCGTACGAGATGTCCATGCTCAAGACCGGGAGCTTGTGACCGTAGAGGTTGAGGTAGAGCTTTAGTGAGTCGGTGAAAAACACCTTGACCGTGTTATCCAGTAGAGCGACAGCGAGGAGCTTGGCGTCGGGGGAGAACTTCAAGCTCAAAATATCATCTGCAACCTTGAGGACTCTGGACTGAACAAGCTTCAGTTTTGGGGTCGTCCTGGCGGTTCCCAAGACCTGCTCCTGCACAATCTTGAAGTCCCAAAACTTGATCGTCTTGTCCGCACTCCCGGTGACGACAGAACGGCCGTCCGGATGCACGTGCAGAGACCAGATTGCCCCATCGTGGGCCGATACGCTGTCAATGAGGGATGCTGACACGACGTCAAACAACTCGATCTCACCGCTCTTGGTGCCTACAACGACGACCTTGTCGCCTGGCAGGAATGAGCAGCAGAGAGCATACCCGCATTCGAAGGTCCGAATGCATGTCCGCGTCTTGACATTCCAGATTTTCAGGCTGCCATTAGCTGCAGATGCAAGCATTTTGTCGTCGGAGCTCAGAGACACGGCGCGGATATCAGCCCTGTGTCCAGGGAGGTCCACTGCAAGGGATTTCGTGTAGTCTGTCACGTCGTCTTTCTTCTTGCTCTGTCTCTCTTTCGCCGTGATGTCGTACAGCTCAAGCTGGTTGTTCGTTGTTGATACCAACAATTGCAACTGCTTGTGCCCGTGATTCGTCGCCCAGTGAACCGACCGCACCTTGCCTGTTGTCCTGATGACAACATGCTGGGCGAAAAGATCGGACAGTTCTGGTTGGGTGTTTTCGTCCCCTTGTTCTTCGTCGTCTGCCATCTCGATATCTGTGGTATCTTTGCTTTTCTTTCCAGAGCCGAGTTTTTCCCGCCGCCTCCTCTTCTTCCTAGCCAGACTCTTTTTGACCTCAGCATCAGACTTCAGCCGCCATATCTCCACAGATTTCTCAACCCCATGTACAGCAAAGTAGTCGCGTCGCGGGTGGAATGAAACCTCGATGGCCCTGTCTTTGCTGTTTCTGAAGAGTGTTCCACGCTCCTGGAGGAACTGCATGTTCTGCACGTCCACCTGGCGAGCGGCCGCGGGGATGCCCACTATGTTTATTGACCAGACCTTGAGTTCGCCGTCATTACCTGCCGTGATGCATCCATTCATGTCAGGAGACACCCCGAGAGCCCAGCACTCTCCATTGGTCTGCGCAACATGTGTCTCGACACAGTGCCGCGATGATAGGTCCCAGAGCTTGATCAGAGAGTCCTTGCCTGTCGTTAGGAGAAAGCCCTCTCCTTGTTCCTCCCCATCCAGCTGCATAGCCTGGTGCGTAACTTCATCCTCCGCTTGGAGGGCCGGCTCGATGAATCGTAGTCCCGTCACTTGGTCTTTGTGGCCCCGGAGCTTGTACTGACCAACCTCCGCGACCAAGTCCCAGACGATCACGTCTGTGTCTTTGGAACCGCTGGCCAGGCGGACGCCGGACTTGTCGAATGCCAGCATGGTGATGGCGGACTTGTGGCCGTTGAAATTGACAATGGTTGTGGAGATCTTGCTGTCCCAGAGGCGAATACTGCCGTCTTCGTATCCGACCGCAAATACATCGTTGTTGGTCTTGCTCTGCGCAAGGGCAGTGACCTGTGCCTTGCAGTTTTCATCGCGCCACCGAGACAGGAGCTCGCCCTTCTTGATATCCCAGCATATTACCTCCTCGTTGGCAGCAACAACGGCTTGGCCTGCCCCAGTCGCAGTCCCGTGGCTGTTGGTCCAGAGGATGTTGGACGAGCTCGACGTGATCAGGCCGAACGACTTGGAGTGCTCGTATTTCCTGCGGGCATGGTTAGCAGAGTAATAGGAATTTGTGGTTTCTCAGAAATTACACACAGATAGGACTTGACCATGTTGGCAGGAGAGCAGGCAGAGTTCCTCTCGTACCATGCGTACTCTTTGGCGTCGGTAATTGATCTTGTCGGACAAAAAGTTCGACAAAGCCTCTGGACCACCCAGGGTCGGTACTTTTTTGCAGGGGTCTCCTTATCGATAGCACAGCCTCCCCCACCCTCTCTCGGTCCCCATTACATAACTCGTCCCACCGTCAGGGGCAGACACACCAGTACATCATACCGCAAGGTCGCCAGCGTATAAGCCCCACTGACCTGGACAGGAGGCAGCTGCAGCTCGGGCACAGTCAACGGCCCTGTTCACTCGACTCGACTCGACATTGCATTGCCTTTCCATCGTCTATTACACCGCGGGGAAACGGAGACGAGAAGCAATTGCCACGATGCTTCTCCTCGACTACCAGAATGTGCTGATCCAATCAGTCCTGACGGAGCGGTTCTCTGGGTAAGGCGTGTTGCTGCCCTGTAACCATGTGCCGTCACCACCGCCAGATGCTGACCTTGTCCTCCCCCTCCAGGGCCGCCCCCGTCAATATCGATCAAACTGTATCCGACTTCGACGGCGTCATCTTCCACATCTCGACTCCCGACGCCAAGACCAAGATCCAGGTGTCGATCCAGATAAAATGCTGGCGAGACCTCGTCAAGTACGGTGCCGAGCAGGTCCTCAACCGCGAGTATGGCGAATACGTTGTCCCTCCTGAGCCTGGCTACGACTTCTCCGTCACCGTCGACCTTGAGAACATACCGGCTGAAAAGGGTACGTTGAATGGAGACATGCTATAGAAAGCCTGACACAAGTCTGACTGTTGGGACGCAGAGGCGAGAGACGAGCTTGTGAAGAAGATATCCCTGCTGAAGCGCAACGCCATGGCTGCGCCGTTCGAGCACGCCTACGAAGAGCATTACAAGCTGAAGGAGGAAGCATCCAAGTTCACGTCCGAGGAGGCCCCGCAAGGTGTTCGGGAGGGCGGAGAGGTCATGTCGATCCACTATCGCGAGGAGGAAGCCATCTACGTAAAGGCGAGCCACGACAGAGTCACCGTCATCTTCAGCACCATCTTCAGGGAGGAAACAGATCGCGTGTTTGGGAAGGTGTTCATCCAGGAGTTTGTGGATGCCAGACGGCGGGCTATCCAGAACGCGCCACAGGTGCTGTTCCGTACGGACCCGCCCCTGGAGCTGCAAGGCGTGCCGGGGGTGCAGAACTCCAGCACTGGTGAGATAGGCTATGTGACATTTGGTAGGCTGAGCCTCCCCGGTCGCTCCTTGGAAGATTCGACTGACTGGGCCTAGTCTTGTTTCCTCGACACCTGACACCGCAGCGCATGCCGGAGGTCATCTCGCACATCCAAACGTTCCGTGACTACTTCCACTATCACATCAAAGCCTCCAAGGTGAGCACATATCGTCCCTGTGGGCCAATGGCATTATTTCTGACACACCGCAGGCATATATTCACTCGAGGATGCGACGGCGCACGGCGGACTTCCTCCAAGGCAAGAACACCTCCACCGTGGCCCTGAGCAGTGCAGTGATACTAACGATACACAGTGCTCCGAAGAGCGAGGCCCGACAGCGAGGAAAAGGAGCGCAAGACGGCCAGTGGACGGACTTTCAAAGTCCAAGGCGCTTGAGACAGCCACTTCTAGGGATACCTCAAAGAGGAGCATTCTTTCGATGTCTTAAAAGGCATGGGAAAATCGGCGTCGTGGTCACGTTGCTAATTGGGCTTTTGGAGGGCAGGAGACTGACTGGGAGGGGAGCAGAAGGCGGTGCTATTTGTGACTGGTCCGTATTCAGAAGCCCGTAGACAAAGAGTATGAATGGCGCGAAATTCGAAATACTGAAAGACAATACCTGGTAGTTTCCTACACCGAACCTGGTTGAAGTCGTGCTTGTTTGGCGGGCAACTGCCGACGGAAGACCGAGTATCTGTTACTGCTCGAACGCTAATAACGTCAATCAACGGCCCCCATTCCAACCCCGCTGGCCCCCCTGCTGGTACGAAACCCTGGAGCTAGACCTACAGCGCCAAATTCTGGAGTCGACTGCACCAGCCCGAAGTTCATCCGCCAGCACAGTCTGCTTGTGCCCGACAAATAACAGCAAGATGCCATGGCCCTGGTCGTCCTCTCCCTCCAGCAGGGACAAAGAGGGCAAATCGCCAGGATCAGGTGTTAGCACCGTCAGCTGGAACGAATCACTGGACGTCAAGGACTGGGATTACTACAAAGACCCGAGGACGTGGATTCCGGCTTTCGTGATCACGACGGTGCTCCTCGGCGGCCTGAAGCTTTACAGGACCTATTTGCGACGCATACCCAGCGTCAACTACGTGCTGCCGCACCACTACCACAAGAGGACCTTGTTTGGACGAGTCACGAGTGTGGGCGATGGCGACGGCTTCCATTTGTATCACACGCCCGGCGGGCGACTGGCGGGCTGGGGTTGGCTGAGACCTGTTCCCACTGACAAGAAAAAGCTGAAGGGACAGACTGTGCGTATCGGCCGGGAGCCAATACCCTTCCTTGCCACCTGGTGCTGACTCTCATCTTCCAATTCAGATTCCCATCCGACTCGCCGGCATCGACGCCCCCGAAGGCGCCCACTTTGGCCGTCCCGCGCAGCCATACGCCTCCGAAGCACTCCAGTGGCTCCAAACGTCCATACTCAACCGCTATGTTCGCGCACAGGTGTACAAGCGCGACCAGTATGAGCGCGTCGTGGCCACAATCTACCTGCGCCGCTTCCTGTGCTTCCGCCGGGACATAGGACTGGAAATGCTCCGTCGCGGGCTCGCGACGACATACGAGGCCAAGACCGGCGTCGAGTTTGGTGGAGAGGCTATGGAGAGGAGGTACAGAGACGCCGAGGCCGAGGCCAAGAAAAAAAACCTGGGGCTGTGGAGCGCCCTGGCAGGGAAGAACAAGGGCTGGTTTGGGCTGGGCAAGCCCGAGGGCAAGAGTGAGGAGCCGTTTGAGACGCCGAGGCAGTTCAAGGACAGGATGAGGGAGTCGGGAAAGGCTGAGAATGGCGAGGCTAAGTGAGTCCTTGGAGGAACGGACTTTGCTAGGTCTACCCCTACGCCTCGGTGCTATGCGAGGAGTGCCCACCCACATCAGGTGCGAGGCACATCACCCTGACCGCCTTCGTTGGGAAATATCTCTCTCTGCGCGGAGGCTCCAGCTGTTCCTCTGACACTTCGTCACCGTCGTCCTCCAGCTCCATGCCCAGTGTCGTGAAGGTGCTCATGAAGCAGTCGTCGTAAAGGGCCATAAAACTGACCGGGACCGTGATCTGTGGCGCAATACTCTGTGCTACTGCGAAGGCTGGTCTGCCCAACTCAAATTTCCCCTCGTCGCCGAGAGAGAGCACATAGATTCTCTCCTTGACCTCGAATAGCACGCGCTTACCACCAACAGTCTCATGGATAGACAGCCAGCCCCCCAGGTCGAAGCTCCTCTCGCCGCTCGGCTCACACTCCACAATGGCCGCAATCAGAGCCAGGTCTTGTGGGCGGTGGAGGGCTCGATGCCAATCCCAGCAAACCAGCAGCCGGCCGCCACGGGACACGCCAACCATTGTGTTCCCATTTAGCATGCCCGCGCCCCACTCGTCTTCATCGAGCGAAGGTATAATATGAAGTGCCTCTTCTTCCTCCGGGTTCGCGTGGCGCTGATCCAAGGTCAGTCGGCCCCGCCCGACCGTCATGGGTGTCAGTCTTTCGGCGTTATTCTGGGGCCCAAACGGCAGCCCGGTCTGCGTTGAGAGTATGCCGCCAAAGCCGCCGATAATGTCAACGATGTTGCTGGCGTCAGACGCAAACGTGTCAGGGTGTGCGACGTGGTATACTTGAACCTGGCTAACACTCCGTGGTCGGACGGTGCCAAGCAGCTCGCCTGACGTCTTGTCATGGAAGTGGTAGCCGTCTGGCCCCATAGAGTACATGACGGCCTGTTGGGCTTGATCCAGGTGGCCAATAGCGCCGTGTGCGATCCACAGATGGGTCCGCAGCGACACTGGTGTTTCGGGGCATGCTGCAGGGACATCGTACACGAAGCCCTCTCCCTCGGTAGAAACTACGCAGAGCGTATCGTATGACAGTTGAAAACCTCGCGTCTCGGTGTCATGATGCAGTAGGGCTACACGGCGGAACTCTCCTCTCCCACAGTCAGGCAGGTCGGTCTTCCACACCTCCAGCGCGTTGCCGAAACGGTCCTGTGTGCGATGCCCACGTCAGCAACTCCGGGACCAACAAGGTAGAGTGTAGAAAGAGGTCATCCTAAAGAGGTGGGAGGATATCCCATAGGAGATTACCCCATAGGAAGTTATTCTATGGGAAATGGGAGGATATCCCATAGGAGGTAGGATCAGCAACATACCCAGACAGCCGTGCCATTCTGGTACTCCAGATGAGCAAACGGCCGCACCTCATGGCGTCCCAGGGACCAGAGGAGGTCGCCCGTGTCCATATCGATCACGTTGACACCACCTGCTTGACTCGTCGACATAATGAGCCTACGATCAAAGTCGGGCTTGAAACGCCAGACTGGATGGATGCCAATCTGGATCACGGATGCGACGGGCATGGGGTCTGGGGAGTTCCAAGCGTCCTGGAGGAGACAGCGCCGCCGGCAGGCTTCTTTCCATGACTTGACGCCGCGGGAGACAGAGTCGGGGCGGAAGGCCTTCAAGGCGCCCATGTACTCGTGTGGTGTGGTCGCGGGCGAGACGCGTGGGAGGTGGGCGGCATAGATGGCATCTTGATGTATATGATCGATGAAGGCCTGCCACGATGTGCTGGTCCTGGTCAGGGCTGCGATGCTGCCGATGGATGCGAACTCTAGGATGCGCAGCACTATCTCGGCGGGAAGGGCAGCCAACGGGTCCATACTGCGCGGGCTGGGGTTGGATGATACTATTGTATGCGATCCGGCCTCCCTCGGTGTGGGAGAGAGAAAGAAAGCTCCCCGAGGGCCCAGTTGTGGTGGGCCTAGGATGACATCACGCGAACATGAATAAGTGACGCACACACACACGCACAAGCACACGCATACATATCCTCCTATAAGTTATTTTCACATCACCATGATGATGTACGGCGTGGTCCAGCCGGAGACGTCAAGGGCATGGTACGGGCTGCAGTACGGTTGTGGCCGGCCGCAGACTAGTCGATTTGGTGACATGGCGCTGCTTACGAAGAATGGTCTCTAAAACCGCTACCGTCTGCCGCGTACCGCAGTATCCAGGAGGCACAGCAGCCCCGGGGCCGAACAGGAAGGGCCCGGCCTGCTCAGGGTTGGTGCTTGGTGTCTGCCCGGCGCAGGACCGAATCACGGCATTAATTGCTGCGCTCAGTCCGAGAGAATCAGATCCAGATCCATGCCCACGCCATGCCACGGCATTCGCAGCCGACCCAACGTGGACTTACTCTGGCTCGGTCGCCTGATCGTCCCGGACCGTCCAGGATATTCTGGTCTGCCCCTGTCTCTGCCGCTTTGCTTGCACGACTAGCGAAGGTTAAGGACACAAGAATGTGTCTCGACGCCGTGCCGTGCCTGTGGATGAGTGCCTGGTTCCGTCGAGGGGTCACTGAATGCAGACGGGGGCCGGGATTTCCGGGCAGGAAACTTCTTACTCATGAGGCGAGTAGATGGGCGGCAACTGACACATGACTGTATTCTACTGCGTACGGTGCTTGTAGCCCAGCATGCATTCGTGCAAGGACGAGCCCAGATTGCCATGGCTGTGCACCAAGTCAGGCTAGCGACTTCATCCCAGGATGGCCACGAGTGCCGCGCGGACTTGGGCGTGTGGGCTACCGTAGACTAATGATAGGAGAGATGGGATGGCGAGCGGGCGAGAGGCCAAGGCACGGCCCGGTCGAAAGATCAGGCGAAGAGCCAAAAAGCCCGTCTTCTTCTTCTTGTTGGTGTTGTTGGAAACATTTACCACCTTAGGTAGACAGGTAGTCTGCAATACTGCTCGGTTGGAGAGAGAGAGATAGTGGGCGGCATCAGGGGAGCACTGCAGCCTCTGATTCTTCTGAGACACCTGAACGGTGTAGAATACCACACAGCAGCCATGCGTACACAGTAGGGACTTCCGAAGCTCCGTTCCGTTGGTTGGTCGCAACGCAGTGCACATTGAAACTTTCAGGGTTCCCTGCAGGCAATGGTTCACGCAGGTTCACCCAGGCTTTCGGCCCTTGTCTGTTGTCTGTAATGTCCCCATTTGACCTACTGTGGCATTGCATCTCATGCTTTCGCTTAGAAGTACCATGTGGCTCCCAGCGGCCTACAGTCGCAGCGCAGTAGACACAGCAGCGTCGGATCCATGTTATCGCGGACGTTGTCGCAGGGGCTCGATCATCTTGGATGGCGTGCCGGGACGCCAGGTACAAGATGGTGGCACGGGAAACAAAGGAGGGTGTTTAATAAAGTCTGGATGGTTTGTTATATCCTCTCTGCTATTGCTGTTGCTATCACCTTCACAACAGACCTGACCCGGTATTGAACCATATGATGTGCCGTATGACCATGAATAACACAGCACATGCCTGCCTACGGCCCATGGCTAGGGGAATTAGATCTCCGATGTACAGAAAGTTGATCAGATCTCAATCATCACTACCACGCACATACCGTGCCCCTAGACGGAGGCGAGAGTCAGTTGCTGTTTGTTGTGTTGCACTGGTGTTTTGAAGTAGCTGGGGAGTCTTAGCCTGCTACCTATCTTGGGTATGTACTTGGACGGGAAGGAGTAAAAGGAGGCGTGCAGCACTGCAGCCGTGCTGCGGTAACAGCAGACTGAGCATGAGCGTACACGGGTACTGCATGGACACACATGAGTACCCCGGGGCGACGGAACTACACACGACGGAACTACCTACACAGTACCAGGATACGTGGTCCCGACTGGCTGACTGGCTGCCAGACTCACTTGTGCCCCCACCCTTGTCTGTGGGTCCCGGGCCCCACCGCTGCAGGAACAGAGGAACTGCTGCCATTCGCCGTGTCCAACTCGACCATCCCCTGCCATCCCCCTACCGTGGCCCCTTCGCAAATTAAAAGATGGGCATTTGGTAACCTTGGGTTCCCTGCACCACCCGACCAAGCCACAGCCCCAATCTCGTCTTCGTCTTGACTCTTGCTTGACACAGCAGCAGTGACAAGTTGCAGACAGAGAGAGAGAGAGATCCGGAAAACAGACAGAGACGGAGAGATTGGGCGATTGAGCGATTGTGAGGGAGCAAGAGAAGGAGAGAAGAGATCCATCCTGCCAAGCTTTTTCCTCTGTTTCTTATCTGCTGGAGGCTGATTGGGAGCCCCCTTCCTGCCCATTTCTCCCGATCCCTCCCACTCTGCTGCTGCTCCTTGCTCCTCCTCCTCCTCCTGCTGCTACTCCCAGGCGTGCCTTGGCTTTGTCCCTGACCCGCAACCGACCAAGGCGGTTTAGCTTTGCCGGGCTGCTTTCGTACCTGACTACCTCCTGTGGTACCTCCAATGTCCTGACCTGCAGGACCCACCTGTACCACACGAACGAGACCACCTCCTGACCATCAAATCCCACTCGCTCACACTACTACTCCCACTACTACCACCACCACCACCGCGACTAACGCAGCCGACACGACCCGACACGACACACGACGGTACTCGACCGCATCGTATCACCCTCGTCCACCGGGTGTGTCGTCCCCTTGGCCTATCAAAGCCGGTTGCGTTCTTTTTACCCGGCCACCCTCTTCTCGCCTTGTCCATTCCCATTCGGCTCGGCCACCACAGTTTTTCGACGACAATTTCGGTTCGCCGTGGTACACACCGCAGCGAGGACGACATCGTCGCTGCCGTCGCCATCAATTTCTCGACTTGATCATCTTTTCTTCTGTATCAGTATTCAACACACGCTCGTTTCATCATCACCGCCTCGTGCCATTTCTCCGACCGCCTCACGGCTGCCAGACCACGCGATCCGCGCCACCGAAGTCTTCACCCGCAACCGAGCCCTCGCGACCCTGCTACCTTTCTTTTTGTCCCTGAGAGATGGATCACGCGTAGCACATCAACTTCGCAACCTGCAATACCGGCACCAATCCACTCCATAATCCGACGGGCCGTTTCTCATCCACCTGGGTGACTCGCGCCATGAGGTCCCTCCTCTCACGGCGCCGTGTCGCCCGGCAACCAAGGACGGGTGCTTCTGCATTACTCAAATCGTTTCTTACTGTCTCTTCGCTCGCGTCAATACCGACGTCGCGCGCTATTAATTTTACCTCCGTGCCAGATTCCTTCCTCGACGTGGACATTTCAACACTTGGCAGGGTTGGCTTCGCCGGGGACTTCGCGGGCATATCCCTCTACCAGTTCGAGGGCCAGGACGAGGACCCCTTCAGAACAAATGGCAGCGAGGGCCTGCTGGCTCGACTGCCCAATGGCGTTCTCACCACCGTCGTCCAGGCCGACGCCTCCATCCAATCTATGTGTTCCTATGTCACCGACGGAGTCGCGCAGGGCGTCGTCATAGCTGGGAACTTTACCAGCCTCGGCGACCGAGAATCCACCGGCATCGCCCTCTTCAACCCCAACACAACTGAAGTCAGACAGCTGCCCGGCATACAGGGCTCGGTGAACGCGGTCCTCTGTGACAATGACACGGTCTACGTCGGGGGCAACTTCATGGGCATCGAGAATTCTACAAACGCCGTCTCGTGGAGAGGCACCGAGGCCGGCTTTTCAGCCTTGCCCTTTGCCGGCTTCAATGGCCCCGTCCTGTCCATCACCAAGGCCTCAAACGGCCACATCATCTTCGGCGGCAGCTTCTCCGGACTGGGAAATGCGAGCACGCCTAGTACGCCAGACGAGCAGGTCATCAACCTTTCCACAGCAGACCTGTCCTCTGGAGGCTCGACGACGACCGACGGCTTCAGCGAGCCTAGCAACATCGTTTGCAAGACCAGTGGCGATGACGGAGCGGGCAACACATGGCTGCTTGCGGACAACACTCCTGGGTTCTGGCAGGCGAACATGGGTTTCGGCTACCGGCCGACAAAGCTGCGCCTGTACAACACACACCAAGATGGGCGAGGCACAAAGACATGGCGCTTCACGGCCCTGCCCATCAATGGCATCATGAACCTCAGCTACATCGATCCCGAAACGAAGCAGAACCTCACCTGCACCAGCGAGTGTCCACTGAGCAGCAATAGCGACATTACCTTTCAGGAGTTCCATTTCGTCGACGTCATAGGAATGAACGCGTTCCGAATCGACATCTCGGACTGGTACGGAAGTGGCGGTGGGCTGAACGGCATTGAGCTGTTTCAAGATGACATCTTTGCGTTCGCCGTCAGTGACTTCAACGAGCCAACCTGTGCGGGCATCTCCACCGCGTCCAATGCCACCCAGACCGGCCCCTGGGCTGTTTCCTCGTCATTTGCCAACAACTCCCGGTACCTGACAGCCGACCTCTCGAGTCCCATCACCACAGACTCGGCTTCTGTTGTCTTCCTCCCGGACATAAGGGAGTCTGGCTACTACACCGTCAACATGTACACACCAGGTTGCCTGCAAGACAACACGTGTGACTCCCGTGGCCAAGTCCGCCTCAGTGGCACCATGTCACCCACGGGCACCAATGGCACGATCGGCACCTCACTATTTCAAACGAACAACTTCGACAAGTACGACCCCATCTATTATGGATACGTGGACGCGACGTCTGACTCGTTCCGGCCCGCCGTAACCTTGACCCCTGCGGGCGGCCAGACTCTATCCCAGCAGACCGTTGTAGCTCAAAGGGTCGGTTTCGTCATGTACAACACGACTGGGGGCCTAAACGGGTTGTTTGAATACGACCCGTCTGTCACTAACTTCAACTCATCCGATTTTCAGAACTCAGTCTTCGACAAACTCGGCATGAATTTCTCCACTGGATCTGCTGTCAATGCGCTGGCGACTTCAGGGACCGTTACTTTCATCGGAGGCAATTTCACCTCTTCGGGTTCCAACAATATTGTTTCTGTGGATCGTCAGGATTCCTCGGTGCGGGCCCTCGATGGTGGTCTCAACGGAAATGTCGCTTCTTTGCATGTCAATGGCACCAAACTCTTTGTGGGAGGGTCCTTCAACAACACCCAGAGCAATGGCGCATCCGGTCTTGCCAACGTCGCGGTCTTTGATACCTCGACCAATGTTTGGAGTGCTCTAGGCGCTGGCGTCAACGGCCCAGTGTCAACGGTGGTTGCACTGACGATGAATATCTCCGGCACCACGGAGGAGGTCGTTAGCTTCACCGGGAACTTCAGCCAGCTCAACGCGTTCGAAAGCAACCAGGATGTGTTTGCCAACGGCTTTGGGGTCTGGGTACCAACTCGGGGGAATTGGCTGGTGAACCTGGACGTGCCTGTGGAATATCTGGACGGCATGCTGACCACCTCCGTTCTCGATGTGACCGGAAGCGACCCGCTGTATGCTGGCACGGTCATATCTTCAACCCTTGGAGCCGTGGGAGCGGCCGGTCTGAGCGGATCGGAACCTGACTTCGTCCTCGAAGACTTTGGTGCTCGTATCCAGCCCGACTCAACACCTTCCACCCCTTCTACGGCACAGCGGGACACACTCAACGGCAGTGCGTCTGGGGTCATCGACGCAGCCTTCTTGAACACGGACGACCTCAATATCACTGTTCTTGCAGGACGGTTCACTCTTACGGGAAGCAATGGTTCCACTATCCACAATGTCGCCATTGTGAACAACACTGATGACGACAACGCCACCGTCACTGGCTTCGCCTCTGGCATCTCCCAAGACTCGACATTCGTTGCGGTCGCCATTCAAGGCTCCAGGCTCTTTGCTGGTGGCAATGTGACCGGCCTCGTCAGCGGGACCAATGTTAGTGGCTTGGTATCATTTGACCTCAGCGCCAATGATTACGGCTCGCAACCTCCGGCGTTGGAAGGCGGCAGCGCTACGGTCAGCACCATCGCCGTTCGCCCAAACAGCGCCGATGTATTTGTCGGCGGATCATTCACCTCGGCCGGCTCCCTGGGCTGTCCAGCAGTCTGCTCATTTAGCCCTTCCTCCTCCCAATGGAGTCGTCCGGGCAACAACTTGATGGGAGAAGCCAAGACCATGGCATGGGTGACTGACAAGAATCTCGTCGCAGGAGGAAACTTCACTGTGAATGGGTCGACGAGCTTTCTGGTCTCTTATACCTCAGGTGCTCAGTCATGGGATAATTATCCCGGCGGCACTGAACTTCCTGGACCGGTGGATTTTGTCGTCTCCGGCTCCTCAAAGGGCGAGCAGGTGTGGGTTACCGGCACGGCGACGAATGGGTCCATCTATCTCATGAAATACGACGGGTCTAACTGGAAATCTGCTGGCCAGCCGTTCGAAGCCGGAACAGATATCCGATCACTACAGATATTTTCCCTGACTGAGACGAAGGGCTCCTCGGACCTACTCAACGAGAAGATGTCCCTGATGCTGACTGGGCACATCGTGATCCCGGGCTTCGGCAGCGCGAGTGCTGCCTTGTTCAACGGGACTGCATTGACACCCTTCGCCCTGACTACGAAGGCAGGAAACACCGCGGGTACCATCTCCCGGGTCTTTGTCGAGAAGAAGGATTTCTTCGGGGGCGAATCAGGTGGCAATTTACCAATATACGCCATCGTTCTCATCGGGCTAGCAATCGCCCTCGGGCTGACCCTTCTCATCGTCGTTGCTGGTATGGCCATGGAACGACTGAGGAAGAAGCGCGAGGGGTACCAGCCAGCACCGACGTCCATGTTTGACCGTGGCAGTGGCATGCAAAGAATCCCTCCCCACGAGCTGCTTGAGTCGTTAGGCAAAGGACGGCCTGGAGCACCACATGTGTGAGAGAAGGAAGGACAACGGCGAGGTGGTGGAGGAAGATGCTGAGATTGAAGATGGTCAAATACCCCGCGGGAAATGCGAGTCGCGAAGAAACCAACAAAAGAAGGCATTGTGTCGGCGTTCGATGTGGAATTCAATTAATACTGTGTGGGATTATGCAGTTAGCAACGGCGTTACAGGTTAGGCATTTACCGCATGTCTCCCAAAAGGACGAAGGCCACCAGGTCGCAGAACAGCTCATTCTGCATGGTGCATGGCAGCGACGACTGAGCCAGCAACCCCTGAGTCTGCTGAAGGAAGACAATTTTCGAAGATTGGAGCGGATGCCGTGGGCATTCACTGAGACGAGGCTCGCGCAAGGTCTGAAGCGATTGATGCTTCAGGCCCGGGGAGAGGGCGAAAGGCGGTGGCATGGGACGGGGAGAAGCAGGCGGATTGCTGGCCTCAACGATGAACAAGTAGCACGGCCTCTTTTTCTCTTCTACCTCCTTTTTTCTTCTTATGTTCGCATTGTTTCCTGAGGTTCCTCATATTCTTGGTCATCGTTTTGAGATGCTTGGGGTACGGACAGAGAGGGGGAGAGAGAGAGATACCACATTGTAATGTTTATGTTCTAAAGCATGTACAATAGCCTTTTCTTCTTTTCTTTCCGACATGAATCTTGGGGAGGCCACCCCTCGGCAGGAAGGGCCTCTTTCATTTGTATGATACCAGTCGGGGTATGAGTAAGGTGGCAAGGTGGCTTTCAGATGTCAGATCTGGGTTGCGACCGAGACTGGGCAGGGCCAGCCTAGCCGGCCTCTCTGAAGGCGAGCTTCATCGGGCAAGGCAAGGCAGGGCAGCACGGCGACAATTGATGGGACTCGATAGCATAGTGCGCACCTAATGATGACAGAGAAGCCCTTTGATCTTGAGACACATGCAGACACGGACAGCATTGGTTTCCGGCCAGTGACACGCTTGGATATGTGAATTGTGACATGTGCCTCGAGGACCGTGTAGGGAATATGTAGTAGGCAGTTATCGATCGGACTGGACTACCACTATAGAAAGGCTCTAGGCAGATGAGAATACACTTACCAATGTAGTCTGGTCGGATACAAAGCAATATACCTAGGTAGTAAGCACCTGCGGGCAGTAGGGAGGCACATAGACCTGTGATACTGTGCCCAGAATAGATGTAGATATGCGCGTAGCAGAAGCAGCGGCAGATCGTCGATTAGCGGCCACGGCAGCGTCTGTGTGACAGAGGGCTCCCTGCATGTTTGCGTCATTTGGGTCGAGTAAAACCAGATGGGGGTGAGCGGGAAGGTGCGTTGGGGGAAGGGACGTTTTGAATGGAGGGAGGGGCGGCCGCTTGATGGAGGGAAGAAAAAAAGGCTTGATTGAATTGAGGCGGCCAAGGCGACTCGACTCGGCTTTTCCCAAACCAACGCGACCGGACGCGACACAATTCATCCAGCACAAGACCAGGAAGCACGGCCAGGCCTAGTTGGCCATCGTCGCTGTCCAAAACCCCACACGTCAAGCTAGTTCTCGAAGTGCTGGCAGGCTGGGTGCATGTGTCAAAGTGTCAAACCGCCACCGAGTCAGAATATCTTTACCGCCCTTTATACAGTACCGGCCCAGCTCCTTCCACCACATACCCAGGTACAGATAAGAGGCTCTACCGCAACCACGGCCACGGCTACAGCGCTGCTTATACCGCGCCGAGGAGCTTGTTTGTTGACCAGTGCCGGTCCAATTCGACTCGACGTCGCATCGTCAGCCACGCGGGCGGTCGGAGTGCACGCGATCCTGACTGGATCAACGAGGTTACGCCTGGTCACCTGTATCACGGCCCTCGAGCACCCATCTGGGCACAGAATCGGTGTTGCTCGGGAGGCCCTCGAATCTGTTGGAGCGCGGTGTTGGACGGAACCCACTTCCCCCTTGGCTTCGACCATTGGCTCCGTCCACACAAAATGTCGGCCCAGGCCCAGAACGGCCAGAGCCAGGACCAAGACCAACATCGACGACAACAACAACAACAACAACATAGCCATGCCCGGACCTCGTACTCTCGTAGCAACCGCCACCTGCAGATTCAGGAGCCAGAACGGAGGCCGCTGCTGAGGAGACACGTGAGCCATGAGCCAGACAGCGAGCCAGTCTTCTCTTGCGTGCCCAACCCACACTCTCACCTGCCCGTCTACACCAACATCCACCGCATCAGGAGAGACGTAATCTCCATTGTCGAGGACTACATGAGCCTGGAGCAGCTGAGGGATGTGAGGATCAACATCTCTGTCATACGGCCCTTGGTCGATAAGCTGTATGACCTTGATGACATCTCCATTGGTGAGCCTGTCCCCCTGCCCGCCTCCTCCTACGATGCTGATGCCGTCTAGTCTACTGCCTCCTTGTGAACCGCACACAGTTTCTGCACGAGCAGTCCCATCTGCATAACAGGCAAAATGTAAACTACACCCGTGCTATCCTGTGCGAGCTTGTCGCCACTCGCATCCTCCGGCGCTTCAACGAGGACAATGAGGGCACCGAGGGGCTGCTCGTCCTCGCTCATATTCTTGTCGCCGGCTTCTCGCCTTTTCAGAACGCCCCCGAGGACATCCGCCGTGAGGCCTCCACGTCTGCCTCCTTCGGCTACCACACCACCCTGCCCGCCCTCGAGGTTGCCATCCTGAGCGAGAGCAAGCTGTTCCTCAGCTCGACCTCGTGCCAAAAGGTCATTGACGCCATCTACGAGGGCCGCGTGATATACACGCCAAGCAGCTTCGTGGATATCATCCCGGATCGGTACAAGCAGAAGCCGATAAGTCTGTACGACCCCAGGGCGTCATCGCTGCTGAACCAGTACCGCTTGATCGTCCCCAGGACGAGGAACATACTCGAGATCATGCAGTTCATCATATTGTTGGTCCTCTACGTCCTGTTTATGGCCGAGAGGGACCCCACCACTTTCTCTATATTCGAAGTCATGTTCTCAGTCTACTCATTTGGATGGGTTCTTGACAATTTCGCCACGATACTGGAGCATGGGTGGTAAGTTGTCCCCTCCTTTCATCCGTTTCACGGGCTTCCCGACTGACGAGCTCGGCGCAGGCAGGTCTACACCCAAAACCTGTGGAGCTTCCTGGACGTCACCTTTGCCGTCATCTTCTGGATCTACCTTGTGCTGCGCATCCAGGGCTGGCGGACCGACAGCGACGACACAGACCAGCAGGCACTCGACGTCCTCGCAATGGGTGCTCCGGTGCTTATCCCCCGTCTCGCCTTCAATCTTCTCTCAAACAACCTGCTCTTCGTCTCCCTCAGGGCCATGATGGCCGACTTCACCACGCTGACAGCCCTTGCCGCTTGGTGTTTCGCCGGATTCCTCATGTCACTGATCTGGCTCGGCGACGGAGACCACTCGACCATCACCGTCAGCAAGTGGCTGCTTTGGATCTGGTTTGGCCTGGACGGAACCGGCATCCAAAAGGCACCCGAGTTCCACCAGATACTGGGCCCGTGCCTCATGGTCACCTTTGCCTTTCTAGGAAACACCCTCTTTCTCACAATCCTCGTGTCCATGCTCTCAAATACCTTTAGCACCATCGTGTCTAACGCGACCGCCGAGGTCCAGTACCGCCATGCTGTCCAGACTCTGGAGGGCGTCAAGAGCGACGCCATCTTCGCTTATCAACCACCCTTCAACATTCTCGCTCTCTTCATCCTGGTTCCGCTGAAGTTTGTCGTGAGCCCCCGATGGTTCCACAAGATCCATGTTGCCGCCGTTCGACTCCTGAACCTCCCCCTGCTCCTCATCATCGCGGCCGTTGAGCGGCGTGTCCTGTGGCCTGTGTCGGCACCAAACAAGCGACCTGGTGTAGAGAATTTGCCCGACAGGAGGTACCACTGGTTCTGGGAGAAGTGGCGCATCACGACGCACGGTGATATCCACGCCGTGTTCGGCGTCTCGCCTCCGGATGAGGTCGAGGATGCCATCTCTGTCGACGACGACCTGACGCGCCACATGATCCGCCGGCAGTTCCAGAGAAACAACACTGCGGACTCGACCAACCTGCAAAACATGATCAAGCAGTACAAGACCAAACACGCACACGAGAGGGACGGCAACGCCGGCACAAAAGACGCCGGCGACCAGCTCGGGGTGACTCCCACCGCCTCCGACGGTCGGCAGACGCCCAAGTCGCCTGCGACGGGCAAGGTGCTCAGCAGAAGGGACAGCATGGCGCCATTCCCGGGGCTACGGCAGGAGTTGCAGGGCATCTTCAACGACAGCGAGGAGATGAGCGACCTGACGACGCGGCTGGAGGCGTTGGAAGATAGCAACGCGCGGATAGAGGCGATGCTTGTCAGGCTCGTGGGGGACGTTGAAGATACGACCAGCATCATGGAGGAGGAGCAGGCTGGCAAGCTAGGCACACTGGATGATCTGGACCGCACTGCGGATGAGCAATAGTATCAACCACTCCCGTCTGGGTAGGATTCTGAAGGGGCCGCTGGCCCAATTGGGCTTGGAGGCGAATACAAGTTGACCCCGAGTTCTGAACATGCACGAGGGCGGGATCCCACTGCAAACCGCATTTCAAGCCCTGACGGGCCGAGGGTATCATATCAAGTTGAATTAGTAACGTCCTGTCCATGCAAGTAAAGCCATTTGCTCCCGAAAACGCCCTGGAAATAAAAAGAGGCGACCCGAACCCACACACCTGCGTTTCCCTCGCATGAGACTCCGGCAGCACACTGTGGAGCACGATTGCCAACATCGAACCCCCCCCCCTCCCTCTGCTCGACCTGCCTCGCCACAAGGTGAGGCCCTCTGTTGACGGCGCGACCTCTGTTCGGTCCAGCCAAAAACAAAGAGGCTCACTGGATCTGAACGTCCTCCATCTCCTCATCCTCGGACTCGTCGGCGAAGTTCACGGTGGGTGCTGTCTCCGCCACAGCCTGTGCGCCGATATCTTGATGCTCCGCCTTCAAGCTCCAGTTGTTGGCGAAGCGTCCGCTCTTGTGCAAATCGGCCACCTTCTCCAAGGTGGACCGAAGGTACACCTCGGGCTGAGGTATAGCAGAGCGAAGCGCCTTGAGCGACCAGTAGTTGTACTGTCGGAAACACTGGAAGATCTTGTCGAGGAGCTCGTTCTCGGGCATACGTGCGGTCTTGGCCTCGGCCTTGGCCTTCTTGGTCTGCGTGCGCGAGTCCTTGATGAAGCTCTCGAATGCCTTAGCGGCTTGGCCCGTTCCGACCTGGACGACGTTGTGTGTGACGGTGAAGCGGTCGATGATCTGAGTGGTGTTCTTGGGCGTCACCTGCTCCTGCGCGCGGACGGCCATGAGGTAGGCGGTCTCTGGGTTATCTATGCGTAGGATTAGATTCTGCGCGTCTCGTGCCAGCGACCAGCACATACCAATCGGGTTCATGTTGACTTCCTGTGAGACGCGCCCGTAGATGGCGGTTTTCTCTGTCATTTGATTAGCGTGATTCGATTCGTTGCTTAGGAACCCGGGTCAGATGATTCATGGTCCCCAGGAGCCAAGAACGTACTGGGGATGACTTGTCTGAAAGTATCCCTTCCTCGTCGTCCACGTCCGCCACGAGAACTCTGCTGAGGCGGCTTCTCTACCTTGGCCCGCAGGAGGTAGGAGGGAATGTGCTGATCGGCAGCGTCCTTGCGCAACTTGTTCTTGTTCTTGAAGCCCTCGATGTCCGACTCGGTGAAGATGAAGGTGTTCTTGACTGCTTGGTTGGTGTCATCCAGGTCGTACTCGCGTGGTAGGCCTTGATGCGCGGAGACGTTGCTCTTCAGCAGGAGCCTCATCTTCCTCTATGAAGGGGGCAGAGACACTGGTCAGCGGCCAAACTGCGCAGGCGTGTGAAGAGGGGACGGAGACGCACCTTGGGTGTGCCCTTCTTGTCCGGCTCGCTCCAGGCGCGGAGCCTTCCGATCTCGATTGGGGTGTCGTCGTCAATCTTGTCCCAAGCAGACCAGACGTAAGTGGGTACGCGAGCCATGAAGAGGTTGTCCTGGGCGGACGGGTTGCCATCTGGGTCCCTTGGGGCGTAGAAGTCGAGATCCAGGTCGCCGACGTCGTCCTCGTAGGCATCAATGGCCATAGGGGATCCGCCCTGGAGGGCGTCCGGGTCTTGCTTGACAGCCGGGTCAGGCTTGACGGCTGGATCCGCCATGTTGAGAGGTACTTGGGGTTTGCCTGTGCCTGTGCCTGTGCCTGAATCGCCTCCAAGCTGAGCTGGTTGTGGGCGACGTCAAGTTGTCGGTCGTGTCTTGGAGGTGTCGAACTGGGCGACGGCGCAGTATGCCGAGGGCCTGAGCTACCAGAGCCAGCTTACATAAGAGCCGTTGGCGCAGGTACCCTGTGCACGACTTCACCATGCAGGAGTACTTGCCCAGTCTTCCGCTTTCAGTCAATACCCAATCCGTTTTCAAAGAATCTGCGTTATTGACTATTGATATCTTTTTTTTTTTTTTGCACCAGGTCCCTTCTCCTGCGTATTGATTCGAGCTGAATGCCATGCGTGCTAGGAAATATCGCTGTACTGCAGGTGCCTAGGTACCCAGATAGTCAGTACCTAGGTAGTCTTACTCTAACGATGTGCCTTGTTTCCAATGATGTAATGGTAGCGATCTTATCTTATCAGTCCCATTCTCACGTGCCAGCCATGTGGTACGTACACACGCACGAGCCAAGTAGGTGTACGAAGTAGAGTAGTGCCCTGCCTTCCCGGCCGCCCCCCCTAACCGGCATAGTTTCCCACCTAAATACATTACTTTTCAATGATGATTTCTCTACACCTCCGCAACATATATACTTAATATTAATACATTATATTATTTTAATATTAAATATAAGTTTTATATATTTTATTAATTAATATTAAATTTTTAATATATATAAGATAATTTTTAAAATATAATAAAATAAGTAAATTTAAAGAAATTTAAAGCATATTTATTAAATATTTAATAAATATAATAATATATATATATATAATATAATTTTATAATATAATAAAGATAATTTTAAATAAATAAAATATATTATAAAATATAAAAAAATATTAATTTTATATTAAATTTTTTTTAAATTATAAATTTTAATATAATAAATATATTAATATATATAAAGCCTTAATATTAATATAAAATAATTAATATATATATATATAATTTTTTTATAAAGATATTTAATTTTAAGTTTTTATTTATATATAAAAACCTTTAAATTTTATTAATTTTTTTTATATAAATTATTATAAATATATAAGTTATATATTTTAATTTAAAAAAATTTATATAATATTTTATATATAAAAAATATTTAATATATTATTTATTTTAAAAAAATTACTTTTTAATAATTTATTAAATAATAATATAAATATTTATTAAAATAAAATAAATTTATATATAATAATATTATTATAAATTAACCTTAAATTATTTATTATAAGGTGCTTAAATAAAGTTTATATTTAAAATATAAAGAAAGAAATTTACTTTTTATTTATATTTATATTAAAGCTTATTTTTATAAAGTTAAAGCTTATTAATTAATTATAATAAATAAAGCTTAATTTATAATATATTTTTTTTAAGTTTTTATAATAAACTTTAAAAAATAATTATATAATAAAAAATAAAAAATATTATAATTTAATTATAAATTAAATATAATTTTTTATTTAATTATTTAATTATATTTTAATATTTTTTAAATATATTAAAAGTTTAATTTATTTTTTATAATTAATATATTTTTAATCCTTATAATTTAATATATTAATTAAAATAAATTAATAAAAAATAATTATTTAAATATAAATTAATAATTTTTTAATTTAAGCTTTTTATATAAGTTTTTTTATTTAAAACTTTAAAATTATAAATTTATTATATAATTTATAATTAATTAATGCTTAATTATAAATAATTTACTTTATTAACAAAGAATTTTTAAATTTTAAATATTTTATAATATTAAATTAATTAATATATAATTAACTTATTTTAAACTTAAGTTAATATTAAGTTAATAATGCTTTTAAGCCTTATTTTATAAAAAAACTTTATATTTTTTTAAATAAACTTTTTTTTTATTAATTTTAATTAATAAAAATTATTTTTTTATTTTTTTATAATAATTAAAATAATTATATTTATAATAATTAAATTAATTATATATAAAATACTTAATTTTATTTATTAAAATTATTATAATATTAATATTTATTACTTTATTATTTTAAGGTTAAATATTATTTTTCTTTATTATAATATTAAAAATACCTTTATATTATTATAAAATAAAGTAAAAAGCTTTAAAAATATTTAATTATTTTTTATAATTAAGTTAAGTTTTTATTATATAAGTTAATTAATTAAATTAAATAGGAAATTTTATTATTTTTCCTTATAATATTATTATAATATAATTAAGCTAAGCTTAATATATTTTTATTTAAAAAAGTTTTTAAATATAAAGTAAATTTTTTTTAAAAAGCTTTTTAATTATTTTTTAAATATTTTTATAAAATTAATTTATAAAAAGTTTTTAGCTAATTAAATATATAAAAAAATTAAGCTTTTTTAATATTAATTGCTTTTTTATTTATTATAAATTTAATTCTTATTTTTATTAATTAAGTTGCTAAGTATTTTTAAGATAAGAATTTCTTAAAATAAGAAAGGGCTTAATAAGTTATTATTATTCTTTTTAAGTTTTGCTATATTAAGTTTTATATAATTACATTATAAGTTTATAATATAAAAGGACTTTAAATATATATTATAAGCTAGCCTTGGATTATTTGCTATAAGGTGCTTAAATAAGGTTTATATTTAAAGTGCAGAGGAAGAGATTCGCTCCCCATTTGCACCCGCGCTAAAGCCTATTCTTATAGGGCCAAAGCCCGCTGATTAATTACAATGAGCAAAGCCCAACCCATAATAAATATACTCTTTTAAAAGTATTGTTTAATTTTTTTTCTTTATATTATACTATCATTATATATTGCTATTATTAATATTAAGGCTTAGAGAAATTGTTAAAGTATGGAGTAATTATAGTGGCACTGCACCAAATTTAGCGGCCGGTTAGGGGGGGGGCGGCCGGGAAGGCAGGGCACTACTCTACTAGCCTGCCGCAAAGTTACCAACCGCGATCTCAGCTATCTTCTTATTTCGGTCAACACTTCGAACCTAGCAACAACTCGAACTACGTGCGCCCCGACACCACAGGCATACAAGACCTTTTCACTTTCTGAACTTGATCGTCCCCGCCGCGACACAGCATCCTGGCAGCCAGCCTGCAGATACTACCCATCGAAGATCTCCAGCCTGGAATCCCGTCCATCATGTCTGATGAGGATCAGAAACTGATGCAGCAGATCAGCCTCCTGGCAGGCAAGTACCTCCCAACCGACGCGACGTGGTGCGATATGGCGCGATGCCATGGAGAGCCGAGTTCATGGTTCGGTCGATTACTGACGCGTAGCCACAGGCCAAATCAACCGTGCAAAGAACCAGCAGGCTGGCCTCGCTCCAGCAACACCTGCCAACCCCGCACCTTTCCGATGTATGTAGCGCCAAAACAGAACACTCGTTTGATAGATGAAGTTTTAACCAGCCGGGGAATATCCAGCCTCTGGACGCGGCGGCTACCACCGCGGTCACCACCCGTATACCGGGCCCGGGCGCGCAGGGTACCGTGTTGCGAAGCCTACCCACCGCCACAGATCCCTTGTCCTCAACAACGCCCATGCTCCGAACAGCTCCAACCATGTCGCAGGCACTGCGTCCGATGAAACGGCGTCCTCATCATGGGTCACAAGAAACGATCGCCACCTCCAACTCATCAACTCCAGCGTGTTTCACGAGCAGGCCGAGGCGCGAACCAAGGCCATGCAACAGACAAGACTGCAGAAGCAGCAGCAAAAGGAACATCGCGAGCGGGCCAAACTTATGAATCACCTCAAACACACGGCGAACCCCTCTGTTGCATCTGCTAACCCCGCATCAGCGCTCAGCTATGAGATATCGGTGGAGGGCATCCGCTTTAGAGTCGCAAACAACGGCAGCAAGCTGGTCAAGATTCCCGGTGCGCCCCAGCCTTCACTCTTTTGCGCGCGACTTCCTGCTCACCAGTCCATGTCAGGAGACCCCAATGGACCCAAGGCCACGCCCAAGATGGCTCTGGTCGGAGGCGTCAAGTTCCATCGGTCCAAGAACGGTAACATGTATCGCCAAGCGATCGTCAAGGCCCATCGGTATGTTGCCCCTCCAAACTGAGTGCGTCCACTGACCGACAACCATCCAGACAATCCGCGGCAATCAAAAAGACCAACGTCACTTGCAAAAACTTTTCCAATACCGGTACCCCCTTGTTCCTTCCCATCACTCTTCTGCACTGATAGCTCCGCGTCTATATCGCAGGCTATGGACAGATGTTACTGACGACGTCGAATTGTGCGCAGGTTCTTGTCCAAAGGGCCCCATGTGCCGCTACATCCACGATCCATCCCGAGTTGCTGCGTGCAAGGACCTTCTGCTGAAGGGGACTTGCTCCGCCGGCGACCAGTGTGACCTATCTCATGACCTGGTTCCGGAGCGCACGCCACACTGTTTGCATTATGCCAAGGGCAACTGCAGGGCCAGTGAATGTCCGTATACTCACCGTATTCTGCCTCCAGGTGCTCCGGTGTGCCACTCGTTTGGCTTTTATGGCTACTGCGACAAGGGCATCAGCTGTCCCGATCGCCATGTCTTCGAATGCCCTGACTTCAGCAACACAGGTGTCTGTAAGACCAAGGGTTGTAAGCTCCCCCATCGAGAGAGGGCAAGCGTCCTCCGAAAGGCAAATGCTGCTCTCGAGCAGAACGAGAACAGAGATGACGAGGATGACTTGTCTAGCGACGACGACAACAACTCGGTCAGCAGCGACGATGTTGACTCTGACGAGGTTGAGGAGTTCGTCGGTGAAGAAGACCCGACAGACTTTGAAAAGGACTTCATCTCCTTCAATTGATCTATCCTGGCGTTTGACGAGAAGGCCGAAGGTCCCGTGCGAGTCCGTCCGCACTTATTGGCCTGTCGTTTGGCATTGACAATGTAGATCAAGGTCCTATCACGGAATCCACTGGAGAAAATAGAGAGACAAAGGCGATACAGGCCCATGGTTAGTTACGCTTAGAAAAAGAAGAGAAGAAAGAAGAGAGATAGGCCAATCAGAAGAATAACAATGTACACGGTGTGCCATGAAAGCCTGCGATTGTTTACTGGTTTTGGTGACATGTAAAACCCACGGACCGCTCATCATGAGAAGCGTCGGTCCGCAACAATCCTGTCGCATTCTATACCTTCCCATCGCCAAAAAGCCTGGATCTAGAGACACGGATTGCTCCAAATGGGGTAGGCTAACATTGAATGGATATCGCTCTACTACCTCTGAGCCGATTTGTGATTAACGGCGAGCAATCTCAAAAGTTCTGTCTCAGGAAGGAACACATGCTTGAGTAACAACCAAAGCACCACAATTATAGCCACAGCTGCTTATGCACGCCTTTACTTCCTCCTGGGACTGCCATTACACAGATAGGCCGCTGAGGCACCCTTAGTTTGATATTCCCAGGATCTTCATCGGGCTTTAGTCGTTGCTCCTGAATGTGTGACTCAACTTATACTCCGAGGCGTGTAGATGCATTCATTCGTCTCTACAGTTCAACAAAGGATAGGCATGAGGTCTCTTTCTCCAATTATATATGCCTATCCGTAGACCCTGAACACACTCCAGCTTTGGCACGGAGCAGAATGTACTTATGCAGCAGAGGCAGAGCGAGAACACGATGGGGATGACAGTCCGGGAGACGTAATTCGAGCCACCCTGCGTCCGGCTTACAGTTGATGGTCTCGAGGGGAGAGTTGTCGTCCCTGGCCATATAACTCGAGCTACAGCTGTCGGGGTGCGGGAGTTTCTGTTTCACCCTGCTGTTCGATGAAGCCTAGGTAAAGCTCGGGGTACAGGTGTGGGATGCCCAGGCCTATGCGGACTATCACCACTGCAGCGCAGAGCTTTGCTGCCGCTGGGAAGCGTTGTTGATGTCGTACTTTGCAGGAGAGAATAGCCCATTGGGGGCTATCCCATTGAGGGTTGTCCCAAAGCAGCCTATCACACAGGAGGTTCCAACAACATTCCATATAGAAGATTATCCTGCTGGAGGGTATCATACCGGGAGTCATCCCGTGGGGGGTTATCATGTGAGAGGTGTTTCCAATGACGCTTCACGCAGGAGGACATTATTCAGGATGTTATCCGAGAGAAGATAATTACATAGGAGGTCACTGTGTTGGTGATTGCCTCATAGAAATTGTTCCGAAAGGTTTTCTTCTTTAGGTGCATCCTGGCAGGAGTTTATGTAGTAAATTGTGCAGTGGTATATAACGTAGTGTATTAGCCTTGCGTAGCCAAGGTTTTCTTTTTAAAGCATATAACTCGAGGCACATCGCCTTGACCTTTCCATATTTATAGTCAGTGCGTATGTGGTTCAGGAGACCCTTCAGACCTCCGCCTACAGTATATCCCGGGCTCCCTTTCCTCAGGTGGAAGCCAGCTAGTCATTCTGTGCTGTGAGTGACTCTACAGGCAACACAGTGAAGGCAAAGTCAAAGCCACCAGGAGCATGGACTGCACCGGACTTGAGAAGCCAGCGTGAGTAGGAACGACGCCCTCCGATGGAGCGACTGAGCCCCTTACACCTGGACAAGAAGTGAGCAGATGTAAATCGGAATGATCACGGCAGAAACCTGTAGAACCTGCAGATATTTAAAGCAGACCTAACTGCGTAGCCGGCTTCCACATGTGCTCGAATTGTCCTAAAATACATGCAAGCGTACGCACAGTACCGGACAGGCCCACGTCCTCATCTCAAACAAAAGCCAGAGCAGCCGCGCACAATCGACAGAACGGACGAGGCGCGGCAATGCCTCGAGCGCTGGTAAAGCACTCGGCGTCTGCTCGACCAATACGAGCTCCGCTGCGCCATAAGACCAATGCTCAAGTGCTTCCGGGGGCGCTCAGCCGATGATCTTCGTCGGCGGAGTCAATCTGCGGTCCGCACGATGAATTAGCCTCCACGTCCGATGCGAACAGGATCGCTGTCGTGTGGGGTGGCCAAGTTGACAAAAAAGCTCCATCAAAAAACCATCGAGATTCGCATGCCCCGCCGCTGGATTCCCGTCTTTACGCGCGTATCAGCATGGCGTGCCCGAGGCATTTCGGCATCACAGCGGGCACCCGTCCAGGGTCAAGCTGGAGGTGTCGCTGGGTTGAACCCGGCCGTCCTCACCGCCCAAGTGGGACGTCCCGATTTTCCCGGTGTCTCGGCTGTTGACCACTGGGCTTCGGGTGTTGGATCATTACCTTGTTCTCGAAGAAATTCATGCGTGTCTGTTTACCCAACCCACGCCCGCCAGGGAAGGCCGCTGGTGGTGTAGAAGCGATCGATGGTTTCGACTCGGCCAAGACCAGCTTGAGAATAAGCTTTCGTGCTAGTTCGCGAGTGTCAACGATGCCCTCGCCGTAAAATTCGTGATGACGTCGTGCAATCCAAATTTCCGCTCCTGGTCGCAAGGCGGGAGACGTGCCGGTAAAGCAGATGGCTGCCACTGTCCGGGCAAGAAAGGCTTCACTGCGACTGCAGGCAGAGCCCTGGTCGCATAGACGGCCGGAACAGCGCCAACGGCATAGCGCCGTCGCTTGGAACGTAGACTAGCCCTTGGAACGCTGGAAGTCGAGTCGTGCAGTCTCCCGCGCCCGAAATCCGACGATGCTGGCGATCTGCCTGTCGACACAGAGGGCAGTATGCAAAGCGAAAGCCTACTCTTGTGCGCAGAGGCAGGTTCCGGAAGAGCACAGACATTCACCAGGACCCCGGGAAATTGTTGACAAGCTTGACGGCTGGGGAGCAGTGGGTAGAGTTTACAAGGGTTCCTTCCTTGTAACATTGGCCACAGCTTGTTCCGACGTCAGCACATGAACATGAGATGGAACGTCGACAGCCTGCACCACGGACAAGACTCTCACACCAGATGACAGGCTGAGAGCCGGAGTGACGATCGAACGCCATCCCGATGGCTGCGGGAGTTTGACACTGCAACCAAGATTCAAGGCCGCACGCCGCTGAGAATGCCGCAACCGAAACAGCAGCCCAGGGGCTACCGTCGAGGCCCACATTTCCAAGGACTGCAGCGCATCTGACGGCTTGTTTCACCAGCTCGCTGCGCAAGACGTTTCTTGACGCGTGGAGATGGATGGATCGTCGGCTTGACAGACTCAGAGTCGACAATGGGCAGACACATGGCACGCAATCATGACCGGCATTCACCTCGCCTGGGAGGCCTCTCTCAGGCTCGAAGGCAGGGCTCATAGAGCGGCAGGCGCGGCAAGGTGATATTCTGCCCATGTAAAGGATGAGCTGATGCCCGAGTACAGTGTTATCACCGGCTGTCTTGTGCTGCCAGGAATGGAGACACAAGGGCGACTCCTTTCCGTGACTGGAACCCACGCAGGTACAGAAACGAACGAGACACGGTCGACAACGTAGACCAAGCTTACCTCGAAGATGGAAGGCACGCCGAATCAGGTCAGGTCAAGCCAGATCAAGCCAGCAGAGCCGCCAAAAAGCTTCCCACTCGGGTCGTCACGGTCCCACCACCGGATGCCTGGTAGCTGCATGCCCCGGAGAGCGCGCTTGGAGCCAGTAGCCCTTGCCCGCGAGGCTTTGAAGCCATCAACTCGGGCCTCCGCTACGTTGAGTCTTTGACCGCCGCACAGGCAAAGGCCGAAGATGCCGCCTAACGCCTGTCGACTTCCTGTCCCCGAAACGGCGGGCAGCCGGATATGAGCATGGTGGGATGATTCTGGCGAAGATGATGGCATTGGGGCGCCGTGCCCCCTGCCACGGCTGGATGGGGACGGATACCCAAGGTCGAGCGGCAGAGGGTAGTCACTGTCGGGTGCACAAGCGAGGACGCCTCCCCCCCCCCAGGCCCAGGAGGGCATGCCGTCGCGAGTGGCGCGAGGCTGTGATCGGCCGCGGGCGACGGGTAGACAGCCAGACGGACGGACAGTCAGTCAGTCACGGCACGGTCGACCAGAGGAGCAGGATGGGCTGCTGCCAGCTGCCAGCTGCAAGGGTGAGGATGGTGAGGATGGGGCTCTCTCCCAGCAGTCGCGAGTAGCACGCGTCGACATGGACGGCAGTGCTGACCGGACTGGATCCGCCGGGCCCTTGGATCGGCCGGGGGAGGTTTTGGAAAGGGCAGAATCGGGCGCTGATTGGAAGGCGGCTCGTGGACAGACGACACACCGACTTTACGACGGGCCATGGTGGGAGGTTTCTGTCGGATTTGTGTGGTGGACGGGCCTGGCGGCATGGGCTTTGGGACTCCACGACGGGCCGCAGGATATGCGGCCACAGTCTCGCTGGGGTGTTTAAGATTCGACCGATCAGCCAAACACGACGCGCCTTCCCCTGCGGCCTGCCCCCTGTGGCCGTGGAAATCCCAGCGGGCCTTGCATGCGCGCCCAGCCACCGACTTTTTCCTGCCCATCATCAGCCCAGGCATAGCGTGCCTGCGTGCCAGATGCGTGCCTTCCTCGACTACCGAGGTAGGCAAGCGAGGTAGGTGACATGCGTAGCAGGTGCCACTCACCACTGCCAGGTGGTAAGTGCGCAGGCAGGCCGTATGCAGCAGTCGGGAGGCAGCAGAAGAGGGTCGGAGGGTCCAAGCTGTCGGTTATCGCGACCAAGAGGCGACAGGACGGGGTAGGAGAAAAAAAAAAACCACTAAGCAAATACGGAGTCGGGACAAGCCATGCTGCATGCAAACGGGCAGAGAGAAGACGATGCTAGCTCAACAAAACAAGGCGGATCGCACCATCGACGCGTTGCCAGCGGACAGAGGTAACGCGATCTGTACGTAGTGGAGTCTGGCAAAGGGCCACGGAGGAGAAAACTTTGATTCAACAAAGCATCCCGGCAGGTAGGCAGTAGGAAGACGACCAGGACACACATAGACTACTCGCATACATACAGTACACACATGCGGCTGTTCCACAACTGCTGGCCCCCTCCCCTGCCCTCCGTCTACCCTAACCCTTATACGTCAACGAGACGGACTGGTGGGGAACGATTGGCGGCAGGTTGGCGCGGGATGCACATCTCCATCGTTCGCCTATCATGATCCTCGAGACGACATGACTCGAGCCGAGCATTCTCGTGCCAGACTGCATGGCTCTGGGCATGTCACTTCTGGTGCTATGGCCACTGGCTTCGAGTCAGGCCCCAGCCGTGCATGTCAACATGCGAGTGCTTTTGCTTTGGCGGGTGAGGTGAGCTGTTAGGTGCACATGCAGTCAGTCTACGGGCATACGTGCCGTATATAACCCATCCCTAGATAGGCAGCATATCTATCTATCTACCTTGGGTAGGTAGGAGTACCTAGGGTCAGCTGCCGTCAAGGTCAGCACCCGAGCAGTCAGTCAGTCAGTAGTCGCTGACGGGCAATCGGAAACCTCCCACTCCTTCCTCCTCCCAGGGAGAGGCTGCACTGGCTGATGGCTGACGAGAAGGTCCCCCGTATTGGGAGCCTTGGGCAGTGCTCTGCCTGTGAGCTGCGTTGAGTGCAGCCCACGCGGGTGCCCAGGTGGGATGGGGTGGGATGGGATGGGACGCAATAATGTGTGCGTGACTCTTTTGGGCGTTGTGGATAACAGGTTACTATTGTAGTCTAGTCGTCTGGTTGGTAGGGAGGGGTAGTCTGGTGGTCTAGGTCTGATAAGTCTAGTCATCAGGTAGGCCTGCCTTGGGCACAAACGTCGACCGTCCCGCGGCAACGGCCGTTGATACCCAACCCACTGCAGGGCTGCACACACAAGAGCACCGGTAGTATGCTCTGAGCCAGTCATTCACGGAGCCCTCCACGCAGGAGCTGCTCGCCCTCGTATTGGGCACCACCAAACATGCTGCTACCAAGTAGCATCTTGGGTCATCGGATGCCCAGAGCCCTGCGCGGCGGCGCTTACAGTAAAACAGCCCCTGGAGCGACTTCCCGGCTGCCGCTCTTCTGTTCCTGGAGGCCATGGCCGGCCGAAAAGAACCCGTGCATGATCTTCTAGAAGGCAGCCTAGGGGCTGCTTAGATTACCCAGGTGGGCAAGTGGGTACCGGCACCTGTTCCCCAGATTTGGATTTTCCGTCACTGAACGTCGCCAGATCGCCCGAATCGGTTCGGATCGGAGGGGGAGGGAGGGGGTTTGCAGCAGAGGCAGAGAGCATTTGCAGCGCAGCGCAGCGCAGTGCCGAGCAGAGCAGAGCAGAGCATAGCATACCATGTTGCTTCTACTCTGCTGAGCAGACAACAGGAATTTGAGTACAGCTCATTACTGGCAGTGGTACGCTTTCGCAGCCATACAAACAAGGGGAAATCAGATGACCAGCGCCCATCGACTGTGGCGTCTCCCGCCCTGTGCTGTCTCGTCCTGTCACTGCTCGATGAAACCTGCGACTGCACCTGATAAGGTTTCCTAGCTTCGACGGCCCAGCCAGCCAGCAGTCTAGAAGAGATCAGCACCGGCGATCGGCTGGGGACGACTGCTACAATCAGCCATTCTGCCCACTCTCCATCTTCGTACTATGGCACATCTGCTCTGCTGTTGTCAATCAACAACAGCCCAGCCTCCCACCGCTGTTTTGAGTCGCTGCTGCTATTAGTCGCCTCCCCATAATGCACCGACCGGTGTTTGCACCGATCTAGAATACCACAGTACCTACGCAGTATCCGGCTCTAGGACGGCAGTGGCGTCGCGCGCCACCCGTTTGTTGACTTCGATGAGAGGCTGGCCTGCCAAGGTGGTCGCTAGCGTGTTCTGCTCAAACCTTACTGTTACTTTGTAGAGCCACAGCCATCAAGCACGCCTACACCTGAGGTACCTGAGTAGTCAGGCTCGCCCGCCTGTCTGCCTGTGGCTGATGACGGTGCCGACGATATGCTTTTGACGGGCCCATGTTTCATTGAGTGCTCTCATCCATCAGTCATCCGTCTCTCTCCGTCTCTCCCCCCCCCCCTACTCCAGCCTATGACGTCCCTGGTCTCCGGTCACCTACTTACTTGGTAGTCAGTCACCAGCCCGCGCTGCAACGGTGACTTAGGGCTGGGTGTTGCGTTGAGTTGGGTCGATTTAAGTTGAGCTGTTGCCAAACCTCGTAGCACATGGATCCCGATGCCCGATGCCTATGCCCAGCCGGAGGATGGTGGACAAGCCGCGAGGTCCTTGTCCGCGTGTACACATGGTCTATCTCAGTGTGATACGTCCTGCGACAGGCTCCGTACGGCAGGCAGGCAGGTACTTGCTCATTGAGTAGGTGCACTCTGGGCGAGTGCATGATGGGGTTAGCAGCGAAACATCAGGCGAACCCACTTGTCCGGACCAGTGCACATACGCACACAGTATTTGCATTAGTATTTTGATGTGGACTATTAGGGATTTGGGATTTGCGCATAGGCGTGGACGGTGGAAACGGAATCCCAATCGGGACGGCATCTCTCCTGGGAAGCCCTGGGACGGCGGGCACCCTGTCCGCCGCTCCGGCTCAATCACCCACTGGGCCTCTGCGAGGGAGCATCATTCCGTACTCCACCTTGGATGGCAGACTACCAAGGACCACCTGCCCCCGGTACGTACCACCCTCGCTCTCTCTCTCTCTCTCTCCCCCTCTGTCTTTCCCTTCCTGCCCTGTGCGCCTGCGGTGGTATCCATACCCAACGGCCGACCCTGGTCACACAGTCATGCCCACCTCCAAGCTCTTTTCCCTCTTCATCAAACCAACGCCCAGCTTGCGTCTTCGAGGGGGTACAAATCCAAGCTGCCCCTCCACCGTCTCTCCCAACCCCGTGTCTGCCACCATTCAAAACATCATCAACGCATGCCCGTGTTCAAAGGTCGGCAGTTCCGCCTCCAGTCTCAGCACCAGAGCCGCCGCCCTTCTTGCTCTCTATCTTGTCGCCTTCTTGGACGCTCTGTCTGAGATTGCCAGCCCTCCATCACCTACTTCACACCATATCAAGTCATATCACATAACATCCTCAACATCGCCTCTCACCCACCTCGCCTCGCCCCGGCTCACCTCACCTTGACCGTGGCTTACTCGACACCGGACTGCTCCTCCACGGCCCAGCAGACCATCGTCGCACAAGAACCAGCAACAGACAGTCGTCGCCATCTGTTGCCAGCGTCCTCTTGACAAGATATTGTATAACGAGCGTGGTCAGTGCTGCAAGTTTTCCTACCATCCTCTCTCTCACGCCCACCGTCACACGCACGCCCTCCGCCCACTTCCTGTGTCTTCCTACCTTCCAAGTGATCCGTTCCCAAGCAAAAGACCGTGACAACTGCTCCTGCTCCTAGCCCTTCACTCTTGGTGCAAATCTGGACGGTCTACCGTGTGCCAGCGTCCCGGGCCTGTTGTCTGCGTCTCCAGCATTGCCGGGGCTGAGTACGGGCTCTGTTGTGTGGTCCCGATAGTGGTCCTGGCCGACCACCCGGGTTCCCCACCCCCCTGCCCATCAACCACTCACTCAGGTTGACGTTTCTGTCCCTCCTGCTTACCCCCCTCCCCTCCCCCCCTCACTTGTTCTTTTTCCCCAGATTCTCGGACACCACACCCCCCCCTCCCTCGCATATTCTCTTCTTTCCGTTCCACATTTCTCTGCATAGATGTTGTGTGTCCGAGAAAATCCTGTGAAGTCCTATCCACTGCTTGGCGAGCATTTCAACGGGGCCCCCATCACACAAACATTCCCAGACGGACTGGCGCTCCTCCCGGGAAATTTCGAAATCGAAAAATTCCCACATCCTCTTTAGGCCACACCCGGCTTGCCGCCCGGGGAGAGAAACCCAGGAAGCCCACACAGCCTGAGTCCTCCACCCACGGCGCGAGCCCCAGCAATTCCAAAAATAAAACCTCCCATAAGACCTTCATCGGCATCATTTTGTGTACATAACACACCGCTCCCCCTCTCATCACCTCGTCTCATACGGCCAGCCCTCCCAAGACTAACACTTACATTTCACCACAGACAGAGAGCCTTTGTCTCCGGTACGACCAAAATATCGTCACCAAAGGTCTAAACTGGTAGTCCCGTTCAGGCCCACTACACCCTTTGAGACCAAGTCTTGAGAGACCAACATGGTCTCGACATTGCAGATGCAAAATTACTACCGGCAATCTGGGTTGACGGTAGACACCGCGCACGCGCAACAAAAATATTTCGACGACGAGGACTGCATATTAGACGACAGCATTCTGGACCAGAACGCCATGGACTCAGGCCTTGAGATGTCACCCAACATGGCCGACAGCAGGAGAGAGTCCTTCGCTGTGTCGACCACGCTCTTCTCTCCCAAGAACGAGCCGTGGGCTGCCGTTGACATGGAGTCAAACCCGTCTCAGATATCCAACAACCCCTTCATGGACAATCAGATGGAACAACAACACTCCCAGCACCAACACCAGCCCCAGCCTCAAGCACAGCCTCAGCACCTCAACAGTAACAACCCCTTCTATCGCATGGACCAACATCAATACCAGCAGCATCAACCTCAGCCCTTCGTTTCTCAGCCTACCAACCCCTGGTCCATGAGCAACTCCGGTTCCTGCACCCCTATGGCGCAGTTTGATGGTCTTCCAACCGAGTACGACAACAGCAGCAGCAGCAACAACAATAACAACACTGCTGGCATTCCCTTCCAACGGCCACAAATGCAGGGCCAGACGCCCTTCAGCAACCCAGCGAACCAGGTCCCAATGTTTCCACCAGTCAATGGCCATCCCATGCAGCAGTCCGCCTCCAAGGATGGTTGGATGACTGGTCTCAAGGACCCCAAGAACGACAGCGCTACTATCAGGTCACACAACGAGCTGAGGAGAGGAGATGGCATCCGGAAGAAGAATGCGCGCTTTGATATTCCAGCTGAGCGCACGCTCAATAACATCGACACCCTGATAGCCCAGTCGACCGATGAGACTGAGATCAAGGAGCTTAAGCAGCAGAAGAGGCTGCTGCGCAATCGGCAGGCAGCGTAAGTTGTGCACAGCCTCCATCCCCATTACTAGCATGATCCGCTGACTTTTCTCCACAGCCTTGACTCAAGACAGAGGAAGAAGATGCACACCGAGCGGCTCGAGGATGAGAAGAAGCAATTCACCTCCATCATCGGCGACTTGGAAGCAGATATGGAGCAGATGCGTCTTCAGATGGAACAGATGATGCGCGAGAAGCAGCAGGACGTCCAGCTCATCGAACAGCTCAAATTCGAGAAGGAGGAGATGGTCCGCACGCACACCATTGAGACTGGTGAGCTGCGCAAGAAGGTCAGCGTTCTCAGCAACCATGTCCAGGCCCTTGAGGGTGCAGCCATGTCCCAGGCGAATGGCATGGCCAATCAAGCCTTCACCGGCGCAGCCTTCGGCGATATGGAGGGAATGACGATGGATGGCCCTTGGGATGGCATGGGCTTGTTCGGCGCAGAGTTCCCCATGGAGCAGGCCGAGGTCAAGCAAGAGATGCAGCTCGTGTCCACCAAGAAATCAGAGGCCAACGTCTCGGCCGATGTCGAGAAGCCTGCGACCCAGGGCGGCCTGCTCTTCATGCTGTTCCTCGTCGGCGCATTTGTCCTCTCCAACCGCCAGTCCAACGTCCCTCGCGTCTCCGAGGATGTCCGGGCTGCCTCGGCTTCTATCCTCGAAAACGTCCTCAAGGACGCTGGTGTGGCGCAATCCGCTTCCGGCGGCATGGAATCCATGGCTCCTCAACCTACTGGCACTTCGTGGGCTTCGGTACCTACGGCGTCGATGCCCGTTCTTGGCAATGGCCTGGACGGCGTGGCTCCCTCTATGCTTGGGGACCTGTCGGACAGCCTCACCCAGCCGACCCAGGAGCAGCAAAACGAGCAACTCTTCGGTCTGACTCCCGCGCAGTATGAAGGGGTGAACTCGCATGACTTCCTCCAGAATGCTCCCGCCGAGAAGTCTACCAGCCAGGGCCGGAAGAACCTGGCGCAGGCTCTCGCCTCCATGAGGACCGATAGCAAGGCCGAGGTGTACACAAGGTCCCTTTTGTGGGACCAGATTCCGGGTGATGTGGTTCGATCATTTGCGAAAATGGTGGCCGAGTGCAGCAGCCCGGACAGCAACAATCACGGCAAGATTGCCACAGCATGATTGATGAAATAACGACAACCTCACGTCGACGATTTGCCCGTGCGTCGAAGCACCAACGAAATATCACGATCATAGACCAGAACCATCTCCGCTACATCTGCTTGTTTTAACTCGAGCCAGCCAGCATTGCAAGTCTGTATTGAAGCTATCGCCACACATATACACTTCTCCGACGCGCTCCCGCGCAGCGACTACATACTCTTGTGCTCACGCACACGCAAAGATTGCCACTGTCTATTTTGACTCCATGCTCTGGAGTCCTTGTTACTTGATAGCGATTTCCTTTTCTTGTTTTCCTTTTTTTGCTTGCTTTCCTTTCTGATTTTGTTTGTCTACAATTTTGTCTCGGATTGTTTCTTGATTTTAGCGATTGAAATTTTAGCAGGCGAGCGAGCGTTTGGAATTTGATTGCACACCCCCACCCCCACCCCCCCAACACACATTTTCTGCCTGGTTTTGTTTTTCCTTATTTGTATTTGTGTTGTCTCACATATTGGGATTGGGAATCATTGGGCGGTTGGTCTGGGGGCTTCTTATCTTGGATATGGCAGCGCGCCGAACATTTCAACAGTTGCATGGGCTGGTTTGGGACATGGGACGGCCAATTGTCTGTTTAGGACCACGGCAACGACAGTACAGAGAGCCTCGAGAGAAGACGGAATCCGGATCTCCACGGCAAAGACCCCAGATTTGAGAAGAAGAAAAAATGAATCGAATGCTCTCCTCGGACTGCATCAGCGTCACGGCGGGAAGGGAAGCATAGCAGCCCACGCAGGAAGACTCCCTCTTGTGTCTCGATACTTCCTGGCACCAAACAGGGGCGAGAGCTGGTCCCGACAAGGTGTCCTCGACACATACAAAACTACGCAAGCGTCTCACGACAACGCACACAGTCACTCTCTACGATCAAGCATCTCATTTGTCGACCAATTTCCTAGCTTGTTTCCTCTTGAGCGGTCGGGTGAGCGGTTAGCGTTGTCCAGTTGAGAATGACGGACGGACGGAAAAGGGACGGTGGAACGGGTTGGTGGACGGTGATGAGATATATGTGGGATGAGACGTAATGAGTGGAACAAAGCTCATGAACTCAGGCCCGACAAGCAGACAAACGAGGGGTTTGTTCGGGCGGCATTGAGGCGTTTGGAGGATCAGCTGCACTCCCCACGACTATAGACGTTGTGCTGGGTTGGCAGTTTGGAATCGGACATGTGCTCTGGGACGAACGCATGTCGTGATGATGACAAACTCTTGTAGCTAGAGCTCCCGAGCTAATATGACACATGGAGCCCCCCTTCCCCCCCAGACACGTGCTTACATACTCGCCCCTACTCCCGTTGGATGTGACATGTGTGGTTGCCGGCCTGGTTGAGGCATGTAGCTCCCAGACACCTCCCTCTCCAGCAACATTGCCTTTGCTACTACTTAGTGGCACCTTTCTGCTGCTGCTGGTGAACGGATGGGGCGGGTTCGGCGAGACTCGTACCTTTCTCGAATGGCCCAAATAGGAAACACGACAAGATTCTATTCGCCGCAGCTTGTCTCGCATTCAAGCCCACGTTTGTTCATGGCATTACCAATGTTCCAACTAGTGAAGTGCCCACGCTGCCCAACAGGATCATGTCTCAGTCAAGAGCCACCCACTGCCCGCCCAACTTGGCCCCCCATTGGCCGTGTGCCCCCGTTGGCTGTCCCTCGGGAACACCAAGGAAGGGCCTAGAGATTATGGGTTGGGGCTTTTCCTGGTCCTGCCCCAAAACGCCTCGCACCACACTGCCGCGCTACTGCAAGTACGGTGTCGAGGTGGCACTGGTTGCACTGGTGAAGAAACAGCGGGAGCCGGAGCCCCCATTGGTGTTGTCTTGCCCGGCCGACCCGCCGTGCAAGAAGATGGAGGTTTCACGTTGCATCGGGAGGGCGGCGCGGGCCTGCCATACGTTCGGCTAGGTCTGCGGTACGGATGACCTATTTGGGGGTGGGGGGATGGCTTGTATTGCATGTAGTGCCCAAAAAAGGGATCAAACCACCCAACCACTCGCCTTCCTCTTGGCTCCGAGCGGGAGGGAGATCGATCGAGCTGGTATTGGGCATCAGCTGCCTGGCAGATGAGTGTGCTGCCATGCAGTGATTTGCAGAAGGCGAACGGGCGGGTCGGTCAGGAGATGCTTTCGAGGGCTGCGCCGGGATAAAAGAAGGCCTGAAGCTGGGATTGGGAACCTACCGAGACACATGCCCAAGTCACCCAATAGGCCTCGAACTTCGGGATACCTTCAGCTCAGATCTCGATTCGGCTTCACCTTGGATTCCTGAGTGACCGGCTCAGAAGACTAAGTAACCTGCAAGGCAACCTGAAATCTTCGCTATGTATTTACCTCCACCGTCAAAATGCACGAGGCTTCTCGAAACGGCTCCGTGGTGGCACAGACATGCAACCCCAACGTGCAGTGGCATCGACCTTGGCGGTCGTCATACGACACAGGTATTGAACCATCGAGCATTCGCTGTCCTGTTCCCAGCTAGATGACAGCAGGGAGACCAGCAGCAGACATTGGCAGACAGTGGCAGACAGTGGCAGACAGTGGCAGCCTACATACAGGAAGACCGATATCATGGCCCGCGAACAAAGATGCGTGTAAATCCTTCTCGGTACGAATCAAGCACCGGCGCACCCAGAGTCCTGACACCCATCAGCTGACCCGCGCGGGCTGCGTATAAGCAGCTGGGGTGGCCCCAAGGCGCGGCACGACGCCAGTCAGCTTTAAGCGCGAGGCCGGGTGCGGCAGCAGCAGCAACTAACAGTATCGCATGTCGAAACATAGGCAGAGTTGGCCGGTGCTGTGCCCCGGATCGAGGGCTGTCCTGCCTTGGTTGGATGCCGATCAACGCCTCGTCAGAACCGGGCCTGTCCACCTGCCCTGCTCCGCCGCTGACCATGCAGACAGGACGGCGCAAGCAATACGGGCCGACAGACAAAGAGGTGTGCGAGGCTATTCGGCGGTTGTTATGACTTCCGCCGTCCACTGGGAGGTGACCGGGTCGAACAAGCCAACGGCGTACGGAGGAGCAGGCAAGGGGGGGGGGGTCTCTCGGAAGCGCAGCACGGGTTGTGACAATATCCGTAACGATGCTCTCTGTATCCAAAAGGATGTGTACCCTTCCCACCAGCCCTGAGCTGCCGGAGGCTAGCAGAGCTGGCAAATATATACCTGAATCATAGCCAATCTCAATAGTCAGCCCCATTGTTGCTCTTCGCTTCCGGTTACGCCCTCTCAAGACTCCAGTGGATGGGAAGCAGCATCAGGCCGGAGCTCCAAGCTCGAGGAGCAGCAGGCGCCACCCGCTTCCCCGCGGGCCACAGTGCAGTAGCATGGTTACGTTGCATGTTCCAAGGCACACCTGCATTCCAACCCCAGCCCCCCGCGACCCGCGAAACTGGTGGGCTTCAAGCCATTGGGCCTCTATCGTGTCACTGCATGACGATGGCACGAATGGAAAGATCCCGTGGACCAGCATTGGTCGCAATCTTGATGCCGGAGGAACACCAACGTTCTCGAATGCCAGCTCGGCTTCATCCGGGCTCCTGCCCCAGACACGGCTCAGCCTCGTACTCTGGCCCTTCTCATGTCCGCCGTGTAACGCCGCAGTGCTCCCTGGTTCTGCCGTGATACCGTGATATAGGACACCCGTGGCACTGAGGGAGATTCTCAAGAGTTCCGGCCCCGCTTGGTTCAGGTACGGCAGAGTTGCAGAGCCACAGCTTGGTTTCTATTTCTTGCCATTTTTCCTGTTTTCGGGGTTGTACTTGTCTTTCCAGATCCTGCGCGACCTCATTAGCACTGTCCCAGACAAGAAGTGAGTGCCCAAGGCTGAAGCGATGACAATGACGTTAGGTCTGCTATTTGATGTGGCGTCTTCTCCTCGTTCCCCGCGACCCGACGCGGGGAACGAGGAGAAGGCAGCCGGCTGGGCTGAGGCGGAGCAAATATGACGCGACATCTTCCACGCGCATATGGCCTTCTGTGACACCATAGCCTGTGCTGTGAGGCCGAGTAAGACCAGACGAGAAAGTCGGAAGGTCCACAGCGCCCAAGACCTAAGGCCCCGGCTCTGCACCAGTCAAGATACCCATAGCCTGCCGAGGGTTGCGCTGGCCATTCACCAGCATGGGGCGAGATGCAGTCCCGAGGCGAAACGATCGACAGGCCTCCCGGTGCGACCTCCCAACCCAGCCAGTCTGGGCCAGGTTGCAGATTGCGCGCCTTGTTCGACTTGTGGAATGCATGCGCGAAGCAGAAGATGATCGGAAGAGAAAGGACCCCGGCCACTTACCAAGAGTTTCCCAGCGTTTTGTTACCGTTTTTCTCGGCCAGACGGTAGTACTTGGCGGCCGAATACTAGGAGGTGAATATTGTCAGCCTCGTGTGACTTTGCGTGCGTCTGATGATCCAGCAACTGCACATGGGGAATGAGCGAGCCTTGCGACAAGGGGCGGACCAGCCCCCAAAAGCGGCCGCCTCGTTGATGCCCAAGAGGATCCAACCAGTTGGATTGTGATCCGGCATGGCGTGCAGCAAGACGCACGAGTGAAACGTCAGCCGCAGCCATGAGGCTCAGGTCCCGAGGCCACGGAGGATGTTGGGCAGGGTCCATGGTGTGTGGTTTGAGAATCGACTGGCCGCGGGCGGCCACAAGGCACTCACCTTGTCCTTCTTGCAGCCGAATCCTTCCAAATAGCACCATGCTACCTCGTTCATGGCGTCTGTCCAGGGCGACGTATCAGCTTCCTGTGCCTGCAGGGCATCGTCGGCCAGGCCAGTCGGGTAGGCTTCGACTCACCTGTGTCTCCGAGATTTGCAGCTGTTTCATAGTACTGCCAAATAGACAAGTCAGTCACGGCTACTTTAGACGCCCGCATCCCCGCATCCTCGCATCCTCGCATCCTTCAATGCCCAATGCCTCGATCACATTCGCTGTGGCAACGTGCTCCATGCTTGTTGTTGTTCAGCTCAGGCACAAGGACCGCCCCGTTCCCAGCCCAAGACGTGTCACCCCGACTGTGGCCTCTTCCTTCGTACCAGCTGAGAGCAAAGACATCCATCACATACCTGCTTAGCGGCAATCGGGTCCTTGTTGATGCCCCAGCCTTGGCGGAAACAATTGGCTAGCTCAAATATGGCCAGGACCAGTTCTCCCTTGGCCGCACCGCCCTTCTTGAGGCCGGCCTGCAGAGCCAGACTCTCGACATCGGCGGCATTCTTGGCGGCAGCAGACAGGTAAAACACTGCCTTTTCGGGTATCGGTTCGCAGCCCCATCCGTGCCTGAGAGAGTCAGTGTGACTTCGACAAGGGATCGGTGAAAGGCGAGGGACAGGATCGACTGATGTATGACATGTGCTGCGTGGTGCGGGAGTGGTATGGCGACCAGGCCCGCCGGGGACCCGGCCTTGCGGTACAACAAACATCACTTACCTCAATGCCAGACCGTAGAGCACCTGGCTCAGCGGGTTATTTGCCCCGTTCGGATCGGCCAGGATTCCAAACAGCCTGGTGCTCTCCTTCAGCTCGCCTTCCTCGTGCAGGCGGATGGCCTCCTGGATGTCGGCGTCGATGGCTGGCGAGCTCGCGACAGCATTGCTTTGCCTCTGGTCGTTGCTGATCCGCATGCTCCCGAGCCCGCCCTGGATCCCGGCAGCGACGTAAGGGTCCGTGGTGGGGCTGGCAGGACGGCCCCGTTGCAGCTCGTTCTCGTTGGCTGTTTTGGCGAGGATCGTCGCGCGCTTCTCCCACTGCTTCTCGGCCTCGTCCTCGCCCCCAGCGACGACGATCTCGGGCAGGTTCTCAGGCACGTTCTCGGAGCTAGCTGGAGACCGCTTCAGGTGTAGACGCTGCGAGATGCGACGGCTGGGGCCGCCCTTGTCGGGAGCGGGCATGCTGCTGGGCCGGCTGGAGGCTGACGAGCCTCTCGAGCGTGGCTTGAAGGCGTCGGAGATGCGACGTGGCCGTGAGGCCAACCCTGACCCCCCGGAGTACTCAGCATCACTTGCGCTGAGGAAGTTCACGTTCTCGTGGCTGGCATTCTGACTACTGGGGTCGCTTGGTGGTTGTATCACCTCGTGCGAGTGCGTATCGGAGCGGATGAAGGTGAACTCTGGGGCCTGGAGGTTCTTCACTGCATCTTCCCTCCTGTTGTCGTCGCTACTATCCTCGAGCTTGTCCTTCTTTTTCAAGATGTCTCGTAGACCCATTTTGGCAGGTGTTACAGCCCGGTACAGTGCTGTGCAGTCGAGTACGGTATAGTATATAGACAGTATAAGTGTCCTGTGCGCAGACCAGACGAAGGGTCTGGGGCAGGGCGGAGAGACAGGGCTGGCGTTGTCTGGCTGGTGTCTCGGGCGAGTTCACGTCGAGGTCGCTGTCGCTCTCGTTGTCGATCGGATCCGCGGGGGGATTTTTAAGTGGCGAGACTTTAGCCGCGCAAGCAGCCCAGAGCGAGAATCGAAACCGACGACAAGGGACTCGACGGTTTATTAAGGAACGAAGACGATGGGACCGACTGATGATCACCTCCCCACCGTGGATCCTTCAATACAACAGCGCGGGCGGCTTCGAGTGGTCAAGATGACGGCCGGGATTGGAGACCCTGATTCAAGTAGGCGCTTCGGGGGAGACTGCACGTATGCAGTGTCGCAGTGCAGGACGGTTCAATGGGCTATCCGGGTCGTTTCTTGGTCTGCTAGAGAAGGAGACAGGACGAGGAACATGTCCGGCCATGTCCAGGGGGAAGTCGGCGATGGTGATGGTGACGGTAGACGCGTTGTGCGACACAGTCAGCTCAGCTGGGACCGGGAAACTGGGGAGGAAATAAGGCTGAGTTGGCGGCGAGGGTGGCGCATTGCATTGCGTTCCATTCCATTGCATGGCGACCCTGCCGCAGTACTGGTCGGCTGTACCTTGGCGCGGCGGCGACGGCGGCAGGGAGATTGTGGAAGGCGACGCCCAGCAAGGGCAGAGTCTTGGAAGGAGATACCGTAGTCTTCAGACCATTACCGTACTTGTGCAGAGTCTACCCCTGCTGCCTCACGAACTTAGACTGTAGCTTGAGCACACCAAGCACATTTTCCTTGCGTGTCTAACACCAGGTGGAGGTGCTGTAAATTACATGCTGTGCCAAGGATCCTCCCCTGATATGGGGGCCGATCTTAGGGGCCCAGGGGTACCGCTGTACGTCGATACCCTGGGGCGGAATCAACCTCATTACTTTTGTGTCTATGCGGTGGTCCAGCCGACACGCCAGGTCAATCTGCGCCGGTTCATCCCAACATTGTCCATTGTGCTGGTTCATCCCTGATATGTCCAAGCCAAGCCTGCAGCTTACGTGCATCCGGAGTAGCAGTATAGATTGCATGCCGGCGGACGATGCATCGTGCAGCAATCTCGAACACGAGGTTGATGTTCTGGTCCTCAGCAGCTGTCAACATGCCCATCGCGGACCAGTCTCGGGCGGCGGCTCGGGCGCATGTTCGGACGAGTGATGTGGCTCCCGAGCTCTTAATTAAGCCTTCACTCAGGCATGAGATGCATGTTCTGGTCAGCTTTTTGCTTGCGCATTCAATTTGCATTCTGCGCTGCGATGCAATGCGATGCGATCCAATCCAATCCAATCCAATCCTTGGGTCACGGTCAACGACAGTCTGACACACAGCAGCCTACAGTCTTCATGAGAACGTCCAGCCCCGGAAGTCGTCCACAAACCGCACAGCCGAGGCCAGGTACCGCTCGTGAACATCTCCCCAGGTCCTCGCCGCCTCGCGCATCGCCCTTACCGCCTTGACAAAGTGTGCATCCGTGGCATACTGGCCATTCAGTGCCTTGTCCTCAACGTACGCCCAGCCCTTTTGTGAGGACCCCTCGGGCCAGGGCACGTAATCCGGGTCGATCTTGGGCCTCAGCTCCGCGATGTAAGTCGACAGCGTGAAGAGCCACCACTGCCGCACCAGTGGGATGTGGAACCTGGCCGGGATCATCGGCAGCAGGATGCGCACCGCGTGGCTTGTGGTGAGCAGGTGCACCACCAGGAAATTGTATGAATGCGCTCCCGGTGGCACCGTCGCCACCAGTAGCGCCGTGGCAGCCTCCTGGCTCTCCTTGAACCGCTTTGCCGGGTCGCTGCCCACGTCCCACGCGTTCCAGTACTCCAGCACCAGGTCCTCGTGCTTATCGAAGAGAACCTCGATATTGTCGAAGCCCTCGCCCTTGTGAAATAGCCCGTCGAACCGCTTGTCGCCCCTGACCTTGTCGAGTATCTCGACGGGCGAGGCCGAGACGAAACCTCCCTTGGGCGGCGGCCGGGTGTACTTTGGGTCGTCGAGGTACTTGTGCATGAAATCATACTGGGTGGCGGCCATGGCCAGCGCTTCTATGGCGAGCTCCTTGTTGTCCAGCTCGTAGGCGTAGCCCAGGTGGATCAGGGGGTGGCCGAGGCCCGCGATCAGATTGTTGCCCAGCGGCGGGCCGCCGTCGGCGTCTCCCCACACGTAGTCGTTGACGACCTTGGTCCAGTCCCACGACTGGGTGCCCAGCCGCCTGCCGACCAGCTGGTCCTCGAAGAAGTCGACGTAGGCCCTCTGGTAGTGTCTGTCGCCGAGGAAGTCGCGCCAATCATCTTGGACTATCTCGGCCGGGCTGTCAGACCAGGGCTCGAGCTCTTTGGATTCGTAGTCGTAGATCGTGTGCAGCTGGTCGGGGGAGGCGCCGAGGAGGTAGGCGGAGCCGAGGATGTGTGGCAGGTGGTTGTGGAAACGCAGCGTGTTATAGAGGATGGCATGGTTGGTGTGGTTTGCGCGGAGCAAGTGCTTAAGCGTCCGCGGCCGTTTCTCGGGGGCCGCCTCGATGCGGTGCACCTCGACGGGCTCGATGGAGATGGCCTGGTGCGCGCCCGCGCCGACCAGACGGCCGTAGATATACGAAAGCATGGCTTTGCGAGATGTATGTGCTGTATGCCTGCTGTGCGCGCATAAACACAAGCGTGTGTGTGGTCAATGATGGGCTCGAATTGACTTGGTCGTGGTGAAATCCGAAGGGCAGGAGCGGAGGAAGAGGGGGAGTAATGAGGGTGGTGTCTCCCAAGGAGTGGCGACGAAATGCCCCAACAATTTGGAGCTCTCCCCGGATTGTCGGACGATATCACTCAAGTGGAAAATTAGGCTTCACGGCGATCCCATCCTGCCCCTCATCATTGTTACGGACTGGGAAACCGGCAGTAAGCAAGGTAGTATCCATTTGTCGCATGGCAAGGTCGACGATCGAGGGTCGGCGATGGACCTGTTTACAGTACATTCTCAGACCTACCTATGATTGATTCTAGGGAACTTATCTGCTATCTCCCCCTAGGCGGGTACGTACTCGGCCCTCAACGCCCGTTGCCTGCCGCCGACTACTGGAGCTTCCCGGCATTGGCCTATCGACGTCAGAGGTGCAAGGAAGGAAGAAGTGCCCCGCCCCCACCTCTGATTACCTACTTCAGTACGTACCGTGCCGCGGTGTCGAGAGGACTTTCAGACCAAGCAGCTTCAACTTTGTCTGGCCTCGAGGTTGAAACAACACGCGTATATATACACACTCTTAAACCGTGACACAATATTGGCAACCCTTGCCAATCCGGCCGCCATACACCAATCACAATGGCTCCCAACGCTATCATTGCGCCCTCCATCCTATCCGCAGACTTCGCACAGCTCGGGGCGGATTGCGCGAGGACAATCGAGCAGGGCGCAGATTGGCTTCATGTCGACATCATGTGAGCTCTCTCCCTCTCCCATGAGCCCTCACTTCTTGGTGCGAAGATACCGTTCTCAGTATTCACTCGTCTACGCTCTCCGCTGATCGCACTCGCCCCAGGGATGGACACTTTGTCCCAAACATCACCTTTGGCGCCCCTGTCGTCGCTAAGATCCGCCCCCACGTCGACAAGCCCACCACTGCCCATGGACGGGGCACCTTTGACTGTCACATGATGATTGCAGAGCCAAAACGATGGGTCAATGAGTTCAAGAACGCCGGCTGTGATTTGTACTGCTTCCACTACGAGGCTGCCTTTTCCACCGCCGCCGAGACCCCCTCGGCCGAGAGCGAGCTCAAGACAAACCCGAAGGAGCTGATCCGCTACATCCACGACTGCGGCCTGCTGGCCGGCATTGCAATCAAGCCAAAGACGGGTGTTGACGTCTTGTGGGACATCCTGGAGAATCCCAACGAGAAGGAGAGGCCAGACGTGAGTCCACAGTCCAGAGTCCAGAGTCCGCAGTGGCGTGACGACCAGGAGGCGAGGGTGTGATTAGAGCTGATGTCGTTGCAGATGGTGCTGATCATGACGGTCGAGCCTGGCTTTGGCGGGCAGAAGTTCATGGCTAGTGAGCTGCCCAAAGTCCAGGAGCTGAGGAAGAAGTACCCTGACCTGAACATCGAGGTGGACGGTGGACTGGGACCGGCCACCATCGACCAGGCCGCGGATGCCGGCGCAAACGTCATCGTGGCAGGCAGCGCTGTCTTCGGAGCCAAAGACCCCTCCGAAGTCATCTCGGTGCTGCGTAAATCAGTCCAGTCTAAGACTGGGAAGCTTTGAATGAGGCATGAGGGCAGTCGTCCCAATTAGTTGTAGATAAACGAGCTGGCCCACGTGTAGAAGCACGGAAGCGGATAGATCGGTCCAGACCCATGAATCTTCGACACTGGATGTTAGACAACAGCCCCAAGCCGTTCAGGAGCCTTGGTTGCCCACATACCTTTTTGACGGCCATTTGGCTTTGTCATTTCTCCCGCCTCGTCACATCACAACACATCCCACCTCAAATCCAGGGTCGTGCCTGCTGGGCCCGCTCCCAAATCGGATGCCACGTCTCTCCCTGATCACCATACGGGTGTAGTTTCGGTCATAGCACCCGAAAAGGACGTGCAGAGGACACTGGTAGCTCTTGTATTTCTCGGGGGGGTACAGGGCGTTCCCAACGCCAAATTGAGGGCATTGGCTGAACCCGGCGTTTGGAGCACACGGCTCGATGATCTGGAGCCATTTGCACTTGCATCTAGGCGACTTGTACATCGCGACCCGACACATTATGTCTTCTCGGGGTTTTCTTAGAAATAAATTGGTTCGACTTTACTGGTAAGCAAGCTATTGGTGAAAAGGCATATGCCAAAATCGAACTTGTAAGTTGTCGGTTGGGATGAGTCTTGGCGCAGGAAAGGTGCGAGGCTATCAACTTGTTCAAACTGGGACGATTTATCTACTCGGCAAAGCTCACGCTTTCTTCGTCACTCGATGCCCATTCTCATCCCGTCCCATATTGCTTCGTTCTTCATGACTTTCGCTTTGGCTCAACCCTCGGCAAGTGACATCAGACTCTCTGCAAGTCATTTAACCCTGGCGTGCCTTCTCACCAGAACGACCGACCGACCGACTCGTCATCATGGTGCAGTCTTTCACCCACATTCGCATCCCACAGCCACGTTCCTTGTCCGTGCCAGCGCCACCCCAGGACAGCTCCAACATGACCTTCGAGCTGGTTTTCGATTTTGATGGCACGATAACGGATACTGATACCATTGCGTCCGTCGTTGATGCGGCTCTGAGTTACCACGAAAGTGTCGCTTCCCTAGAGAGTTATCATTCTCTGACCGATGCCTGGCGTCATGTCGTCAAGTCATACATGACAGATCTTGACGCGTATCACAAAAGTCTCGATCCTGTTATTCAGAATAACTGTCGAATGCCATTAAATACAGCTAGAGCCCATTTCTCGAACGACCAGCGCCGGCAGGTTGAACGGGCCTCGCTGTTGCGAGTACAAGAGGCGGGATTATTTCGTGATGTTCCGTTTGAACATCTGTTCCTTTCCGGCCAGGAGCACAGGGAGAAGAATGTTGTCAAGTTACGCAATGGCTTCTCCGATTTCATTGATCTCATGCTGAGCCCGTCGGTGAGGACGCACAACTCCCTAGCCACCCTAGCCGCCTGTTTAGTGATCGCCTACTGATTCCCGGCTCCTCACTCAGGCACTGGAGACCATGAGCGAAGTACACATCCTCTCAGTGAACTGGTCAGCCTCGTACATAAGAGGCGTGCTGAGCAGGGAAGACATCTCGTCGATCATTGCGAACGATATCAACCCAGCCGACGGCTCCATCAATACGCTGCCAGCCATCTCTGATGACATCGCTCCGAGTGACTGGCCTAGCGTCCTTGCTGTCGGTTCGGATAAGTTATCAGCATTGCGATGCCTCCACCGGCGACAGCAGAAGGCCAAGCCGAGGCAGTCAGTTGAGATCGTCTACTTTGGTGACTCAACAACAGATCTTGAGTGCCTTCTCGAATTCGGCGGCATTGCGATATCTCCCAAGGCTGAAACAGCACAAAGGACCGACACAAAGACCACAGACCCCAGCAGGACGGCAGTCAATGGTAGCGACCTCCTACACGTGTTGCAAACAAGGCTCAATTACAATGTCCCTCATGTTTCCGAGTACAAGGACGAGCCTATCTGCTGGGCTCGCGACTTTGCCGAAATAAAGGGGAGCGGCTTCCTGCAGAAACGGGCCGCGAACACACAATCAACAAAGGCCTGACAGCATTGTGCCAAAGGGATAAATAGAACAAGCCCCAGGGAGAAGAACAAAGAACAACCAGGATATATACAATGCTCTGTTCACGGTGACACCTTCGACTTGCCTCCACTATACTATCGTCACTCACGCTCTCGGCAGAATCCTAGTATCTGCTTCAGAACCCCTCGTCCTCGACGCATCAGTATCACAGTTTTGTGACCACTACCCTACTACCCCATTTTCGTCAGCGTGGTTCTGTTTTCTCCGGTGGACGCCATCATTGTTTCTCTCGCCCACCAATCGAGTCAACCCATCATTGTCATCGATATAATTCAGCTCAAGACCTTCTGTGCTCCTCGTTCAGGATGTGTTGGTACAAACGAGTCATCTTCGCCGACAACCACGCTAAACCTGCCGGCCTGGTGCGGAAATGCCACCTCCAGCTGGCATACGAGAACGGAGAGACAAGCTCTGGCTGCGGCAAGATGGATTTCCACCTGGTGCAGAGCATCAGAGTCCAGGAGGTCTGTCCCGACTGCGCCGCCAGGCTGGGCAAGCAGGCTAACATGCTAGCAACCATCAAGGAGCAAATTTCCCAGGCCAAGACCAAGCTGCGGTTGAGCACGGATAGCAAGAGCGATGGAGTGGTGGATGAGCCGGACGCGGTTGATGGTGACGAGGCGTTCAGCCCTGTGAGCATCAGTTTCTCTGAGACAAAGGACAGCGTAAGCCTTTCCGTGGCCAAGCCCGTGCCTTGAGTGAGTAAATAGATTGTGACACTTTTCTCGTCCCATAATATGTCCCAAGTCGCTTAATCATGATGGTGAAGTGTTTGCGTGCTAGTCGTACGGAGACTTCCACAATTGGACTTTCAATCTGGGTCTCAGGAGTGAGGTCCAGAAGCTACAGACGTGCGACACTGAACTCCAGGGGACATTTCTCCAGTGAATTCCCCTACACAGCCCAGGTCCTGCTGTCACGACCACGTCCCTCGCGTCTACCGACTCCGTGGCTAGAGTCACGAAGGTCATCCGAAACAGATGGGTTCTTGTTGTTCAGGTGACGACTATAGCAAGGACCAAATTGTCCGAGCGTTGGAAAATCCAAGGCTTAGCGATGTGGCATACTTTGTGATCGTGACCTTGGGCAGTAGCTTTGAGGCTATTCGCACCGTGATCCTACCGACACTGCCTCATGGCCGGGCCAGTACAAGTACGCCTTTCAGCCTCACCGGGCAGAAGAAAGCAACAGTACAAAGTCCCAACGAGTCTTTGATGAAGGGATTTACTATGGGGGGGTATCGTCGTGCGGCAACGGAGACGGCTACCAAGATGGCGAGCGTACCCGTGGCTGCTAAGGATTCCCGTATCCAATCAGGTGATCCAAAGGTCAGGATGATTGATGACTTTTACAGAAGAGAACGAATATTCGCACAGAAGAAAACGGATGGTTCACAGATACCTCTTGAATGATATTCCCCCAGCCAATCAGAGCGTAACACCCATGCCCAATTTGCAAACCCACACCTAATCACATGCCTACGCCCAATTTGCACTTCAAGTTGATACTGATTTGCATACTTAGTATATGAGTGTGTAAATTGGGTGTGTAAATCGAGTGTATAAATCTAGTTTGCGAATTTTAGCGGGTATATGAATCAGGCTTAGATAAGTGAATTAGGTGTAGGTGTATTGGTTGTAGGTATATTAGCTGTAGGTGTATTAGTTCTGGGTATATTAGTTATGGGTGTATTGGTTGTGGGTGTATTGGTCTGCAGGTGTGTTGGTTGGGTATAAATGCAATAGGCGTGTAATGTGTTTGTATACTATCCGTTTAATTCTGTGCAAATATCCGTTCTCTTACAGCATAGGGAGGAAAGATCTGGCAGGACTCATGTGCTGTTGGCAAAGGGTCATTCGCATTTCCCTCTTTGACAAACACCGAGTCGGATTTACCTGCCTCACCTTTCCTAACATGTCCATTACCAAGGACAAGATGAACAGAATTGGCTTCTTCCCGGAACAATAATCAGCCTACCCTTGCATCACCATCGGTGACACATCCTATTCGGCATAAACATCAGCCGTTAACTGTCCCCCGTGAGTTGACAGAAACTGCGGTGCACAGCCATCCATAGACACTGATAGGATGCCAAGGACAACGACATAGTTCATTTCCATGTAGATGCTCCTTTATTATTTCCAACGCTTCTCGATGCTCGGTTTGTCATCGACGGCGAGTTCCGGTTATGTACATCAATCAGATTCAGAATCATCGTTGTGATCCGAGAATCCCTGGAACTCCTCTTCCGAGTCATCCTCCAGTGAAACCCCGTTTGCGGGTTCCTCCCCGTTGTCTTCTTCTCCGTCCTCACCATCGTCATCGTCATCCTGTTCTTCAATGTCAAAAGTAGCGCTGACGTCCCACCTGTCACCCCTAGCCTTCTGGCTGACATACTTGACAAATCGCAGTGTTCCGCTGTCGCGCAATACGATTGTCAACTTGTTCCAAGCCGCAGCCTGGAAAAACAAGATGTTGTCATCGTCAGCAGCTGACTTGTAGATCGCAGCGTCCTCTTCGTTGCCGTCGTCGCCCGCCATGTACACCTCGTGGCCGCCCACTTCCTCAGGCTCCTCCTCTTCAGGCTCCTTGGCGACCTCCTCATCCTTGGACTTGCTCTTGCCCTTGCCCTTTGATACAGGCTTGGATTTGCTCCCGTTTGTCTTCTTGCTCTTGTCTTGTTGCTCGGCCTCGGCCTCTCCTTCTTCGTCATCATCGCCCCAGCCGGACGTTGGGGTGAGGCCCAGATTGAGCTCTAGGCGAGGCTTACCCGCGTGACCCGTGGCGAGCGTGTAGTCCAGACCACGACGGAAGCGGCGAACAAGAAGTTCGGAACTCTCAATGGTGCAATCAGTAGCCATTGACAGCCAGGCTCTGAACTGGGGACTGGGAAGGAGCTCATCGAGCAACTCCCTGATCGGAGAGTCTTTCTCCTTGTCCGCCTGACCCAGCTGCACGTATAGGAAGCGGTGCTTGTGAGGTGGCTTTGCAACCCTCCAAGCTGTCTGCTCCTCGATCGCGCCGCTTGCCTCGGGCAGCTCCTCGGCCTCCTTTTTGACGACGTAGTCCATCAGCCTAGCTGCAAACTTCTTGCTGAGTATGTTGGGCAGGGTGATACTTGAGTTCTCGTCGAAGTGCTCCTGCATCTGCTCCAGGGTGTCTGGTGTCAGGTATGTCGGGTGGAGGAACTTGAGCAAGAACTCGATATCAGACTCTTCAAAGTCGTCGAAGGTCTTGGCCTGCTCGACGGGGACAGGCTTGGGTTGCGGCTCGTCGTGCTGGTCAGGATCGCCCTGCAGCTGCATCAGGCCGCTGTTCTTGACCTGTGCCTCCTCGGCGCCCTCGACGTAGCCCTCCTCGCCAACCTGGGGGATGTGAAACCAGCCGCTGATGGCCATGCGCACACGGCCGCCCTGGCTCTCCAACTGCTCCTTAGTGTCGGCGTGATAGACCTCCTCGACGTCGTGGAAGCTCTCACCAGGCTGGACCGCGAAGAAGCTCAGCTGGTTCCAGGCCGGGGGGATGACCTTGACGACGTCAGGCCCGGGGGTCTTGGCGATGGCGCCGCCCTTGCCCTTGCGATCGAAGACGGGGAACAAACGGAGTGCGCCGCCCCATTCGGGCTGCCATGGCTTGTCCGGGTCGGTGAGATAGAGGATGTAGCTGACCTTGCGGCTGCCGATGACATCGTCGTGACAGAGCAGGTAGCAGCCAGGAGTGTAGACGTTGATAGCCATGTCGGTCTTGCGGCCACTCAGGGGACCGCAGTCAGTGATGTGGGAGACATAGTTGCGGAAGGCCTCGGAGTATATGGCGTCTCGCAGGGAGAGGAGGCTGGGCAGCTTGGAGAGGGCCTCGTCGTCCAGGCCGTCGAGGTTGGCAAGGTCCCCAGACTGGTGGATCTTGTAGATGTCCGTCTCTTTGGGGGTGAAGCTGACGTTCTCCCGGATCTCGTCGCGGACGTTGCGAAGCAGCGCATCGTCGACCAAGCCGTTGATGACGCTGTGCTTGTAGGGCGACGACTCAGCGTAGCCCTTGGTGTACGAGTCCAGGACATTTTGCTCGAAGAGTCCTTTCCGGAACCGAGCCTTTGCTTCTGATTCTGGGAGAGCTGGAGCTGGCGGGTTGCCACGGTCAGCCGTCTGCACGACCAGAGGTGGGCAGAGGAGAGGTAGACGGAGACAGACGGCTTACAAGTCCTTGAGCGTTTGGAGGAGGCCCTCTTGAGCCCCGGCTGTGATGCCGCCTTGCGCTTCATATTGGACGGGCGAATTGACACAACTGGGCGAGTGGAAAGGCAAGACGGCAGCACAAACGGCGAAGACGAATTGAGAAAAATTGACACCGAGCGGAAGGGCTGTTGTTGGATGGGCTGATCAGGCCGACAAGTTTTGGGAGAATGAGACGATGGCGGACGGCAGAATCGTTTTCTAGTGGGTCCCCCGGTGACGCTCTCAATGCCTCATTGTCTTGGAGCCCCCTGCATCTCGGCTCACCGCCTTCGAAACAGCTTCATCCACCCACCTTTCCCCTGCTCTCTACCTAGGTCCTCTTTGACTGAGAACCGACTGACTGCTCGACTGCACCATGCACCCATGAAGCCATGGAACCAGATCACGGATCCATGGGAGCAGAACCAATGCCCAGAAGCCCGCATGGTGCTTGGGTTCTGAGGCGCCCGGCTTAATTCTTCAACGACTGCACCAGATTGCAATCAACCGTTTTCAATGGCCAGCTTGCTGCGCAGAGCTGTCACAGGCTTGACGCTCTTGATTCATGCAAGGCGAGAGGCTGCTTTTCAATTGGGCCTTGGAGCCAGCAGGCGCCGATGCATTCCCATGCAGGATTTCCATGCAGCTATCTCAGCCTTGAGATGGGCTCGGGATGCATGTCACTGGGCTGTTGCGGCTCACCTCTCACCTCTCACCTCAAGCCCCCCTCCCGCACTGCCCCCCGTCAGAAGGATCCCAAAGACGCCGTTGGATCAGGGGCCATGGTACTGCATTGAGAAGCGCTCTTCCACCTGATAGGCCGACTCTTGCGAGCTGATGCCATGCCTTCCTAGTCCTAAGGGACGTACGTCCATTCTGGCACTTCCACTCTGACCGGGGTTTGGTGCGTGCGTGCCTGCTTACCTGTCCACGAGGTATTCTGATGATGACAATCATCACCCGTGGAGCCAACGTTGATGCCGACGATATGACTGACCCAGGCAGTCTTTCGCAGACAGACGGCAATTCACTGCCGTCTTTCCACCGGTCCGCGGCGCTTCTCGTTCTCTGTTTCCATTCTCTCTGGTAGACTTCAGACTGGACAACGGTTGAGGTTGTCTTGCCCATAACCATAGTCGCTGTCAGCCTGTGCTGTAACATCTAGATTCAATGGACGGCAGCATGTCCGGGATTTCGTTTCCCTCGCTGCAGCCCAGCAGGACACGGAAGCGAGCCTGCACATCCAAAGTGCGCACTGGTTGCATCACATGCAAGGAACGCCGTGTCAAGTGCGATGAGGTCAAGCCCACCTGCCTACGCTGCACCAGGGCTGGACAGATATGCAAAGGTTACATGCCTCTTCTTAGCGAACCGCGGCCACGGAAGCCAGAGCCAGTGATTCGCAGGCTTCTTCCTCGCCAGACTGCCAGCCAGTCAGGCGGGCTCGCAATCACTGTCGGGAGGGCCCTGCCGTCCATTCGCCTCCATGGCTCGGATGTGCTCTACTTCGACTTCTTCCGCTCCGAGGCCTCAAAGGAGCTGTCCGGGTACCTCCCTTCTTCCTTCTGGTCCCGGATCGTCCTCTGCGAGACTCTCACAGATTCCTGCATCCGCCACGCCATACTTGCCTTGGGCGCCGCCTCATACCCCTTGGTGGCCCGGAATCAGCATCTTCCTTGGTCATCCAGCAACGATGCCACCTCCAACGCCCACGGCAGGGCTGCGATTTGTCATCACACAAAGGCCCTCGCTCTGTTCCGGGAGATGATGGCCAACGGCATCGACAACTTCCCCTCCAGAAGCGCCTTCATTGTCACACCTTTGCTCGTAGCATTCACCATGCTCCAGAGTAACAACAAGGCTGCCGAGACCCTGCTGTCTGGCCTCAAGGCCCTGCAAGAGGTGTGCCAGGTCTGGCAAGGAAAACACGTCCGCGGAGGCTCGAAAGGTCCACTTATAAACGAAGAAATGGAGGAATTGACCTGTCCCATGCTTCAAGTCTACAGTAAGCAGCAACCTATCGTGCCTGAGAACAGACTTCTGCCCTACTCGAAGATTGCCGCATGTACTGCGTCGGTTTCATTCTCCCGGCTGCAGGCCGCGAGGCAGCTTATGTGCAGGATGTGTCGTCTTCTGCACCTGCTCTTATACACCAACCCCTCGTTTGGACTTTGGAAGCTGACTCCCGATTGTGCAGTGTTATGCGGCCACAATCCCTTATATCCAACTCAGAAGGGCAACGTGTTCACTATACCGAGCAATATGTTCCTTGACTCCAGTCCTCCGCCGGATTGGAGCGACCGGCCTGTCACAGCATCTTTGACGGACAGTGTTCTCGCTATTTGGACTTCCTTCACTTCCCGCTGTCTTGTGTGGCTACGCCATTGCGACTACACAAAACACAGCCAAGCACCTGGGATTTATACCGGAGCCTGTGAGGAGCAGACTGATCTTCTAGCACGCCTTTCTCAGTGGCAACAGTTCATATATGGGTTGCACCCTGCGCCGGGTTTGGATACGGTGTACTCACGGGCCCTTCAACTTGTCCGCCTGCAATATGAAATACTGTTCATCTGGGCCTCGGAAGCATTGGACCGTACCCGCATGGGCTTCGACGTCCACACTGCCAGGTTCGAGAGCGTTGTCCAAGACTGCGCGGAGCTTCTGGGGCATGACCTCGGGGACAGCCCGGGCGGCGCGGAGGACTGCGGCACGCTGGGGCAGTACTCACCAGCGCCGCAGACGGGATATACATTCGAGAGTTTCGGCGTGGTTTCAGTGCTTGGTTTTGTCGTCACTCGGTGCCGAGTCGGCCCTATCCGACGGAGAGGCCTGGCGATTCTCGAGCGGATATGGTGGCGCGAGAACGGCTGGGACACGATCGCGAATAACCGCGGCGCCAAAGCCTTGATGGAGCTAGAGGAACAGGGCGGGATCCGTGGTGCAGACGGCGAGCTGTTTATCCCGGCCGAGTCGAGGTATTACTGGGGCGGTGCCCGCTGGGAGAACGACCTGCCCGCCAGCCAGAAGTTGATCTGCACCTTCGCACAGCGCAGACCGGACGAGCTCGGCGAGGTGTTTGGGGTCCCGGTTGTGATCGACCTGTCAGCGCCGGATTCAGACAATCACGGATGTACACTGAGTCCGGCATTCAGAGATTATAACATTAATCGAATCGGAAACAATACACGAGCACAACAAACCGAAGCAGGGTCAGTGCCCGGTGATTCTCGTTTCTGGACGCCACACTGTAACGGCATCGAGCAACCTACACTGACTACCTAGGTATTCAACTTATCATTGTTTAATATCATTAATCTTCATACCAGGTATCTATGAGTATTCCTGCGTTGTATTGTTCTAATATATTGTTAGGGGATGAATGCTTTGTAACATGTGTCGACACTTCTTGCGATATATTGCTGAGAATAGGCGTTGATTAGCGGTGCTATAGTTGACTGAGAGACTTCTCGTCTGTCCCGGCCCCCAAGGACTGAGACAAGCATAGTCACAATTGCCTGATCAGGAGAGGCTTGGACTACACGACAGCCGTCACGCTCAACGTGGTGGTGTCTGTCTCTCGACGGCCTCAAAGTCGGCCCTGCTGTTCTCCATCTCCGAGCCAAAAAGCCAGTGGAAATGGATCATTTTCGCCAGCACAAGGCGTCCACTCCTGGATTTCCAGCGAATTTATGCAGCGAGTAGAGGGCCGCTGGGAGGTTTGGAGATCATTTGGAGGTATAGAACGATGTGGGTTGTGTTTACTTAGGTCCATCCTTCACACAGTTAGATGCATGCAAATTCAGTCCTGTCTAACTGATCTTCCTAGTGGATGTCTCCGGTTGGGCGCTGCCATCATTGTACTCAGTATCGCCGCTGATCCCTTAAGCCAACAGCTCATTCAGTACAAGCAGCTTGTTGTTTATAGCCAGGATGCGGGTGTGGTAACCAACAGGGCCATGCGCTATGCAAAAGGCCACGAGACGTTCCCGCTCGTAACTTATTTGGGCCCGAGTAAGCCCTTTCTGCCAACGCTAGAAACCAACCCTATGGTTATTGATCAGAGTGTCCAGAATGTTGGAGTAATCAGACCAATGTCATGGCGGATGTAGACTTTGCCATGCAGTCTGCCATTCTATCCGGCCTTGATCAGCCCTTACGGAATATTGTCCGGCAAGGCACATTTCTTTGCCCGACTGTAAACTGTACTTGGCCCGTATACGAGTCACTAGCAATCTGCAACAAATGCTATGACCTCACCGGGAGTCTTGATCGTGTTGACTCGGGCGGCGGACAGCGTATGTCTCTGGGGAAGGACGACGCTGCGGTCTATGTCCATGTTAACCCCGGAACAGCAGTCCAGCCTTCCAACGGCCTTTACCTAAGCAATGCCGAAGGGTAGAAGGACGGAACATGCAAAACAAACACCACATCTAAAGCGGTTATGATGACGACATTTGGGACAGCTAATGCGACCAAGACTGTAAGCACGCCAAAGCTCGACACTCTTATCTAGTCGACGGCAAAGATTCGGGCTGAACCAGACCCCAGAAACGCATCTGCAGCTTGGACCGACCTCCCAGTATCTGCTATGTCTTGTGTGCGCTTTTCTATTGTGTCACTGAATATGAGACCATAGTGTCCAAAGGTGCTCCCCGAGTCGTGAAAAAGGAAGTTGCTGGTGCGACTCGGGTCGTAGGCTCATGGGAACCCTTTAGGCCATGCGGACTTCTTCCAGCACCACCCAGGGCCATGGCAAGATAGCACTGCTTTCAATGCCTGCTTCTCAATGATCGATCAAACAGACATAATGCTGTACTCACCTAGCACTGGCAGTCGCTTCAGCATTTCCAAGGTCGCAGTGGACAGCATCAGCTACTTCTTCCATTCCACGTTTGCCACGAACCTTTACGACGTAAATGTGACTAATACAACCAGGTCTAGAGCGGAAAGTTTAACGGGTACTATATGAACACATCACAAGAGCAATACGGGCCAGGAATAGTGCAAGCCCTGCTTAAAAACTAGAATCTCAACGAGACCTTTGAAGCATTGGCGGCGAGCATGAGCAATGCGATACCTACTGGATCAGACGAGACTTTCAACGGAACGGCCAACGTGGTCACAGGCAACAAGGGCGAGGTGACAATATTCTATCTGGTGGTGTGGTCATGGATCTCCATGCACTGATTCCTCGTCAGCACGGGCCTGGTGTTCTTGACATCACAGTCCGGGAGAGTAGGAGACATGGCCCAGCAGTACCTAAGTGGACGTCAAGCAGTCTGGCGGTGCTAAGCCGCGGACAAGAGGTTACGGGCATTTTATCGGGCATGTAGACGGTGGAGCAGATGGGGGCCTTGGCGAGGAATGCGAGAGTGGCGTTGCTTGATGGAAAGGTTAGCAGCTCATCGCTGGAACATCTTGCGTTCGACCCTCTGGAAGTTGAAGGTTAGCTATGAAAAACTTTCCACCTGATTCTATATGGTATTACGTACCTAGGTAGACTATGGATAATGCAGAAATCTGGAATACGGACGCAAAATAAAGAATGTAGAAGGAAGTATAAAGAAAGGAGTACGCACACCGAACAGAGAACACAGAGCGGACGGGTACAGATATGTAGGCATGAGTGTTTTTTGATTAAAATCTTTGTATGCTAGTCACTTTATTTTTTATCAAGATAACGTCCTCATCCTGAGCAGCCCAGCATTGCATTTCAAGCTCCTCACCCGTGCCCAGCATTGAGCAACCTACACTGGCTACATAAGCAATGCAGTGGACAAGTCAAGCACATGCGACCATATCTACAAGAAAATATCGGATCCCGTTCGCTCTCCTGCAATCAAGCTTGTAAGAGGTCGATTAGTAGTTGGGTCGGTGACGACCAGCGAATCCCGACTGTTGCATGTATCACTTCCTTTTCTTTTCTTTTTCTCTTTCCTTGTTGGGCCTGGCGCCTAGATCAGTATCACATGGGATGACTCGTGGTATAGCCTAATCCCCTGTGGAATACTTTCCAGTAAACAAATTGCCGTGGGACAACCCCATATGGGATAACCTCCTATGGGATGCCTTCTTGGATGGGTTATCGCTCCCTACTGCGTGCTGGCCCTTGCGGGATTCTGACAAAACAATGAGCCGTGGATGAGGCAGCGACCCTCAGCTCATTCCTCTCTGAAAGTGGTTGAAGTAGGACCACCACTGAGGGGCGTGCCCATCCAGGGTGACAAGACTGGTTGCAGCCGACGACCCGGCTGCTCGGGTTTCACCACATATTCAAGTCGAGTACGTTGTGCCGGCTGTAATTCTGGTACACGCAAGCTGACGATGGAAAAACCCGTGGCGTAGGTGTAGCATCTCGTCATTCATCATGCTGCCAACAAGCTACAGATAAGAGGCTTGTCTAGGCCATGTATATTTACAGTGTCAATGGTGGCAACAGCCTCGCCCCCAAAGCCCCCGGTCCCTAGAAACCCACCTAGCAATCATTGCAAGGCTGGACCCAGGGCCCGAAGCCGTCGACCTTGGTGACGAGAGTCCCGTTGGCGGTGAAGAAGTTGTACAGCGCGTCCACCTCGAAGTGGAAGCCGCCGTCGCTCGTGATCTTGGTCCCGCCGTGAAGGGGCCCGGTGGAGGTTAGGTTCGAGAACCAGTCCCAGTGGCCGTTTGTCAGGTTCAGGGCCGTGTAGGTCACCTTCTCGGACCCGGTGAGCACGTTGCCCCCGTCGTCCAGGAAGAGCGGGTAGATGTGCGTGCCGTTGGGCGTGCAGGCCTCGCTTGCGAGCTCGGCGCCGCCACAGTCGATGATGTTGATGCCGGAAAGGGCCCGGGTCCCGTCGTAGAAGGCCTGGGGGTACGAGGCGAGGTCGCCCGTCACGCCGGCGCGGTTGGCCTCGGGAACGCCGCAGGTGATGCACTTCCAGGCGTCGCCGTTGGGGAAGCTGGTGCCGTCGGCCTTGACCAGGATGAACTGCACGCCCGGGTAGATGCTGGCCATGAGGCGGCACCTTATACAACACGTATCGCACGTATTCCCCATCCCCACGTGCATCCGCCATCGACAGGGGCCGTCCGGGAGGGTGGACTAGGAGGGAGAATGGCACTGTGATAGTATAAATGACGGGGCATCGTCTCTCTGATCTTTGCACTATTGCTTACTGCCATGATGTAGTCTGATGTGTAGTTCGTGGCTCGAACGGTCTTTTATTGCACACTACTTGCATTAATTAAATCAGGGATTCGCACCTGCAAAAACGGAGGGGTACACCAGTAGGTAGCCGGCACTCGACCACGTGAGAACTCACCTACCCAACACCTGCACCTAAGTATATGAACCTCAGGCATGTAGGTGTTAAGTGTGTGGGTGTTGGGTGTGTGGGTGTTGTTGCTGCAGCTATGGTGCGAGTGATGTGCCGGTGTACCCTCCGTTTTTGCAGTTGCGAATCTCCGTTCTCTTGATTATTGCACTCATGCAGACCAGCATGTTACAGAAGTGCCACGCCAGGACAAACGGCTCACTTTTCGTTCGCGGGGGGGGGGGGGGGAAGGGTGGGCAGGATGCACATTTCTCACTGCAACATACAATCCAAGGCTCTCGGGCGGCTGAAAAGAGGCTTGTGCCTTGATGATTCAATTGTCTGTCCAACCGACGGTGCGTTAGTCACCGTCCACTGCCACGCTGCCAGCCCGTGAGGGCCGCCCGCTACTAGATCCGTGCCTTTGGGCCCTTTGCCCTGGCCTGCTCCTCGTCCGACTCCTGGACCAGGGCCCAGGCGAGCTCTGCGACGGGGCCCCTCGCGTTGCCGTGCTCCTGGGCCTTTGCGCTGGTGGCCTGCCTGACGGCGGCGCGGGCGGCGATGCCCTGGCAGATGGCGCTGAGGCGGAAGGTGGCAAAGGCCTGGGTCCACTTGAGCTCCTGCTCCATGCCGTCCCACCTGCCGCTGCCCAGCCCGGCCGCGGTGGCGTAGATGGAGGCGAGCTGGTCGGGCGTCGGGAGCCCCGGGGTGGCGCCGGGCAGGAAGGCGGCGTGGGCGTGCGGGATCCTGGTCTCGGGCGGCCCCTGTGCCGTGTGGGCGGACGAGAAGGGCATCAGGGCGTTTGCGAGGTCAGAGAGGGGGTGGCCTATAGTGGACATCTCCCAGCTGCAGGGCTGTCAGTACGCAAGGGTCACATGGGATCAGATGTAGGGATGGACTACTGACTCTAGAATACCCACGACCCTCGGCTCTGTCTTGTGGAAGACGAGGTTGTCGATCTTGTAGTCGCCGTGGATCAGCGTGCCCCTGTCCCTGGGCTGCCTGGCGGCGTCCTCGAAGAAGCGCGTCATGTCGGCAAAGTGCGGCAGGTCACCGACCTCGACGCCCGTGTCGACGTCGGTGACCCGGGCCTGGGCCTCGCAGATGGTCCTCCAGGTGGCGACCTGGCGGTTGTAGAAGCCGGTGGGCCTGCCAAAGTCGCCAAGCCCGACGCGCGGCGTCGACCTTGTGAAGCTTGGCCAGGGTGCGGATGGCGTCGCTCCACATCTCGGAGCGGTCGTGGGCCGAGACACCGGGGATAACCGGGTCCTCGATGATGCGGCCGTCGAGGAACTCCATGATGTAGAAGGGGGTGCCGATGACGGCGGCATCCTCGCACAGGACGTATGCCCTCGGGGCGGGGACGTCGGTGTCGCGCAGGGCATGGATGATGCGGTACTCGCGCTCGACCTTGTGGGCCGTCTTGGAGACCAGCTTCCCGGGTGGCTTCTTGCGCAGGACGAAGCGTTTGCCGGTGGGCTTGGAGGTGAGCAGGTAGGTTGGGTTGCTCTGGCCGTAGCCGAACTGCCTGACGTCCAGGGGCGGCGCGATGTCGGGCACCGACCGCGCGATGTAGGCCTCGAGGGCGGCCACGTCGATGGGCTGGCGGACCGGGCCGGCCATGTTGTGCGTGTCAGGGCGGCGGCGGCGGCGTCGTGTGTGCCCACCCGGCCCCGGTCTTAAGAGCAAGAAGTGAGCGAGGGCAAATGTGAGTGAGAGCAGATGGGAGTGAGTGGGAAGCGAGTAAGTGGTGACGTGACTATGCTTATGCTGTCTCGTACCTCTGGAACTTGATCTCGTGATGGAATGGACGGAAAGAGGGCATGAGGACCACCGTCCAAGTTCGAGTTCGGCGACGGCGTCGGCTCCGCTGTGCCGAGGTCCACGAGGCGAGTTCGAGGTGGAGGTGCCGACCGACGGTCGAAGCTGGGGTAAAGCTCCACCTCGGCAGGGGGGGCCGTTGGCCAGGACGGGCAGGGATCAGGCGGTGATGCTCTGACCTCACTCAGTATACTGTTATAGTCTACAGGCTGCTCACCCTTTTATTACACGCAATGTGGCAGACAATTTCCGAGACTTAGTATACACACCACTGCCATGATCAATAACATGTATATATATATATATATATATATATGTATATATGTATATATGTATATATGTATATATGTATATATGTATATACAACCCTCACAGACCCCTGATCTGCTCAACAACCCAGTCTTTGGCCCTCACAGCCTCGGGCAACCCGTACATAAACGCCAGCGGGAAGCAGTGCATCTGTCCCTCCCAGTGCAGCCACGCCCCGGCCACGCCCCCGCCGGCACACGCGTCTCGGAACCCCAGCGCTGCGGGCGTGAGAATGTCGTGCCCGCCCGTCACCCCGACCAGCCTCACGCCCGCCGTCGCGAGCACGCCCACGTCCGCCACCGCCGGTGAGATACAACCCTCGCTCCTGTCCACCCCCTGCGCCCACGCCGCCGCCTCGCCGTTGTGCGAGCCCACCGTGAGCACCGGGTCCCTGCGCGCGAGCGCCCGAGTCTCGCCCGCCCCCGCCCCCATGGGCCTGAGGTCCACCGCCGGCGAGATGATGAGGAGCGACATTGGCTGCCTTGTGCCCGCGCCATCCTCCTCCCGCTTGCTCTTGCTCAGACCGTCGAGCGCCAGGGAGAGTACAATGTTCGCCCCGGACGAGTCCCCCGCGAGAATGACCTGTTCCCCATCGTCTCTACCGCTGCCCTGACTTGGAAACGAGGCAAAGAGTCTTCTCAGCGCGGGGAGCGTTGTGGCCGCTGGCGACGCCGGCGCGAGAGGCGCGCTGACTATCGTGACCACCAGCCCGGGCACCCTGCGCGCCACCTCGGCGCAGAACTTCCAGTGCTGCCCGGACGGCGGGCTCTGCCAGCCTCCTCCCGCTATGTAGTACATGCGTTTCCTCTTCGTAGCCGGCTTCTTGTTCTTGTTGTCGTCATCGTCGCCGTTCTTGTCGTGAGTGACCATATCGTAGAGCCATATGTCCTCCTGCCGCCGCTCCACCACCGTCACGCCGCCCATGATTCTCTTGTCGTGTTCAAGCCTGGGTGATCCGGCCGCGAATGTGCCCTTCGGAGCCACGAGGTGTGGCTTGAACGGCCGGATCAGCGCCTGGAGCACCACAGAATAGATGCTGCGGTCTGTCCGTTGGTCAAGCTCCATTGCCCCGCTAGTCCACACCGTCCAGGTAAATGCAATTCTGGGAGGGGGAAAAAAAAAGATAAATGGTCTTCAACGTTGTGTACCAATGCTGAGTGAAAGTGAACCCGTGTGGCTTTCAGGAACTGTTCTGAAAGCTGCTGCTGCTACGTCATAGAAAAGCCCAAATCCAAACCAACCGAGTTATACTAGTACTAACCATCCCGGTAAAACAATGACCTTAAGACAAGATATTGTGGGTGTGCATGTGAGTAACATATGTCTCCTGCTCGTCCAAGATGTAATGGTGACATTTGTTCATCCCTCATCGCTAAAACCACCACTGCAATAGTATACAAATTAATCACGGATGCGACAGGTGACCAAGTCATTCCCCTTTTCTGCCCATGCTCTCTCTCTCTCTCTCTGTCTCTGATATGGGACCTGGACATCCGGACCCTCTGATCATTATCCCTCCCTTAAAGCCCATGGGGTATTACCCGCAAATTCTTCGCTAGTCTATCCATTCCTTTCCGTTACCATGCATCTCCTGTTTGTTCGTCACAGCCAGCCGAGGGGAGCCCCAGGGAGCCCCGGCGGTGACTGGTGCCATGGCCCTGCCTGTTCCCCGTTGCGAAATCACAGCGACCCAGGCCAACATCCTTGTCGCCTCGGATGCATGGCTTCTCCCATGGCTGCCCAACGCGAACCTTGGCCTAGCCGTCCGCAGTAAAGAGGACCTAAACGCCTATCCATGGAACATCCTCGCCTGCTATCCTGCCCACAGGCGCTCCGCCCCGTCCCAATGCCTTTACGGCAGTCTGACGAGCGGGAAAGCACCCCTTGAGCGGTCCTGGGGGGACTCGATTCATCCCACCCATATTCATCCCTACAGCGTATAAGCCGCCTACAACCTCCCGTGCCTGGCCTTGAAGATGGCCACTTTGTCGTCGTAGAAGAGTATCTCCCTTAGGCGCAGACGGGTCTTGGCCGCCGGTTCCACAAACGAGTCATCGTCGTCCGAGTCTTCGTCGCTATGGTGTTCCTCGGACTGGGTCTCGTCGGGGTCTGTCGGGCTCGTAGGCGTGCCTTCGTCGTCTGAGTCATCCGGATCATCCGAATTGTCTTCCGTGTCGTTCTCGTCCTCGTCGGTCGCCTCGTCCACCTCTGCCGGAGGCTGGTCCATGTTCGAGCCGTGACCGTTCACACCGTTGGCCGCGCCGCCGTTCAGGAGGCCCGAGCCTGCGACATCGGATGCACGCTGCTCCATGATCTCAAAGCACTTGGTCGATATGCCCACGTAGCAGAGCTGGATCTCTGGGCAAAGCGTGATGATGTCCGCGACCTGCATCACCAACTCCTTGGGCTCGAAGTTGCCCATGACATGGTCCGCCATGTATGGGATGTGGAGCGACCGGAGCTGTGTCATGTTAGGGAGACGTTGCAGGAAAGTGTGCTAGTTTTGCTGTTAGTAAAGGCACATTCTCACGTAGGCTAGAAGCAGGACATAATTACCCAGTCCTTGTAGTCGATGGAAACAGACAGCTCCTTCAGCTTCTTCATCCGGCCGCTGGTCACGTATTGCAGGAGGTCGCTGGTCAGGCACCAAGACCGCCACCTCATGGTCTCGGCAGAGTTCGCCCCCGACGACGTGGTCTTGTTGGAGCTGTCCAGGAGGAGCTTCTTCAGGCTGTTCCGGTGCCGCTTGATGGCCCCCTTGAAGATGGAATCGATCGTCACCTGTGGAGGGGCGCTGGCCGCGGTGCCCCGCCTCCGGTCTTGCAAGAACAGACACTCCAGAGAGTTCGGAGCCAATGTCTCCTTGATGAAGGCAATCAAGGACGGGGACGTCTGATCCGTGTGGATGCTCTTCAGACCCAGTTGGTATTCCATCGGGCCATTGGGCACTGGCTTGCTCGAGGTCGGTGAGATCCCGAACCCAGACTCTAGCGGCCTAGGCTCGAATTGCTTCTTCAGCAGTTTCCATAGGTTCTCATGTTGGGCGCAGTCGAGAATTGTCAAGTTAGTCAGCACGGTCCAGTCAAACGCCTTGCTGCAGACCTGCATAGAGAGCGGTACTCTCTCCAGCTCCAAGGTCGTCAGCTTGAGCTTGCCGTCTAGTCTCTTCCTCGCCGGGGTGCCAGGCCCGGAAGCCCCTGGTGTTCTAAGGGCTGAGGACCGCCTCGAACTCATCTCCGTGTCAAGCGACGGTGTCCCAGGCGCAGGGCTTGGCTCGCCTGAGAAAGGTGGGGGCGGTGCACCAGACTCTCCTGTCAGCGGGGTTTGCTGGCCGGGAGTGCTTTCAGGCAGGGGCAAAGGAGGTGCCGGTTTCGTCTTGGGTAGCTTCCTCCGGATGTCATATACACGCCCCACAAGCACGCCCAATATGCCCCCGAGTCTCCTGTCGCCAATGGCGCTCTCACCGGGCCACCGGGCGTTGTGGTCTACCTGCTGTAGCTCGGGGCTGTCCCAGGTCTGCACAAAGTCCTTGTGGACAGCCTTGGCAGAGACGCCCAGCCTGAGTTCTTGGATGACGTCCTTGGACCGCTCGACCAGTACAGCCATCTCGTCGAGGTAAGGCAACTCATCGACGTCCAGCACAGTGAGGCTCTTGAGGGGCGGCAGGACACTGAACGTGGGGTATTCGACCTGGTTCTCCGAGTAGGCGATGGGCGGGCTCGGGGCCGGGTGCGAGGCAGTCGAAGGGAGCGCTATACCAATCGGCGTGAGGGTGCTGCCGGCTGGCACCACCGCTGCCTGGGGCGCAGCCGGAGCGGGACTCGATGAGGAGGATGGGGACGCGCCGGTATCGTTGTTGTCATGCCACCGGATCCAGACGCGCTCCAGCATGCACTCGCGGGTTTCCTCGTCCGGCAGGGAGCCCAGTGCGATGAAGATGTCGGACAGGACGCCCGTGGGCATGTCCCAGATGAAGGTCTCGAGGCTCTTCATCTTGGACACTGCCAAGGCCACCAAGGTGCCCAGCATCTTCCCACTCTCTTTGTTGATCATGTACTCGGCAACCCAGTCGTTGGGCCCGTTGCCGAGCGAGAACTTGCGCGTGTGCTGCGCATAGTTGTTGTCTCCGAACTTGATGGGTGCCGGGGTTTGGTCCCCGTAATTGCGGAAGCGGGTGGTGGTGCGGGCAAAGGAGCTCCCCAGGCAGAGCGTCGACAGGCCGTAGGTCAGGGCATCGACGCTCTTGGCCTCGGTGGCGGTGGCGTGGGCATCGGGCCAGACGATGTCGAACCTGGAGTAGATGTGAGGGATTGCAAGTTTGTAGAGGGTCGAGTTCGTCAGGGCCAAGGAGGTCAGGTCGTTGGTATGCGTGATCTGCGGTTGCCGGCGGTTAGCATGACTCTTGAGGCTCGGAGTTGGCGACACAATAGGTAGAGGCAGCCGACAAGCGGTGCGGGTCCAGATGGAAGATGCCGCACGGAACATTGGGGTGTACTTGCCTCTTTGACAACCAGACGGAGGATGTCCTCGGGGAGGTCTAGGAGGTTCTTGGTCTCGGGCGGCTGGACGTCCCAGTCAGGGTCTTTGCTCTTAAGGTACTCCGTTATTGGGTCGTGATCGGTGATGTCGCCGGCCTCGTCCTGGTAAATCTGGGAGACGTGCCTGGGGTCTCCGCTAAAGTCTGCGTCGAGGTCGAGACTGTCGAGGTCAGGATGGTCCAAGTCGTCCATGGGGGGTTCGTCCATGGGGGCCTCGTCCGGATACGCGTCTTGTGGAGGGTCGTCATAGTCTCGGCTGTCGTATGCATTGGGGTCGTAGTCGTCGGCATCGTGGGGGGTGTTGCGGTCGTCGTGAGAGTCTTCAAAGCCATTTGGCTCGTCGTAGGCCTGTTCGGGATCGGGGTACCCGCCGTCCTGGTAGTCGTCCTCGTCGTCGTACTGGTCGTGGCTCATTGTGACGGTCAGGTTGGCCAACCACCTCTCCTCGGGAGTGCTGGAGTTCGTTCGAGTTCAGGTTCGACTCCCGGGTCGTGTCCCAGTTACAGCTCTAGACCAGATGCACAGCGTTGATATTGGTATTGGTATTGGTACTTGTATATGTATTGGCAACGATGTCGGTGCTGGCAGTGGCGGTAGCAGTCGCACTGGCGGTAGATATCGGCCCGCAGATGGAATTGGGCCTTGAGGTGTCTATCTGCCTGTCGCGTTCAGGTTCGAGGCATACCAGACTACACACGACACATGGACGTGAATGCAACGATGGCCCAGCCCTCGGATGGGAAGTCAGAACTGCGAGTTGAAGAGAGGGAACGGACAGATGGACATTAGGCGAGATGCTGCGAAAGAGAAGGGGGAAAAGACAAAAAAGACGAAAGACAGGCGGATGCAAGTCGAGGCCGGGGAAGGTTGGAGGGTAGTTGGCCTGGATTTGGATTGGATGTTGGGATGATCGACGGGATAGCCTTTTCTCAGAATAGCAGCCGCGGGAGGAGGCAGGAGGAGGCACTCACTCACCTCATTCAGCCTACCCGGGCAGTCAGACAAACGGTCGACCAGCCCTGCCAGGCCCCGGCCCAGCCCAGCAGACCCAGTGCGCTAGACCCAGCAGCCCGTGTTGGACGGAGCCAGTGGCCTGCGGCAGCCAGCCAGAAGAGGCCAACCCCAACCTCCAACCTCCAAACCTTCAGCAGGGAAGGGGCCAACCGAGAGACAGAGACTGGAGCACGAGGGCCTGTGCCATCCTGGTCCGCCCCGACTCGCTTGCCGCACAGGCCAGGAGGTGGTCCGCTGCTCAGCCCGGCCCACGTTTTTTGCTCTCCCAGCAGGGATTGAGACGCTCGCGGCGCCTGGGGAGCTCACCCGCGGGCGCCCCCACTGCAGACCTCAGATGCCCACCGTCCACCAGCCCACCGCCAACAGTCCCGGGCTCGGTGGCCTCTGTAGGAGTAGTAGTAGCAGCAGTAGTGGTGGTGGTGGTAATGAAAGAGGACGAGGAAGAGGAGGCTTACTGGAATCTAGTAACAAGGCTAACCACGACCATGACCGTGACCACCCAGCCAGGCCGGCCTGTGTATGTGGCCGTTTCGTGCCGTCTCGTTTCACTCCCTGGCTGACAACAAGGTAAAAATAGCTGGTCCGAGATCACAACTACATACTGTCATACAAAATATTGGCATTGCCAACAATAGTAAGTGCTTGTAAGATGCAGCAGCCTCCTTGGCCCGTCATTGGTGGTGGCGTTTCACACATCAACCGGCCCGTCACATCTGCCGTGCAGTGCATGCACGTCCCTATCCACCGGCTCGCCGTTTGTGGGGCCGGCCATGCATCGCCTGGCCTAGCCCAGCGCCGTTCCGTGCTCCCGCTGCCGCCCCGGATCTTCACCAGGGGGTGGTATCTCCTGCACCGTCCTACATGCCGCCGTCTCGGACCTTCACTGGTCTGCACGCCCTCCCACGCTGGTACGTAAGCTGATTGCCACCATATACATTTCCAAAGCCTGAAATGGGACAATAGCCCAATGCAATCCCAAGAAACAGACTTCATTGTGGACACGGCATTGCCGACCAAGGTCCTGGTGTTTCAGACAGAGAGAGAACACTCATATTAGATGATTATACCGCCGAGTTTCGCCGTCTGCTGCTCCGAATCCATTTTGGACAAACCGCAGATGGCATTGTATCTCCTGGCTTCGCCTGGGCTCATCAATTGAGTTGCATCGTCGCCTTTCCTTGCCCCAGAACGCCGTTACACACCCCTGACCCGTCTCTCCAGCGCCGACCCGGAGGTGAGTGACCATGAGCTACAAGTACACGTATACCGCCGACCACAGAGACCTTTCTTTTGAACCATCGACCCAGACAAGGACACCCTCGCCACCTTTAAATTTCTATCAATCATCCTCAATATCGTCGTCGCTCAGCACCAGCTTGTTCTGCAGGCTGCTGATCATTGACCCCTCGCCCTCGTCGCCGCGCGACTTTATCGCAGGCGCTCGCCTCTTTCTCGGCGATGCATCTTCTGTAGGCTTGTCGGTCGCCCACGCCTCTCCCGCCGGCGCGGCACCTTCGTCTACCTCGGCGTCCGACTCCGCATCCGCCGGCGGGCCGATCCCCTGGAACGACACCACCTTGTCCAGGTCGCGTACCCCCATCGAGCAGAACGACGTGCGCCGGCCGCGCGAGATATGTGCAATGTACGGTAGCCTCTCGAGGACCATCTCTTTCCGCGCCGAGTTGCCCAGTGGCAGGAGCCACGACGTGTCTGCCTCTTGCGCTTCTTCGTGCTCCGCCTTCGCTGGTTTCGGCCTGGCCGCGTACTTCATTTCCGACCGGTTGCCGACCCAGTCACCCACGCTGCTGCCCTTAGTCTTGCGAAAGGCAGAGGCCCCACTGCTTATTCCAGCATTCCCGTTCTGGGCGGTCGCAGACCCCGGCTTCCCGCATTCGCCTTTGAGCATCTTGGTAGCCCACAGATCGACCAGCCCCTCCACTTCCTCCTTGGTCCTCCACAGCTTTATGCTCGTCGGGTAGTACATCTTGAAAGCATCACCGCCTCTGCCAGACGTTGCGCTCTTTCGCTTGACCGGGCATGGCAGAGAAAACAGGAGGCCGCGGACCGCTACCTCGAAGGCCATCTCGTCCTGGCGGAGGATATGGCTACCCTGGTCCTTCCCCTTGTTCGAGAAGCCTTTGCCACCAAAGAAAATGTCCCAGGAGGGATTGAGAAGATCGCTCTCAGACAGGTATTCAATGCAATCGTTGACATAGTCTATAGACGAATTCGGATCAGAAGGGCCGGTGCGCTCGCATGAAAGGGCGTAATTCTCATGTAATGCCGAGATGAAGGTGGAAGTGTCTGTTCCCGTCTCGTCAATCAGCGCCTCCACTGCTACTTGCGATCGTTTGGGTCGTGACAATTGTTCTAGGTGCGGCGGCATCTGCTCCGCCATGGCCTCCTCCGACCCAACTGGATACGGTTGTTCGTCCCTTTTGTTGTAGACGACTTTGCCGACGGCGTGGAAGATCCCCAGGCTCGCCTCCCGCTGCGAAATCAGCTCCAAGCTCTCTTGCTCCCCTTTTGTCAAGACCTGGTCCTTGCTGGTCTTTTTTGTTTTGGTGAATGCGACCTTGGAGCCCCAGTCGGCGTCGCCATCGCCTTTCAAGCAGAGGAATTCAAGCGATGAGATCGCACTCCTGACGTCGCCGATCTCGGCCAGGCGCTTCAGCACCAATGGCCCAGGAGTCCTTCGTCGCCCAGAGACTCGGGCTTCCTTCTTCACGATGAGCTCCAACGCTTTGACCAGCAAGGTCGGCGCAACATCGTTATACTCGATGACTCCGGTCCCAGGGTGACGGAGGATCTCAGGTCCAAGCAGCCGGTGTGCGGTGAAGCTATCAGCAGATGCCGACGTGGTTGTAAGCAGCGTCTCGGAGATGATCATTACCATTGGGATGATTGGTTCGGATGGCCCGTGTTGTCCGAGGGCTGTCAGAGACGGCGTGCTGTTGGCAAGGCACTGCATTACTGTTCTTCGAAAAGACGTCAAGGCACTCCCGGAGCGCATGAAGGTGTTGGGGAACTCTTCAATCAGGATGACCCTCTTTTGATCTGCCTGCGACTCCTGTGATGTCCCCGCGGTGGTCTTGACAGTACTAGGGGCAGAATTGTCGTCGTCGTCCAAATCCAACTGGCCGAACTTGCCCCCGCGTCCCATGAACTCTTCAAACTGAGCCGAGGCGGACTGGAAGCCCTGCGTAGCGCCGGCGGAGCCTGTGGGATTCCTCCACTCCAAAATCTCGAAGCCAAGCTCCTTTGCCAGTAATTGAATAGTGGTCGTCTTGCCTGTGCCGGCCGAGCCTTTGAGCACGAGCAGACGCTGGCGCATACGACCGCCGAGCACATCGCCAAGCCATTTTCGCACATCAGCCACCTTCTTCTTGTGCACGACCAGCTCGTCCAGGTTCAGGGGGCCAAATCGTTCTGACCAAGGCCTTTTGTCCTCGCCATCGCTTGACGGAGCCGAGCTCAGCCGTGGAGGTTTCATAAACCTCTGGCTAGCGACACCGCTAATATCGGAAGATGTTGCGGAGTTGAAAGCATCCCCAGTCCTCTTGTGCGCCTTCTTCCCAACAAGGCTCGACCCCGCAGCTCTATGTGCTCCGATTTCTTCGTCGTCTGAGAGCGGGTCACTCTGGATATCCAATGGCTGGGGCTCGGCCTTCTTTGCAGCACCGTTCGTCCTGCCTTCTGTCATGGCCCTTTGGCTCTGCTTGGAGAATAATGCCTGGATATTCGCCGATTTCCCCTTCTCTTCGATCTGTTTCTTGCCCTTTGCTGGGCTCTTGCCGGAGCTCTTAGCCAGGGCCGCGCTGCTTGGTCGGCTTCGGCTTCCATTGCCCTGCGGTGGAGCTGTAGTCACAGCTGCACGGGTTGAGCGGGTGGACTTGCGGATGGGACTCGGCGACTGTGGGGGAGGCTCGTCGTTGTGCGATTTAGAAGCCTTGGCTGGCGACGAGAAATAGAAGTTGAGGCTGTTCTTTTTGGGCGTGGTGGCGGGCGTGGGCTGTGGTTTCTCGTCTTCATCGTCCTCCTCGTCGTCGACCCGGTTCCGCCTGCGACGCTTTGCAGGCGGCGGCGCCATTGCAAAACCGGGGGCTCCCAAGCATCTGTCGTGCACACGCTGCAGTCGCTGCTGTTATGGGTTGAGGATGAAGGGTGCCGGGGCAGAGCGTCTACCAGCCGGCGAAGACCAATTGACGGTCTGAAGATGCTGGCGAAGCTTCGAGGCGTCCTCGTGCACGCTGGAGGGGCATGTTGGATCAACAATGATGGTATGGATCACTTTTGTATGGAGATGGGAGGAGATCTGGATGGGTCGAACCCATGCGAGTCTCCACTGCAGCTGGGCTTACCACGGTAGACTGGCAGGGTGCAATTGCAATGTGCAGGGGTCCTCAGCTGCCGGGTGGACCGATCTATGTAATCGGGCGGGTGCTCGGGCGCTCCTGCTGTTGCCTGCACTGGCACATGTGACCTGGCGCCTGCCTGTTTCTTTGGGACCCTCCTTTGCGGCGTTGGCCAGCCGCGTCGCGCTCTCTCCGTCGCGTCAACACCTGGATCCCTTACAACTTCGCCACCAGCGTTACCTCTGCAAAATCACATTGCGCGCCGCTCCAAAATTGTGACTCTAGCATTCCCTTCTGACTTGGGTCTCTCAGTTCCCACTTTTCTTTTTGAAAAACTTGCCGTCCACAACATCGCAAAAATGACCCAAACAGAGGAGGAGTACGATGAGGCGCAGGCAGGCGATGAGAGCATGACCGGCCCAGGTGCGCCCACGCCGTTGGCAGCTCTCGAGGCGAGTCTTCATGGCCGATGCACATTTCCACGAGCCTTTTTCTAACAAATTCTCGCGGTGCAGGGTCTCGGCGGTCTCACCAAACGTGATATCCAGCTCATTGTAGATGGCGGCTACAACACTGTCGAGTCGGTGGCTTACACGCCACGAAGGAACCTCGAGCAGATCAAAGGCATATCTGAGCAGAAGGCAAACAAGATCCTCCAAGAAGGTACACATCCACGCCCTAAAATAATAATGCTTCAACACGTATGATGCGCTCATTCTACCCAAACACTAACTTTGTCGCACAGCATCGAAGCTCGTTCCCATGGGCTTCACTACGGCCACGGAGATGCATCAACGCCGCAGCGAGCTGATTTCCATCTCCACCGGCTCCAAGAACCTCGACACTCTCCTTGCTGGTGGTATCGAGACCGGCAGTGTCACCGAGATCTTTGGCGAGTTTCGTACCGGCAAATCGCAAATCTGTCACACCCTGGCCGTCACCTGCCAGCTGCCCTTTGACATGGGCGGTGGCGAGGGCAAGTGTCTCTACATCGACACCGAAGGAACATTCCGGCCCGTGCGCCTGCTGTCCGTCGCAAACCGCTATGGCCTGTCCGGCGAGGAGGTCCTTGACAACGTTGCATATGCGCGAGCCTACAACTCCGACCACCAGCTGCAGCTCCTCAACCAGGCTGCAGCCATGATGTGCGAGACCAGGTTCTCCCTCCTGGTTGTCGACTCAGCCACGTCCTTGTACCGTACCGATTTTCTGGGCCGAGGAGAGCTCAGCAGCCGGCAAACACATCTTGCCAAGTTCATGCGCACGCTGCAGCGGCTGGCAGACGAATTCGGCATTGCTGTTGTCATCACAAACCAGGTCGTCGCCCAGGTAGACGGTGGTCCCTCTGCCATGTTCAACCCAGACCCCAAGAAGCCGATCGGCGGCAACATCATTGCTCACGCTTCCACAACCCGACTCAGTCTGAAGAAGGGCCGTGGCGAGACCCGTATTGCGAAGATCTACGACAGCCCCTGCCTTCCCGAGGCTGACTGCCTGTTTGCCATCCAAGAGGACGGCATTGGTGACCCCTCTCCCAAGGACATGGAGAAGATGGACAGGTAGCCGGGTGGGCTTCAGACTCGGTGACGTTGCATGAATTGCTTGCACGATTGGGATGGATCTGGGTGCACCGGGAATGGCCAGCTCCAGTATATGGGATGACAGGCAAGCCGAGGCAAGGAATGGGGGCCATCATAGCACTTATTGTCTGAACATCTTCCTGGCTTGTTGGGTTACGTGGCATGGTAGCTAGGCGTTGTAGACTTTTCGCTTTGGGAACTTTCGTATTACATTATTTCGTATCGCATAGTAAGAGACGGATGCATGCAAGCGTCTTGCTATCAAAGCCCTGGTCTACGGCTATAGCTCCAACCGTTCCAGATAGGGTGGGGAGTATCTGAGGCAGCTGAAGGTCGAAAGAGTGTCCACCACGCTCCCGGCGAGGATCACAGCAATAGGTCCAGACAAGCGGGCTGACTTGGCCGAGAGACGAGTGCCTTGTGACCCATTGGGCATACTGCGTTACTCTCTTCTGCTCTTCTCTCCTCCACCCTCCAACTTGTTCGTGTCGCCCCGACCACGTACGGGTCACCTCGAAGGACTTGCGTTAGACTACAAGACCACATTTGATGTTCACAGTAGCTGTAGAGTCCGCCAACATGGCCGGCAGTATTTCATGTTGTAAGCCACTACTGTAGTAGCTCCTCACCCTCGCATTGGCTCCTCTTCCTGCAACCCGGCGCCCGACTCGACAAGTCAAGGTCTGCTGCACCGAGGATGACAGTAAGCGTACTGGCATTCTGAATATCAGAGTCGTCGAGACTCGATTTCGTCCGTCGTTTACTCCACAACGATTCACGGGTGTGTCTGTGAGCGAATGCCTACCTCGCCCTTGAACAACAATAATACATCAGACAAGCTGACACACGCACGATGCGTTAATCCCGACTCGGCCTTGCGCCGTCCATCCCGAGCATCCACGGCCGGTATCAAGAGGAGAATCGCTTCTTCCATTCTGATAGAAATCAACCTAAGCTACCGATCCCTCAAAATTTGTAAGCACAGAACCACCAGCCGAGTCCGTCTCTGTTTGCAACCGGAACTCCGGGTGTGATAGAAAAGGATAAAGGATAAAACCCCCGCCGCCGCCGTGATTATGCCCACGCCGATGCCGCTCGAAGACAGAAAACCAATGTGTTATGTAGAACCAGCGATGTGTGGGTCGGCTGGCGAGCGGGAGGAGAAAGCTCGAAGCCCGCACCGCCAGAGAACTTGATGGTTGAAGTTAAAAGAGAACAAGAAATGCTGGATCTAATGCCGACGACGCCGTTGTTGTGCTATGCCCCCTTCCCTACCAAAAAGCAATGCATCACTCAAATCAAAAAGGTCGTCCCTTCCTGTCCCTCCCTTGCTTGCCATCATTGAGTGACTGATTTACTGGCCGTCTCACTGTTCTTCGTTTGGAGGTAGGCTATTAGCCAGGGGACGTATTCCCCTGGATCTGGTAGATTGCGTGGATGCCCAAGTGCTGATTTTGGCCCAGCTCGAGATGCCTTGTCAGAAATGGAATATCTCCGTGTGATCTTCTGCGTCCAGTTGACTTGCGGCGTAGGAAGAATTGCCGACTCAGACACAACCCCCCGCAGTTGCAGCAGCCTGCGGTCTCCATGTTCCCCAGTATTAGTTCGGAGTATAGAATCCACTATTCGCCATTGCTATACTCTGATCCGCGCGTCCATACTCCAGACCCAGATGAAATGGTGTGTAGGCAGGGTTTCGAAACTGACTCAGATGGGGAAGTTGTTGAGCAAAGGCTGCGTGAGGAGGTGGTGGCCCTGGAAATGATGTTGGGAGCGGAAGCTCCGCTGATGTCGGGGCTTGCAGGCCGCCTCCACTAAGAGGGCCCGAGTAGTTTTGATAGTTTCCCATGTGCGACAATGGCGGAGGGTAAGCGCCTACTGAGCTGCTTGCCGGAGGACTTGAAGGAACGTAGCCTGAGAAGCCCGAAGAGTTCGGTCCTAGAGGCGCGAGAGTGGCAGGGTGGTTGGCAGCCTGCGTCTGATGCGGGATGTTGGATGTGCGTGGGAAGATTGACTGCTGCAAGTTAGGCATGTTCTGCGTTCTCCGAGGCCACACGTCGTGCAGGTGACCAGGCTGCGGTGGGTTATGCGACTGGGAGGGGGGAAAAGGCAGACGGACCGGACTGTGCTGCTGTGAGGCAGTGTGCGAAGGGTCGTATCTCTGTTCACTGATGGCGCCATGGAGCAGCAGGCTTCCATGCCGCTGATCGTATGTCCTTGAAGCGTCGTGCCGTGGGCGCTGTCTCCGCTGAGTGTCGCTCGGATCCTCCGGTGGTGCCCGCCGCTCGCCAGCAGCTGAAGCATCGCGGTGAGAGCCTTCGGGGTGAGGCTGAGCACCACGTGGATGTATGGTATACTGATGGTACATGTCTACGCCAGACGAGTCCCTCCTCAGAGCTTGTATCGCCCTACGGTATGCAGGCACGCCCACCTCCGCGTCGACCCTGGCGACTTGGTATGTCCTACGCAACATATCCCTACTCGGCGGTGCGGGCTCCGAGTGCAGCTTATCCCGGCAGTACGGGCAACTATCGGCGTCTTCAAACCACTTGAGGATGCAGTGGTTGCCGAATACATGCTTGCACTTTGGCAAGCGCAGTGGATGCTCGTTTATGCCTTCCGGGCTGGCGACGCCAAAGTCATTGTAGCAAATTACGCAGGCTTTGAAAGGTCAGCTTTCCACACAAAACACGACAAAACGGAAAGAAAGAGGTAAATTATTCTCTCACTTCTCTCGTTCTCGGGCAGACTCTGGATCTCCACGTTCTGCAATGCCTTGATAGCCTTCTGAGAAGCGACCCGCTTGTTGGACATCTGGCCACGGAGGAGCTGGGCTTGTCGGACACTGCGGAGGCCGGCGTAAGGAAAGCGTGGGCCGCTCTCGTCCGGATCACTGTCGTCGTCCAAGCTGGACCCCGGAGATACCGGAGTGTCACTGTTTCCCTCGTTCGATACCACACCTGGCCTAGATCTCAGCCCAGCGAAAGCAGAAGACGGAGACGTGAATCCCTCACGCGAGCTGTACGCTGCAACCGAGGCTCTCCTCGAGGCAGAATCCTGAGGCAGCACCCTTTGATTTGGGGCCGGCGGGGGAAGCCTGGCATGTGGCTGCATGTTCACATCCGGGTGACTGGGCGGGAAGCCGTGGCCATTCGAGCGCAACTGAGGGTTGTGGGACGGGTGAGAGGGCCTGCTCACGTCCGTGTCGTGCCCGGAGCCGGCGTTGCTAGGCTCAGAAGGAGAAGTAGACCCAAGGTGGTGGGGTGCTCTGGACGCGGGCTGAGATTCGGAGCGCTGTGCCTCGCCCTCGACGGGTTCTGTGGCAGGGTTGGGGCTGGTCTGGTTAGAGTGCAAGATATGTTGGAAGTCCCCTGGGCCTTGGGGTATTTGCTGATTCCGCTGCAGGGGACGTGGTGCCGGTGGGACGAATGTGACTGGAGAGTAGGGCTGGTGAGCCGAGATTGGAGGTAGCGGGCTGAACTCTGGGATCTGGTGGTTGAAGGAACCCTCGTAATTTGAATCTGCTGGTCGCGAGGCTGGCAGGCCAAGGTGTGGTGTGGTGTTGCTGGTGTTGCTGCTGGTGGTGGTGTTGCCGGCGCCGTGGGGCCAGTGCTGCAAGAACGAGGGCGGTTGAGGGTGGTGGTGAGGATAGATGAAGGCATCTGATGAGATCGGTGGGAAGTACTGCTGGCTCCAGCCCCGGTGCTCCTGCCACAAGTTTCGATGCTGTTCTCCACGCCAGCCAGCCAATGCCGGGCAACCTCCTCCTACCCGTGGTCCAACATGTGCGTGAGGATCGTGGCGTTGCATTTCATAGTCCATGGCATCCTCATCCATGCTATTGCTTTCCGTATGTTGAGAGACGACAGCCGGTAGACGGTCAGTCGGTATAGACCTCGACGACCAGAGCTCGAGGGTTGCAGGTGGAGGAGAGCCACTTGGGACAGACACAGAGACGGTGGTTGTGAGAGATTATGGGCACAAAATCGACTGGAAACGGAGCACGCGATCTTCACGAGGACGGTCAGGCCAGACAGGATTAGTAGTAGTAGTAGCAGTAGTGGTGAGGGCGGTGGTTGTCGTCGTCGAGGCAAGGTGGACCTGCTGCCGGATGCGGTCTAGACACTATGGGAGCCAGGGGGAGTGCAGGCAGAGTGCAGAGGCACTGACGGGTTGTTGTGGGCGGGGTTAAGACTACTGGGCTGTGGCTCGTTGGGCTTTGTTTGGCGTGTGACCTGCTGCTCAGTGATGCCCTCAGGATTGTGAAAGTCGAGTGAGGCCAGCAACCGAGGGAAGGGTCGAGGAAGAAAACCAGGTGAGAAGGAAGAAGGAGAAAGGGCAGGAGGCGGGAGAGACGGGGCGTCAGAGTCTCAGATGCAATGCAGTCAGTCCGTCAGTCATGTGTGGAGAGGAGGAGGGGTCCATGTGTCGCAGTGCAGTGCAGCGCAGTGAAGCTCAGGTCGGCTCGGTTCAAGTTCACTTCAGTTTCTGGCCATGGCCATGGCTCTGGCTCTGGCTCAGTTCAGACCACTCCAGACCAGCACCACTCCAGACCAGCACCACTCCAACCCAGCGCAGCCCAGCCCCGGCACGGCGGATAAGATGGGAGACGAGGGACGAGGGAGGAGGGGTGACGGTGGGAGGAGATCAGGCGCACAGGGATGTAAAGAGGTGGAGCGCGGGCTGTTACTTGACGCAGTAATAACAAGTCGGCGCAGACAAGGGCCAGGATTGACGGGACAGGTGAGTAAATGAAATTTGCCTAGGCAGAGGCCCAACCAACAGAACTACGGACCTGACGAGCTGACTGGGTGACTGGACAACCGGCCAACAGACTGACTGGCTGTGCTTAGCGAGGGAGCGAGGGATACTGAGTGATTGCTCGAGTGCTCGAGTGAGTGACTTGGTTGACTGACTGGTTTACTAACCGACCGGTTTGAGTGACTGGGACAGTCGCCCTACCGGGACCCAGGTTGCCAATGTGAACAAGGGAGGGGGGGGCGGAACACATGGTCGGACATGGACATGGACATGGACACGACCGGAGACTTGGACAGTACATGACATGGGCTAGGACATGGATATGGAAACGGAATGGGGATGGGGCTGCTCACGAGCGCTATTAGCAAAGCAGAGGATAAGCACAAGAGGGCAGAAAGGGCGAGGCGGGCAGGCAGGCAGGGTGGGATAAGACAGGGCAAGGACCCATACAAGGACCCATACAACACAACCGTAGCCACCTAGCCCCGGGCAGGTAGTGACAGTCAGTAGGGTGACTGGCGGACAAGAGCTGGCACTACTGAACCGTAGCCCAAACATTTGCTACCTCAAAGTTGGCCCCAAGCGATGCAATGCGATGCCCGCTTGTCTTGTGTTGCGTTGCGTTGCTGCTGCTGCTGCTGCTGCTGCTGCTGCTGCTGCAGTGCGTTGCCTGTGGTTGAACCACCCTTGCTTGCCCATCCGCCTTGCATTGCCCTGCTCTGCCCCAGCCTGCCCTTGTTGCACTAGTTGGGAGCACGGTGGGTGGAAGAGACAAATGAAAATGAACAAGAAGACAAAACCAAAGACAGTCGGCCAACTTACTGCTGGTCAGTCCAGCCTGGTCTGGTCTGGTCTGGTCTGGTCTGGTCTTATCATCTCCGTGGGTCTCACTGCGTGGGGCGTGGAGCAGATACGCAGCGAGAGAGCGAGGAGCCGATGATTCGTGGAGGAAACGGCATGGCTGCCATGGCACAGCGCAAAGAGCTAGCTTGCGTTGGCTGCTTGACTGATGGATTGGACTGACTGAATGTTTGACCACTTGATCAATAAGTGAGTGGGTAGAATCTTGGGGAGCCGAGGTAATAATTAGCAGCAGCTGCTGCAGGTCAGAACGGACGGCGCCAAATGGTGGGTGCGCCAACAAAGACGACGCTGCAAGAGAGAGAAGATGGATTGGAGATGGGCAAAATGCCGAACCATCTGCCTGCCTTGGTCGCGGTAATAAGCCGTGCTGATCGCCGTGGACCATGAGTTAATGGGAAAAAGGACCGTCTGGTCGCTGCCGAGTCAGAGCAGATTTGGTGACGGGAAAAGTCAGCCGAGTGTTGCGAGCTTCGGCAAGGTTCACTTCCAGGTTTCGGAACTTTGACACAGTCGGAATATCAGCTTTCGTTTTTGCATCCGGATGCACTCAGACCCTCACCGAGCGCTGCGCCTGCGACCTGGCCCTGGGTCCCAGACCCAAGACCCGGGAGCCCCCTTCGCTTGACCCCAGAGGTTAGGCGGTTGGCGGGTCACGCTGAGTCGGGTCGAGTCCCTTGATGGCACACAGGAATTGATTGATGTGTGCTGCGTACAAGACAGTCCATATATCGAACAACCTCAGTCAATTGCCAATAATCGCAGACATGCATGGCCAGTCAGTCAATCAGCATCAAGGAGGAAGGAAGGGAAGTCCCCGGCCCAAGGGGCACAGACGAATCAATTAAATCCCCTGTCAGTTAGACCCCACCTCCCCCATCAAGGCTAATCTGTTCTTATCTATTGGCCCAAGCTGCAGGAGCGAAGGGATCATCGACAAGGGTGCTGAGAACGACATCAGACGGAACGGAGCTCTTGTCCCTATGTACACGCATGTACCGTTCCTGCTGTCACCATGCTCCGTGCCTTTGGGCAAGTGCCCACACGGCATGGCACAACACATACAAACATCACAACACATCACACACATCACAGCACAGCACAGCACAGCACAGCACAGCACAGCACAGCACAGCACAGCACAACACAACACAACCCAGTCAGTTTAACCCGGCACATTACAACACACACACACACAACATCCAGCGCATCATGGCCCCTCCCGTCAGCTGCAATTCAGCACAGCGCAGCACGGCTTCACGATGTGAGCGCAGCTACCCTGCAGGGCACGAGCAGAGGAACCAGATGCCGTCAGCCTCCAGCCGACTCAAACGATGACAACTCCCGCTCGGGGCCCGACTCATTCCGTCAAGATCCCAGCGGCCCAAGCATTTGGGGTAAGAGGCAAGTCACGACAAATGCGTGGACATATGGATGCATCCCACGCAGTCAGCCAGCGCCAGGGAGGCAAGGACCTGTGTACAAGGACCTAGAACTATAAGCAAGGGCAACCGCCGAATTTGAACACCGGGTCCCTCTGGCTCCTCTGGCTCCTTTCCCGGCCGCCATCTCACCCTTTGCGTGACTGCCATGTCGGCCCGCCTACACAGCGCACAGCTTCTGCGGGGTCAACAACAGATCGACGCCAGCAAACAATAGTACGCAAGTGTACCAGCCTGCCAGCCCAGCGCTGTGGAGAATATACCGCCCAGGCTGCCGGGTAGATGCCAGCCAGCTCACCCTACATGCCATGCAGTACAAAATGTAGACTACCTCGATCCAGGACACGCGGGCAATGATGTAAGAAGCAGAGGAAATCTCGAGACTGGCTTCTGAGGCTTGACTCGTGATGCAGCCGGAGAACAGGACGAGGCCAAGAGGGGACAACCACTCCGAGACCGCTTGCTACTGTAGGCGCGAGTTTTCCTCTCTGCAGACCCAGCATGTATTGCACCAGACCCATGCCAGGGCCGCTCTTGTCGGACAGCCAGAGAGAGACACACACAGAGGCAATTGAGCGCTTCCGCAGGCAGACCACAGGCGCACCACAGGCAGAGACAGCGGTGATACATCACGAGGTATGGTGCTCGACGAGGCTGGCTGCATGCATAGAACGTACGTACAATACGTACTTGGCGACATGCGGGTTGATAGTGGTATAAGAAGTCAGGCGGACCCGCCACTGCGACGTTCTGGCCGGTCCTGTGCGTCCCAGTCGAGTCTCAACCCGCGAAGAACCCTCTTCCACTCCCTTGCTCGTTCTGACCTACCTACCTTAACCGCGAGCCACTTGCCAGCCAGCTCAAACACGCGGACACGGCGCCCAGATCCCGCCAGTGGTTGGCTGGGCTCGGTCCAGCATCCTGTCCTTCCGCAAACAGGCTTACTCTGACTCTTTCTGACTCTTTGTCGCTGGCCGACGCTTGGTCCTGTGGACCAATATGTATCCAGCCAGGCCCAGGCATACCCCTTCGCGAGCTGGTCCCTCCCGACCAGAGACACATAGAGACACATCGGAAGATTTCTGTGTCAGAGACACCGCATAACTGCAGCCGTGTCGGAAAAGGGAAGGAAGAAGAAAAACGTGGAATCAAGAAGGAAAGTTTGCACCCATGGACCGACAGACCGATACTCAGCCCAGCCCACTCATGACGCTCCCGCGGTCATTTACAGGCAGGCTGGCAGGCAGGCAGGCGGTCAGGCAGGCAGGCAACCTCGCCCCAGCCTGCCTGCTGATTTTTTATTTATTTGCGAGGTCGTATTCGCCTTGGCAGACCAGTGCAGGCTGCGTCAAAAAGAGTGCGGATACTCCGTCGTCTCATTCTCCAACACATGGCATATAGTTCGAGCATGGCAAATCTGACCGTCTATCCTTCAGCTCGGCAGGGTTCTATTCTGTCCCATCTTCTTCCCTCGCAGAATCCGGCCGATGGTAGATCCGACCCCAAGAAACCCCGACACAGCAGCATGGCAACATGACAGCATGACCACTCAGGCAGCCCAACGCCACGCCGGCCACATTTGTCCGTCTGCACAAGTCCTCCACCAGTCCTCACCTGACGAGTGCCGCCCCAAGCTCCCGCCTGGTCATGCCTGTGGGGACACTTTGCGTCTCAAGGCTTTCGAAGCGCTTGCCCCCTCCACCCTGCGCGACCGCATCCGCTCGGGACTTGAGACCTCCCCCACGACGGTGCTGAGAGCCGGTGCTCGGACAAGATGCGCTCATGCACGCCATATGTCACTATCACTAGTAAGAGAGCATGGCGCCGACCACGTTATTTGCTACCAATCTCATCTGCCGTTGCGATGCCGCAAACAGAGCTCTGCCGGTGTGAGCCGGCGGCCGTGGACCCTGCAACTCAACCCATTGTTTGACTCTAGGTGGAAAGGGAGGCCCAAGGCCATCCGAGAAGATTGATTGCTACGGTAGGTCAGGTAAGTAGGGCTTTTGCTTGGAGCCTGCCTGCACCCGCAGGAAATCCCTGGCTCGCTCCGTCCGGCGGCTCGGGGGTGCGACGCTGCCCCGGCTACTCTTGGTCTGAGTTATTATGTCTCGGTGGCGATAGCACGCTTCTTTTGTACTCAATAATGGATGCTTGCAGGATACATGACCTCCGGACGGCGTTGGGCAGACTGGATGCCTTTGTAGGCGAAAGCGTCGTGCCACTGCACCCACTACAGCTCTAGCTGAATCCGGCCGAGACCAGCAACGAGGCCGGGCTGACCATGAAGCCACAGCTGCGGTGAATTATCGCCTTCAAGCTTTGACGTCGTCTCTATGGACCGCACCATCGGCGCCATCTCTCTTCTTGGCTGGCCAGATCTGCGCCTGCCGTTGTCCAAATCACTCGCTGTGCTCGGTGGACTATAGCGCGGAGTGGAGCCTGCTTGGTCCTTGATCACTCACGGACCTCTGCACCTCCAACCAGGGCAGATGTCAGGCAGTAGACCGCTGAATCGCTGGTTTCACAAGTCAAACCTTGCTTCATCGGTCGATCTATGAGGGATCAGCGACTGAAGGAATATCCACATAAAGGACAGTCAGCCAGCAGCAGCAGGTTGATGTGGCAAGGCCGTCTAAGACTGCAAGCACGGTTGCCGTTTTCATTCAAGTAGATAGTGCTCTGAAGCCGGCCCAGCCGGCCCAGCCATGCCACGGCTGCCATCAACAGTCACCTGGAGTCACCAGGCCAATTTGCGGTGGAATCGAGCTCGTATGGCATCGTGCTCCGACGCTGCGGGGCTTGACTGCGGTTTTACCGTGCGGCGTGCTGAGTTGACGACCCCTTGCCAGCAATATCGCACGCTGCGGACTAGGCCACCTCCAAGAGACGGTTACGATTGGTAGCTCGAGTCTCCGAAATTCGAGACCTGCGCACAGCCTCCAGGGGTTTCATTCTCTCGGTGACAGTGTAATTGTGGCTGCACAAATAGCAGACCTAGCATACGCTGCGCACCGCATCTCATCGCACCGCAGCACATCCTGGCCCGGCCAGGCTTAAGTCATTTCGTGGCGCCTGAGACGTGGAAGAACACTGACCGAGTGTGTCTTGAGACACCGCCGGCAAGACCAGGAACTCGTCAGCTTGAAGCTTGAAGCAAGAAGCAGGCGGTGTAGGAATTGGTCCTGGGAGCTCTCGGCTCCTCTAGGATTTCCACGAGACCGGCCCAGCAACCCCTGGGTGCCCTAAAAACCTCGGTGCGTGAGAGGACGTTGTCCCGGCTGTCCCAGAGGGGAACGTCCGTTGACGGCGCCGGACAGAGCCGAAGGCCGGCCGCCGTGATCGGTGGACCCCCTCCGAGCCATTTCCCGAAGAGGAAGGTCTCTTGCCCCCGCGACCGCGGAGTCGTGCCCGTCACGATGCCGTGTGCTGCGGATTTAGCGTGCTTTTGTTCCTGCTGCCAACAATCTGATTGTTGACATCGACTGGCTTTACCCTCTTCCTATCTATCTTTGCTCGAACGTGATTCGACCGTGCACAACACGCACATCTTCACATCAGCCATGGACGTGCAAAAGGTTCGAGCCAACTTCCCGGCGCTGGGCCAGGACCAGGTCTTCTTTGACAATGCCGGGGGCAGCCAGGTCCTTGGATCCGTCGTTGATTCGTAAGGTGCCATCCACTTGTGCACGCCACGGTGTCGGCCTTTGTACAGGCGCCCGACTGACAACATGTCTATAACCTAGCATACGAGGCTACCTGATCAACTCCAACGTGCAGCTCGGCGCCACGTACGATGTTGGCAAGAAGGCCACTTTGAGATACGAAGAAGGCTACCAGGCAGCGGCGAAGTACATCAACGCCTCTCGCGAAGAGATAGGCACGTCTTATCTCACCACCACCGCCACCACCCCATCGACCGGATGAGACGCCGCCATTGCTGACATAGCTGACCACGCAGTCCTGGGCGCCTCAACGACCCAGCTCTTCCGCAACTTCGCCTCCACGCTGACCTTCCAGGCCGGGGATGAGATCGTTGTCTCGGCCATCGACCACGAGGCTAACATTGCTCCGTGGGTCGACCTCGCGAAGCACCAGGACCTGGTCCTAAAGTGGTGGAGGCCCGCCGACCCCGCGACCTCTCTCAAGCTCCTCGCCTCGGACCTGGCGCACCTGCTCTCGTCGCGCACGCGGCTCGTGACCTGCACGCACGCGAGCAACATCCTCGGCACAATCCACGACATCAAGGCCATCAGCGCCGCCGCCCACGCCGCCAGCCCGTCGGCGCTCGTGTGCGTCGACGCGGTGGCGTATGCGCCGCACCGCAAGGTCGACGTCCGCGCCCTCGGCGTCGACGTCTACGCCTTCAGCTGGTACAAGGTGTACGGCCCGCACATCGCGACGCTGTACGCGGCCGCCGGGTCTGCCCAGACCCAGATGCGCAGTCTCGGCCACTTCTTCAACCCGCACGCCACGCTCGAGAACAAGCTCGGGCTGGCGGGCGCCAGCTACGAGCTCGTCGGGGCCATCGGTGCCGTGACGGCGTACGTCGGCACCGTGGGCTGGGATGCGATACTCGCGCAGGAGGCGGAGCTGCAGGGCACGCTGCTGGGGTACCTCAACGGGAGGGACGACGTCACCGTGCGTGGCGAGACGAGCGCTGACGGGGCTGTCAGGGTGCCGACGGTGAGTTTCACGGTGAAGGGGTGGGACTCGAGGGAGCTGGTCGAGACGGTGGAGAAGGAGACGAGGTTTGGGTTCAGGTGGGGTGCTTTCTACTCTAACAGGCTGGTGAATGAGACCCTGGGGCTTGGGAAGGATGGGGTTGTGAGGGTGAGCATGGTGCATTATAATACTGGTAAGTTATCCCTTACATTTATGCTCATGTTCCTCGTCATGCCGCGCGGAGCTGACTAGATGATGATGCAGTTGATGAGGTGAAAGCGTTCATAGCTGCTCTAGATAAGGCATTGGTGTTGGTTTAGTCCTATCGACGTACGGGTGTACCCTCCGTTTTTGCGGGTGCGAATATCCGTTCTCCAGATTGATGGTAAGGTAGAGAACTAAGAATGAAGATAAGATCATGTTCAGCCGCTAAAATGTCTGCATAAAGTTGACAACCACCATGCACTCCTTGGAACATACCTGAATTGGGGGCTGGGATGGTTGCAATTCCCGAGCCCAGACTGGCCGAGACTCTAGGCCATTCTCTAACGCATCACGTGCCCAGCAATTTTTTCTTGTGTCGGTTCCGGCGGCGGCGGCAGTGGGATCGCATCTGAACCTGGACAACCACGTCTCAACCTTCACCACCACACCACGAAACACCGGCGTGGACCAGCCAGCCATGCTCCCCACGCCAGACACCTCACATGTGTCCTACTCAAGAGTCTACGAGCCGGCCGAGGACTCGTTTCTCCTCCTAGACACGCTCTCCTCGCCCTCAGAAACCGCCTTCCTCCAACAGCGCTTCGGTCCGCCCAGCCGTGGCGGCGACAACGACCACGGACGGCCGCCCCCACCGCCGCTAGTCGTCGAGGTCGGCACCGGCTCGGGCGTGGTGCTGGGCTTCGTCCACGCGCACGCGCAGCCCATCTTCGGCACCCGCGGCGTGCTCACGGTGGGCGTGGACGTCAACGCCTTCGCGTGCGGCGCGACGGCGGCAACCGCCGCCCGAGCCGCCGCCGACAACCCGGCCACGCACGGCACGTTCCTCGGCGCCGTGCGGGGCGACCTGCTGGCGCCTCTGCGGGCGGGGAGCGTCGACGTTCTAATCTTCAACCCGCCGTACGTGCCGACGGACGAGCTGCCGGCGCAGGACGACGCGCGGCTGGCTGCTGCCGGGGACGGGGAGGGGAGCACGATGAGCGCGAGCGCCAGGTTCGACCGCGACTCGTACCTGCTGTCGCTGTCGTATGCCGGCGGCAGGGACGGCATGGAGATCACGGACCGGCTGATCGAGGCGCTGCCGGGGGCGCTGAGCGCGAGGGGCTGCGCGTACCTGCTGCTCTGCGCGGGCAACAAGCCCGACGAGGTAAAGGCGAGGATCCGAGGGTTTGGGCCAGCGTGGCGGGTGTTGACCGTTGGGGACAGCGGCAAGCAGGCCGGGTGGGAGAAGCTTCAGATCATTAGAATTTGGAGGGACGACGGCGACCACGATACTAGCACCTAAGGGGAGGAGAAAGGACGCACAATTAGACGCTTTTGTTTTATGACTGCAGGCAGATACATCCATCCATCCCTCTTTCTTTCACGACTTGATGCCGCATGAATGCCCTGACGAGTTCAATCTCCTCTCCCTCTCTGCCCCCAACGCCACGACAATGAGACGCCGTTCCCTCTTGCAAAGACCCATGTCCAGCGAGCCAAGCAAGTCACAGAGCCTGTTCCAGCCGGGGTCCCGTCCTTGTCGAGAAATGCCGGGAAGCTGTAGCAGTCGACCCGAGATAGATCCCACCTCCGCATGAGCTTTGATGCAGCTCGAGCAATCCCTCGTGGCATGCGCGTTGTGGCTCCAGCGCACCTGACCTCTTTCCAGTCCGCCGAAGTCGTCGTCACACGAATGCCTCCGTCCACAAAACCCTTGATGATTCCGTTTACCGTCCTCGTCCAAAGCCTCGACCACGGCCGCCGCCCCTTCCGCGACCGCCGCCCCTGCCGCCGCGGCCACCGCGCATGCCACCACCTCCGGCCCCGCGGTCGGCCTCCTTCCGGGCCTTGTTCTTCGGTTTTGGCGCGTCGTCGATGAGCAGCGTGTCGAGCGGCAGGGAGTCGGGCAGGATGTAGTACCGGACCGTGGACCCCCTGATGTTCATGGCGTCAAGCTGGACCGGCTCCTGGCCCTTGGGCGTCATCTTGACATTGCGCAGGGCTGTGTTCATTTGTGGGGAGACGGATGTGATTGTGCCGTGTACGATGGTTCCTGCGCGTACCAGGTCAGCGCCGACGTCAAAGGTGACAAACAAGCCCCCAGGAGACCGGGGGCTACAGGTTATTGTAGGCCGGGGGGGTTTTTACCATTCTTGAGCTCGATTGTCACCGTCTCATTGGCGCATTTCATCAAAAATCTAGCATGGGTTCCATGATTAGCCTCGAGGTTTGGCGCGGTCGGCTCGCGATGCTTGAGACAGCTGGTTCAGCACAAACGGTGCAGAGGACGTAGAGACAGAAGGGAGAAAGTTTGAGATGGGCTTACCTGACGAGCTTCATCTTGGCGACGGGTTGGAATGACAAACACCTCGACGATTCTGTGTGATGGCAGGGCTGCGTATGTTGAATTGGTCGCGAACGAGGCTGGCTTGGACAATCGAAGCTGTAGACGCGACCCAGAGCTCCTCCAAATTCGAGAAGGCTGCCGGGCACGGACCACGTCCGCAGTCATGTGATGGAAGAGCTACTTCACAGATACTTCATATTCAGCGACTCTCACACCCCGAGCGAGGTACTTTATTTGTACTTTATCCAAAAATGGGGTTTATACTCTCAAAGGGGGTATTCGTGCAGTGCTCAAGACAGAGATGGGAATCAGATTATGTACAAGGGGCACAGAGAAGATACTGGCGGGTGAAAAGGCCATGTGGTGTCCTAGTTCCCTCCGTCCAACCATCGCTGTAGCGCAGTAGCAGCCCGCGGCCATCGCAGCTTCGTCACCAACCAGAATGGCCAGTCCATGCCTCCCACGGCTCCCTCCACGCAGCGTGCCTCACTTTGTCTTGTCGCTCTCGTACTCTGAGACCTTCTCCCACTCGTCCTCGGTGCTCGCGCTCGACTTGCTGCCCTGCGACTGCTGCGACTGCTGCGACGCGCGCGGCTTCACATCCCCGGCGCCGGGCTCCTGAACCTCGACGTCCCTGCTCGCGGCGGCCGGGCCTGGCTGCTGGGACGCCTTGGTCTTGCTCCTCGTCAGGACCGTCTCCACCTCGGTCTCGCTCTCGGAGGATGTCTCTGCGCTTCCCCGTGCCGCCGTCCTGCGGGCCGCCTTCGCCTTCTCCTCTACCTCCCGGTCATGGTTTGCCTGCAGCTCCCGCGCGAACCAGTTGATGGCGTACCAGAGACCGCCACTTAGGAAGGATAGGATGATGAAGTGGATGCTGTAGGTCGCGAGGAGCAGCGCGAAGAGGACGACCTGCAGGCAGGCGAAGGTGACGTTGGTCGCGATCAGGAGGGATGGGGTGGGCCCAGGGATGAAGATGGACTCCCACAGATCCTGGAAGAATTGCGACATGTCGGTGGTATGACGGATCGGGTCGGAGATATCGTGATATATGGAAGTAGTTTGCGTTGATGTTGTGATGTTGGCGCTGGTCGGTATCGCTGTTGGCTTGGCCAGAGTTGGATGTCCAGCTGCTTGCTCTATTGTGGGGTGGAATCTCGACCGACTAGAAGGCAAGTCCAAAGTCAGTTCACTGTACTGACTGAGCGCCTATGAACAGGTCCACGTCTGGAATGGCGAGTGACCAAAGAAGACGCGTCTTTTGCTGCCTGAACAAAGCCCATGGTTCCCAGGAGTTGCTTACCCGGCTCGATGGTAACGTGCTTTCCGGGATTAAGCAGCACAGCACAGCACAGCACAGCTCGACAGTGACGGGCGGGGGGATGTGAGCGTGGTGGGAATCCGCCTCGTGCCGAAGAGTGGCCGGAAATGGAAGTGGAAGGGAGCAAAAGAGGTCAGACGTCTCGATGACCGAGGAATCCAGAACCCCGTGCCGCCAGTCACTCCTCGTGCAAGTTGAGTTGGAGACGGGTTGGCCTTCGGCTCGGAGGGGTCCACGCCAGATAAATCAAATGGCGGGGAAGCGTTGATAACGCAGCTGAGCTCCCTTGCCGACAGGGGTTGATTTGCTTTACACCATCGCTTCCGGCCTGGCACTCGTTTTCTGATTTGGCTAAAATCAACACTGCCCATGTTCAATGTCTCCTCACGCAGCGTCTGCTTTCTACATGTGGTGCATCGTACTGTGAGCAGAATCACCGTCTCGTATGCAAGACTGAACTTGAATGATAATAATCGTTCGAGTGATCATGTCTGAAAGTATACTGTCTATGCCCGTAGGTATTGGATATACAATAGGGTCAAGGCGCGAACACCACCGGGCCTCCACCGCCAGGCTGCCCAGCCACTATGCTATACACGTTGTTCGTGCCCACTGATAAACCAAATTCCGTCACAATCTAAAGCCTTGCCCAGGTGGTATATGATTTAGTCATCCAGACTCCCAGCGCTGCCCTGTCCTCATTCCCGAGCAGGACCAGTTGAACCAAGAAGCACAGCCAAACGCCCATCGCAATGCTTGAAGAAACGCCACCAATGCTGTCATTACTACTCCGCGCGAGACACGGAGCTTGCTGTTGTGTCAACGACACCCTCCATCTAAGAGAACTTGTCTTTCAGTTCGTCGTCATCTACCGTGCTGACGAATGCGTGCCTCAGGAAGTGAAGCCAGGTCTTGTTGGGCTTGTTGCTTCTTCTTCTTCTTCTTCTTGTCTTTCTTGCCTTTCTTCTTCTTCTCAGCTTCTACATTATCGTCTGCTTCAGCTTCACCAGTAGCCTCTTCGCCGTCCGATTCGGACATGTCGTGCATGAGCTCATCTAGGTCATGAACCTCGGGCTCTTCGACATTGAACTCTTCCAGGTCGTCGGCAATGTCACCACCAGGTAGCAGTAGTTCGGCAGTCTTGGCCTTCGCGGTCTTGCCCATCCGGTACGCCAGCTCAACGAAGCTCCTCACGGTCAGGTCGGTCAGGTTGTAGAGCTTGTCGTCATACGTCGTGTACTCTATATCAAACTGAAACTCCCGAGGCTTGGGTTTCTTATTCTTCGGCATCTTGTTTCCGTGCTTGCCTTTGCGCCACTTCTCGGTATCGATGTCCTCGGATTGTGGCGCAATGTCATTGTTGATGTATGTAAGATTCGCATAATATTGCTTGTAGCCGGTGAGGGTCAGTGGCTGTGGTGAGTATGCCGGACCCGGGGGCGATGACTTGGAAGGGGGCTCAGGGACGACCAAATTGGGATCCTTCGGCTTCTTTCCCTTCTTCCCCTTCTTCTTCTTCTTCTTCTTCTTCTTCTTCTTGTCACTCTTTGACTTCTTCGGCTTCTTTCCCTTGTGTTTCTTCTTCTCGGCCTCAACATCATCGTCCAGGTCGCGAAGTTCCAACTCTACGCCAGAGGTCTCATCTGCGTCGTCCTTTGGCCGCACGGTCGGGAGCTTCTTGGTGTAGTCCGCCCATGTCACTGCGTCCCCAAGCCCGGTGATGTTGTATTCGAAGACTCGAAGCGTTGGGAAGTAGTTTGGCACAATACTTGGGCTGATGAGGGCCAGGTGGTACCGCTCGGCCCATTCGCTGTCAAGTTTGTCTTTGTCCTTGCCCTTCTTCTTCTTCTTCTTGTTGCTCCTCTCCGATTCAAAGTCGTCGAGGCTTTTGGCTGCGCCGGGCTTTGATAACTTGGCCCACCCTTCACGGAGCTCCTCGAGGTAATCGGTAGCTGACTGCAAGGAGAGCTCGTCATCCAGATTCTCACGGACAGTGATTTCCTCGTCCTCGTCCTCGTTCTCGTACTCATCCCAATCCTCATACGCAGTCTCAGACTCAAACTGAGACTCGACCCCGGCGGAGCGGATGTCAATCTCGTTTGTGTCCATGAGAACGAAATGGTCGATATTCATGTGACCGTACAGGCCGCTGATGACGACATCGCGGTACTGCTTCAGCCAGAGAGTGTACTTCTGCCAGCAGGTCTCATCCCAGAGCATTTTGCTGTCAGTCCGAGCTGGTGGGACGTGGCCCATCAGGATAGCCTTCATGCCACGGTCTCGCATGAACTGCAGCTGGACCCTCAGCCACTCCATGTGCTTGAAGCCGGGCTCCGATGGCTTGACGCAATCGTCGACGCCGGCATTTCTGTCGAAGAAATACAGGGTGTTGAGGCTGAAGACGGCGAGCTTGTTCGGAATGACCTCAACGTAGAACCAGCCGCCAAACTCGAAGCTGTGGCGCTGCTCCTCGGGGATGAAGTGATGCCAGATGTCGGTGTAGTACCTCAGCCATTTGTTGGGCCCGGGCATAAGAACGTTGTGCGGCAGGATGTCATTGTTGCCAAAGGTCGGGATTACTGGCACGCTGGCGCCGTTGTCGCCAGAAAAAGTCTCGGCGAACTTGTTGGCCATCAAGCGGTTCGTGCCGAGCACCTGAGCGGGCGATCTTGGAATGTCCTCGTCGGAGTCGTGGCGGGCACTGTCGCCGGTCCAGATGACGAAATCGATCTCATCGCGGAGCTTGGAGGATATTATCCAGTCAAAGGTGGCATTGACGAGGGAGATGGGTGTGTCGCAGTCCGAGGTCTCGGCGCCGTATGTGCCTGCTGGGCCCTTCCCGCTGTGGCAGGCACGGCCTTGCGCGGTGGAGGTGTGAACTTTGTAGAACTCATCGGGATGGAAGTCTGCAGGCCGATCAGTGTTAGGCCTGCCCGTTGTTGCTACCGCCGAGCATGGTGGGGCAGATGGGCAGCTGGTGCAGCTGCTGGAGGGGAGCTAGCGGCACCGACAGGGCGGAACTCACCTGTGATGTGCAGGAACCGGCCATGCAGCTTTCTGGACCGGGCGGTCTTCTTCTGTTCTGTTATTGGCGGTGGTGATGGAGGTGTATCAACCAAGGGGTGCTGCTCGAGTGCGCCAGCTGCAAGGGGCACCTGAGGTTGTGCCAGAGCCGGTGCAGCAATGACGCCAGTGCACAGGTGCGCCAGCGCAGCGGCAAGTAGCATTGCGCCGTTGGCCATCCTGGTGCGCGACCAGGCTCGAGGGCCAGAGGCAGAGTCGGAGTCGAGATTAAGAGTCAGAGTCAGGGTTGGCAAAGGACGTGTCGGGAAAAAAAAGACTGGAGAAGACAGGTTTTCAGGCTTCTAGGATTTTGTCGAGCGAGACATTGCAGGGCGAAGTGATCGAAGAATTACGGTGAGAGTAAAAATAACGAGATGGTCCAGGCTGACAGACGGAGAGGGATGGTCGGACAGTCGGTCAAGGGCCCCGGGCCTGGAGGAGGTGAGGTCTGACCAGGAGAAGGCACGGCTTTTGAATGTGCCAAATTCTGTGTCGCATGGGCTGGGCGCGGACGAGGAAATCGAGACTCGGGCCACCAGCTGGGATGCGCTGTCAAAGTCGGACAGAGGCAGGCGCGTGTGGGATGACAGCAGCAGCAGCAGCAGCAGCAGCGACAGCACACTCACTGCCCGACTGGCTGGTACCTTGGTACCTGAATAAGGCTGGAAAGAAGCTGCGAGACGGACGGAGACGGCAGTGACGGCAGAGTCAACAAGGCAGGTGATACGTCACTGCTTGTGGGCAGGGTTACGGGGGTCCCGCCCGGCAGATCGCAGATCCAGAACTTGGACTTAGACTCTCAGGCTGTCGGAGCCAACCTTGGAAGTAGGAGTCTCGGTCGAGGGATTCGGATGGTGTTGTTTCGAATTGAGAAAAGTTTGAGGAGCGAGCGAGAGAGAAGAATCGAGAAACGCAAATCCAGACAGGCGGTTTATCCGAGCCCGTTGCTCTCACCGTGGTACATATAGTACGGAGTAGTCGGCCTGTTTGTCAAATGCTGGCCACAGACCAGATCACAGACCGCATTCCTCCTGAGATGCACGCAGGGTACCTACCTAGGTAGTTTGGTAGCGTGGCTGTCCTCCTGCCTTGTCTCATCCATCGCCCGTCATCCAGCTTCAACTGACACACATTGATGTGCTTCGTGACCAAGCGTCCAGTCCCGAGGCTCCCAGCCGCCTCGTGCGCACTAGAACACGTACTATAAGCCGTAGACGACAGGAGAGATGTGTCTGCACCCAACTAGTGGTCTCGTGCCGCACCGCACTTCCTGCAAGGCTGAACCGCGCCTTTAGGTCGGGGGTTCCCCGGATTCCCTCTTGGGCCAATGCCCTTCGCCCATGCCCACACGTGTAACCACCCTCGCCTTCACCCCCCAACACCCAGCAAATGCCTCCCCCAGGCAATCGCGGAAACGGCCAAGCACTGCACGATTCGTACGTGAGAACCTTTGTGGCACGCGACCACATGCGCCGCCCCAACTGTCCGAAACCATGGCCCGCCTTGGTCCTTGACCCTCGTCCCTCCATTCCTGCTGTCCAGTGGCGTGGCCGTCGCGTGCCTCATCCACCAACATTGAACCCTATGGTGCGGCCGCTCTCGCGTTGACATTGAGAGCAACATGCTGATGCTGACTCTGGGCCGCAGTCTGAGTCTTTTCGGTCCTGTCGGCCCAAGACTGCGACATCTCAGGTCATACAGCCTCGTCATTCGGCGGTCATGTCAGCCGCAGCACGGCCCAAGTGCGCAGTCAACCAGGGGCTCGTGACCCCTCGAAGTGGTACCTGTGCATGTGTACGTCGGCCTGGTCGCCTGGTCTGGGTCTAACATGTATGTCATGCTGCAAGTAGCTCAGCGCGACAGGAACTACCTCCCTCCGGAATTTGGCCTCTTTCAGAAATATACAACTTGCCGCCGCTGCCCGCTGCGCCGGACGTGGGATTCCCGGCCAGAGGCGAACTGCGCAGCCACGAGGAGAAGAGGGCAATGCAGTCGACGTAGAGTATAGCTCCCGCCCGTCTTGTGCCGCCATCACGCGACATCTTTATGTGACCCCCCCCCCCACTCTCTCATTGGTGCGCCCTCATTGGTGCGCCCTTATTTGTGCGCCCTTATTTGTGCAGATCAAGTGCAGACAGGAGAGACCTGTCCCCCGCCTTTGGTCCGGCGCCTCTGAGAATCCGGGGCTGGTCTCCGGGAAGCCAGCCGAGCAAGAGCCCGACAGCCCCGGCCCCGGCCGATGGGGTGGCCCCGTCATGGCCCGTGCGCGATTCTTTGGGCTGAGGCTAGAAAATCCCTTCGTACCGTCGCTTGTCAAACCTCCTTTTCCTCTCTTCACATTCAAACGCAACTCCACAAACCGCCCTGGTCCAATCCATGGCTCGGTGTCCTTGCCCCCTCGTCGAGGGGGAATGTTGCAAGATTGAAATAGCCGTACGTTTGAGGGTGGTCGTAGCACTTTTGCGCTGTGACGGCCTCCTATGGTTTTAACCGGCGACACTACATCATATCAGTCTTGGAGAGGGTGCCCATCTGAAGGGCATGTTGTCTGCCAGGCCAGATCTGGTGGGTTTGAGTCTTTTCAGGGACGTTGTTCCTATGCCCGAACAGGCTCGAAAGGAGTTTGGAAGCTCAGGACTACGATCAGCCAGGGCGCCAATGTGTGGTCACCCCAGTCTCCTCAACGACTCCGTAATCAGTAGTCTTTGGGGGTAGGTGATTCCAGACAGAGCCCCGTCTACCCTCTACTGGCCAGGGTAGTCGGCCGTATCTACCTAGGTAATGGTGCTGCAATCAATAGTAGCTGTAACCAACTGTAATGAGGTCTTCCAAGAAGCGCAAGATCTGTGATTTCGCTGGGTTCGTATGTAGTTGAGGTACCGAGGTGCCTGGTACCTAGGTAGATACAGTCCAAGCTCCCTTGCGAGTGCTGCAGGGATTAGTGGCCCTGCAGCTTGGTCGACAGGGCGGCCAGGAAATTCTGCCAGCCTCACCAGCGCTGGAAACCGCGTGAACGCGCATCTCAAAACAGCTCCCACTCGACCCTGGCTGTCCACCAACCGTCACGTAGCCAGGCCCTCGCAGGACTTTGCTCTACTTGGACACTTTGAACGCAGGAGGCAGCTTTCAAGATGGAGCCCGAGCCGCCAATCCTCTACAAGGAGACTCGCGTCAGTCTGGAGCCTGCCTCCAACGCGTCCATCGTCCACATCAGGCTTCCTGCGCCCACAAGGTCAAGAGATCGCCGGTCTCTTGGGCTCGACAAGTATGGCGAGGAGGAGAGGGCATACCGCTCAAAGAACCTCGCAAGCGCCGCTTCCATATACCACAGGAAGCACCACGACTCGCCCCGTAGCTTCCTCTGGCGCGTCCTGGAGGACGATACCGTCCTGAGCATCCGCGCCGCCGACGTCTCGAAGCAACAGAGCGCGCCCGACGCACACCTCATCTTGCACCTGCGCTTTCCCAACCCCATACGAGCTTCATGCATTGCCCTTGCCGACGCCCCCGAACACGATGCCCTCAATATCTTCGCCCTAGATCACAGCAACCATCTCTACAGCATAACCCTGCGGCCCGATCACTTCCGAAAACGCTCTGCGACTGAGAACGGCATTGGCGACGCCTGCAAGACACACCTGGCCGGTACATTCAGCTTCAAGAGTCCTCACCGGCTGGCTGCTGTCAGCGCGCACCAGGTGGTCGTCACCTTCCATGATGGCGGCCTGATCAGGTTTGACAGGGACCGGACTCACAACGGTACAGGACCTTCTCTTATAGCACAGGGGTAATCCGACTGACGTATTCCGAAATTAGTCAATGGTCAATCGTGGAAGGAGACAAACTTCAGTGCCCAAGGCTGGGCCACGAGCTTTCGCAGCCTGCTCCCCTTGCCCTTCCAGGGCGGCCACACCATCAAGCACGGCAAGGCCAACATGGAACTGAGTGCCGCCACGTCCGTGGTGACCGACAGCTTGGGTGTCGATTACGCCCAATTCCTGTTCTCGGTCTGTCTCGATCACCGTTTGCGCATCTGGAACGTCCGCTCAGGCGCCATTCTGTACACGGCGGACATGCTGGGCGTGGAGCGCAACCCACAAGATATTGGAAAGTGGATCATCGATCCCGGATACAACAATTTAATCCGGATCGTTGGGCACGCTGAAGGCCGGCGGACCTTGGTGACTTATTCTCCGGTTGCCAATGAGTTCAAGTTCTGGAAGGTCGAGACCCAGGATGATTCGACAATTTTTGTCCATGACATGTTCCCAGACCAGCAACTTACGCCCCCAGGCCTCTCGTCAGGGGATGTGTGGACGCTGGCGGACTTCGGCGTGGCACAACCTACCGGCACGGCCCTCCACCTTTGGATACTGACCAAGAATAACCTTACTTACCGAGTCCAGAAACTCCAGTTTCGTGCCTCCGATTCCGAAGACGACTGGAGGTCTGGATGGGAGTCTGTCTACATTGACAATGAGCAACCTACTGCCGAGTCCTCGAACCCCGGCGATCCTACCGACGCCACAGAAAAGTGGCTCCAGACCTTGTTCTACCCCGGACGATTTTCAAAGGCTACGCTCGAGGCTGCCCTGGCCATGTATGAGCGAGGGCTGGGCTCCAAGGAAGCCACTTCGAGGAACGGGAAGGGCCTCGTTGAGGCGGTTTGCTCCGTATTGGGTTCAACAGCGGCTCTTGACAGACTTGCAAGCGGCGAGATGGACTTTGATCAGTTCCGATCCCACAGTCAGGTCTCATGGCGTCGATTCTATCGTCTAGTCTTGGAACTAGATAAGCAGCGGGGCGAGGCACTCTCGCTGGCCCTGGATCACAACTCAGGCTTGGCCTGGGTGCTGTGTGCCGACCTGGTCGCCGCTGTTCACCCCTGCTCAACTCTGGACCAGATCTACCACAAGTCTGCGGGCACCATCGACATAGATAATGAGAACGTGGCGGCGTTGGTTTCTGCTGGGCTGGACCTGATCGATAACTTCTCGGACAGCATCATGCAGCAAGCCAATGCCGCTCTGCGGGTGGAGTTGTTTGAGGAATCAGCAGACACGGACATGGAGAGAATACAACGCTTTTTCGACGAATCAGCGTCATGGCGAGGGATCTCCGAAGAGGATGCGGCCCAAGTTGTTGAGAGTCTAGGGAGCGACTTCAGGATCGTTACACAGGAGCTTTACCGACAACTTATCGAGCTGTTCGCAACAGCCGAAGAAACTCGCGCACGAGACGTGCGACATCCACTCACAGAGTTCGGCAGGAAGGTCGTCGTCAAGTCGGTACAAGAGACGGCAGATCTGCAGTGGCAGGTTCTGCTAAGCCAGCTGCTTCTCCTGGTCCATATGGAGTATGAGTACGACGAAGACCACGAGGAGAGCGCCCTCCACTCCAGACTGGATATTGGCTATGTCTACCGCCAGCTTATCGAAGCCCTAAAACATCTCGAGTTCCTCAGGTGGCTAGTCAAGACAGAGATCAGTGTGCCTGCTCTGAAACCCGAACGGTCTAATGGATCACCAACAACTACGAAACGGCCAGACGATATGCGGACAATCACTGCTTTCGAGGTGATTATTAGCCACCTGCTCGGGCTCGTGGATGTCGATGGTGAGCCTTTGGCATCGAGCCTGACGGATGTAGTGATCGACATCTGCGCGCCTGACAGTGGCATTGAGCTTTCGCCAGAGCTTATACAATGCTCCCTGTTGAAGGCAGACCGGCCAGATCTGGCGCTGGAACTCACGAGGTTTTGTGGTCAAGACCCATTCCCAGTCTACATCCAGGGCCGCGTCTTCCTGTCACTCAAGGACTACACCGCGGCTGCACTCCACTTCAAGAAAGCTGCGGTTGGAATGAGTAAGTTTCCCAGAGCCAGCATACTTATAACGTCGTACTCTAACACCCTCTCAGGTGTCCCGATGAAACATACGGAACGACACACCGGTGGGCTCCTAGACGAGACAGAGAAGAACCTTCTGAACAGCGGCCTCGCCAACTACTACTCCCACATAGTCTCGTTATATGACCGGCACAAGGCCTTTTCCTATGTCATTGACTTCGCTCGACTCTCCCTACAATTCGCTCAGGCCCCAGATGCCAAAGTGACGAGGGTAGAAATGCTCAGCCGCCTCTTCACCGCCTCGACATCCATCTCACGGTTTGAGATGGCCCACGCGACCCTTCTGTCCATGCCTGACCGCGCCCTGAAGCTGTCATGCCTGAAGAAACTCGTGGAGCGGATGTGCGAGACGGCCCAGACGTCGGAGCTGACGGCGCTGCCGTTCTCGGGCATGCAGGAAGAGGTCGACTCGATACTGCAGCAGAAATGCAGGAACACGACGGATGTGATCCGCGGGACGCCATACCACCAGATCCTGTACGCGTGGCGCATCACGCACAATGATTACCGCGGCGCGGCGGCTGTGCTCCACGACCGGCTGCAGAAGCTGCGCCAGGCTGGCGAGGGCGACAGCCTCAACGGCGACGACGTGCTCGACACGGCCGTGACGAGGCAGTTCCTGTTGCTGATCAACGCGCTGAGCTGTGTCGACCCCAAGCAGGCCTGGATCACCGTCGAGGAGGCGCCGTCGGCTAATGGCGGCGCGCAGGGTGCCGGGGCCGACCACGAAGGAGTCGCCGCCGCCAAGCCGAGGAGAAAGGTGGTCACGCTGGCGGACCTCAGGAGGCAGTACCAGGCGGAGCTGGACCGGATCGCGGCGATACAGAACAACCAGTTTGGGTTCACGGCGGATGATGGCGACGATGATGTGATGGTCATTGACCAGTGAGCGGACTCGGGAAAAAACGGAAAAGCAGGTGGTGACGAAGGCTCTATGGCATGGATTTTGTAGGATTACGAGGCACAAGCACAGTTGCATTTTGAGCCTTGACGATGATACCAATGTGGTGGAGAGAAAACAAAAGAATAAGCGGAGCCTCCGCATAGGGCACCATGGGCACCATGGGCACCATGGGCATGGATGAACTGGTTGATACTTGCATCAAGCGCGTTACTGTTGTCAGGCAGATGGACTTACCGGGCACACAGAAAGACACTTTTTGATGACGTATCTGCAGTCTACGACGGGGGGGGGGGGTTGAGAGAGGGAAAGAGAGAGTGAGAGAGACAAGAGGTCAGTTCTCAATGTCATGACTGCGCCCAATTGAATCACGGCGCCGGACGGCGGACCACCAAGCTCGACGCGGCGCTCACGGATGCGCAAGCAGAGGGCTCTGTCGAAATTAATGTTTTGTTTTTGCCCGTTGAAGAAGACCTATCATAGAACAAGAACGCCGTGACAATGCTTTGAATGTGAACTAGATTAAATCACGAGCCACCACCGCTCAGTGAGCGAGCGACAGCGAGGTGCGGAGCTCCCCACTTAGGATCATGCGTGAGCCGCCGCCACCTTGCTCGCGTTCTCTGGGGGCGGCGCCGGCAGTGCCGTGCCATCAGCGTTGCCGCCGTTGGCCAGTTCAGGAGCCTGGCGGTAGAGTATTATTTCGGACTGTTTGAAATATCTCCGGGCGTCTGGCAGGATGTGCAAGTAAGTATGGTGATCGTGGACCGGGTGAGACGGGTGGGCTTCCCCTGGCAGGATGGGACTTACCCTCGTCAATGAGTACCAGACTCAAATAGTATCTCGTGGAGAACTTCTTGTTCACGTCGCGGAATGTTGGCGTCAGGTCGAAGCCGCCTAGGAAGAGTCGGATGGGGATGGTCTCTCCTCTTGACGGCGAGCCGTCCATGATCTGCTCCGAGATAACCGCCGGTCAGCATTCCCAGCGCATCAATCGTGCTCCATCCTCGACCTCGTAGGATTGAAAATCTGCGGCGACACTCACCTCGAAGCGCACCAGCGTCTCGCTCTCGTTGTACTGGTTCGGCGCCGCACCGGTCGTCTCCCTCCGGATAATGCTAAGCTCCATGTGCTTGATCTTCAACCGAACCAGCAGGAAGTAGATCCTCCCGACTATGACGTCCTTTAGGTGGTATTTGCTCTTGGAGTACTCGAACTCGATGTGCAGGCAGTCCTCGATGCCGACGTCCATCTTGATGCTACTGTTCATCTCGGGCGGGATGCGGTACGAGTAGACCCAGATGTCCTTCTCGCGGATGACGTCGGCCATGCGCCGGCTGACGGTGACGCGGACAAAGTAGCGCAGCTTGACATTGATGCCGTTGTAGGACTCGTACTGCTTCTCGACGTTCTTGAAGTTGAAGTCGTAGGTCTGGGGGTGCTGGAGCTCGCCGGGCGCAGCGAGCTCTTGGACCAGGGAGAGGAATTCGTAGTGGTTGCCGCGATCGAAGAACATTTCTAAAGCACCAGGATGTCAGCAGGTACGAATTTGGGCCGGAATCGAGCCTAGGAGTGCTCGTGTGGCCATGGGCAGGCGGGCGGCGCACCTATCGTGCCTATGAACTGGACCTTGACGCCGGTATGCTCCAGGCGCTTGCCGTCCTTTGGCCTGACTGTGACGGCGCCCTTGACCGACTCGCCGTCCATGTACAGCGGTGCCTTCTCACGACGGTTCTTGTCCAGCTTCACGTCGACCATTGCGCGCTCGTCGGCATCCTCCAGGACGACGTCGATGTCGACGGGCGTCGCGAAGAAGTACGACATGTTGCCGGCGCCCCGTGAGCTAGGCAGCTTGACTGATGTGGATTGATCTGGCGGGAAAGTATTATATGGCGGGATGGTCCCGGGCTCGTGACGGGGGGCAGTCGGCGCCGAGGATGGTTGCGCTGAGGTCGAGGTGGTGAGAGGTTAGGAGTGGGAGTGGGAGTGAGCGCGGACGTGGTTGCGACTACGTAGCTTACTCCAGGTGCCTCTTGAGCGGACGAGGCGTCACTGCCGGCCAAGCTCCCCGTTGAAGACAACCCACCAGGGTACAGGGGGAGGGAGCTGGGATCTAGACTACAGCAGACAAACGCAACGCATGGACCAGCCAGAACAGGACATCCCCCCACGAGAGAAGCCAACATGTTGTCTGCTGTGTATATAGGACGTATAATCTTTTTGCCATTGACAGCACTTGTGGACTAAGTGACCGAAGGTCTCATGGTCTAGGCACATCAGTCCTGTGAGCCTATATTCTTTGACCCGAGCATCACATGGCCCGACCCCAGGGTTCAATTGTTCTCCAACAGCTCCGTCCGAGGGGTGGACGCAGACATGCATGCTGACTTCGTAGTCCAACGCCCAAATAAAACCAAGCTACCCAAACGCTTCACGACCAAGCCTTACCAAACTGAACCTGATCGAGCTGCGTAAGTTGACTCTCAATCGCTCATAGTTGAATGCCAGTCAATTTTTAGAAACTGGGCATATTAAATATGGTAGCTCCCATGGCTTCGTGTCAATTCAAGGGTGCTGGGGTAGTGTTATCGTTGAGCTGGATTGAGAATAAACATTCGACGCCCATTTAAAGACAAAAGCATTTTCGATGGTCTTCCAGATGTCCCAAGCCCGTGAGACACAGCTTTTACTGGCCCATCAGGACTGAATGAGGTGAAAGTTTGGCGAGGGAGCCGAGGGAGGCGGGTGAGGCAGGCGAACAGCCGATGATCGCTTATCGCTCATCGGGACCAGCGAAAGTCGCGCCAAGTGGGTCCACCCCAACGGCGTAAAGTAATTCCAAGCTCCGGACAAATCCAGCAGGCGCACGAATTTCGCTTGGGCCAGTGGGTGATTCTCAAAAGTTGCAGTCGGAGAGCGAACCTCGCGGCCCTTTGAAGATACCCTCATCGACAACCCATCTCGCCACACCCCCCCCGAACCGACCGGCAAGATGAAGTACATTCATTCCGAGGAGACCCTGGAGATCCCAGAGGGAGGTACGATTAACCTTTCGCACGCCTGAATTCCAGCCCAAAGCGAGCCAAGCCGGGCCGTCAATTGCCAGTCAAGAGGAGGACAAACGACAAATCACGACGCCGGAGGAGCGGTCCCACGGAGACAGACATGCAGATATTTATGCCCTGCCGAATCCATCGAGACGCGACCACCATGGCCTTCTTTTCTCACCGGCCGGAACCACACAGGGATGCGACAAGTTGGGGCTCCTTTTCTGGCGATTGACGGGCAACGGCTGGCACTTGCTAGGCAAACATACAACGAGCATGGGTTTTTGCATCAAATACTGACGAGGTTTTTGTCCCCACAAACAGTCAAGGTCCAGATCAAGGCCCGACAGGTCACTGTCGAGGGACCTCGGGGCAAGCTGGTCAAGGACCTGTCCCACATCGCCGTCAGCTTCTCGACGCCCAAGAAGAACGTCATCGCCATCCACATCCACCATGGTGTCCGCAAGAACGTCGCCGCCCTCCGAACCGTCCGCACCATCATCAACAACCTGATCGTCGGCGTCACGAAAGGCTTCAAGTACAAGATGCGATACGTCTACGCCCATTTCCCCATCAACGTCAACTTGGACAAGAACTCGGACGGTGTCTACGAGGTTGAGATCCGGTATGTTGAGAACCAGACGCCACTGGGATGATCAGAGGGAGGAAGGGTCAAAATGTCACGGGCGGTCCGGTATAAAATGGGAGCACGGAGGCTGATTATCTTGGTTGAACAGAAACTTCATCGGCGAGAAGCTCGTTCGCAGAGTCATCATGCAGTCCGGTGTCGATGTCGAGATCTCCAAGGCCCAGAAGGACGAGCTGGTCCTGTCCGGCAACTCCCTCGAGGCTGTCTCCCAGTCCGCCGCAGACATCCAGCAGATCTGCCGGGTGCGAAACAAGGATATCCGAAAGGTAAGATAATTTCCCATAGCCTAGCGCGGCGTTAATGGCAGTGGAATCCGGGGGGCAGGATGAGAACTAACGGCATGACAGTTCCTTGACGGTATGTACGTCTCGGAGAAGGGCAACGTCGTCGAGGATGCGGCGTAAATGGAGACCAGGGTCCTCGGTCTCGGTTTCTTTGTGCTTTTCTGGGTTCACGGAGTGGCAAGGGGTTCATCAATTTTGGGACATATGCATGTCAAGTAGCATGACGCTACGGAATCAAAAAGAATCGGAAATTTGACGAATCGATGCCTTCTTCCTGGCCAGAACGATGGCGACCAAACGACTACACATACTTCTGAGTGGCACGTGACAGCATCGAGTGGGGAGGTTGGAATACTTCCAGAAACGGTGTGAGATCCTCGCTCTCGGTGCTTCCCATCGATAATGAAGCCGCGAGCAATACTAGAAAATGCATGATACCTCACCGATGAAGGCCCGGGGCCACTGACGAGCACGTCACGGGGATGTGACTCAATATTCCGCCAGGCTGGCTGTATCCAAGGGACTGACTGTTCTTGCTCTGGACGCTGGCAACCTCGCTCAAAGGCGACTGAGCATTGCTAGATTGGTTGGCACCGCCAAGTGACACTGGAAGACGGCGACAGACATTGCTTCTGAACGGAGAGGAGAAGCCATTCTGATGACTATCACATGGGGCAAGCCCGAGCGCGTATGAATGTTGAGCGTACACGCTGAGCACGTAGACCACCAGCTGGGTATCGGCGCTGCTGCGTGGGCCCAGACCGACCCGTTCTTACGGGCGTTCGGCCCTCCACAGGGCGGAGCATTCGATCCTGGCGGAGCACCGACCTGTGCGATTGACTCCAAGAGGCTGCGCTGGGCCGTATCGTGTCCACCTCCTCGTACACGCCCATGTAGATCCGATGAAACGGGCGCAGCAGGCATCTGCAGTCTTTGATAGCACACTTAGTTGGTGCTGAGCCGAACGAAGAAGGATTGCAATATGCATGCTACTTCGTGAGAAGCCAATGGGGAATCTCTTCTTTTTTTCATTCCACATGTCTGCCTTACTGTCTGACGGACACGGGGAATGATAACCACATCGGGAGTATTCATATTTTATTCCTGCTAAGGTGCACGTTCCATCGTCATACTAGACATGTCATCAAATCCAAGGGCGTCATCTGCAGAGTTATTGACCACACATAGTTAAGCCATTCACACGCTGAACTCAAAGGAAGAACGTCAAGGATGCAATTATTGCAGATGGAGGACGAGTGTTGCGCTGCGCGACTTGAATGTTGATTATGCTGGTACCGTCTCGATATATGGTGATATCGGCTCGTGGGAGACGAATGATAACACGAGCTTTCAAGCACTTTAGAGACACATGAGAATCTCAGCAACTGCTCTGAGGTGTTGACAGCATCGTCAGATGGGTTGAGCTTGCAAAGTGAGGCCACACCGTTATGGGCTCCAAGCCTGGGTCCATCAAGCGGTGCCAGCTGGGAAACGGCCCGGCAGGCTTTGCTCAGTTCTAGCTTGTTAAGGTTAAGGCCAGGCCCACTTTCTAAGGTTTGCCGAGTGAGGTCAGGCTAGCCCCGGTCACCCGAGGTCATTGCCCAGTCAGCGGGGAGGGGGAGCAGCTCTCCTTGTTGGTGGGAAAGCAAACACAAGCACAAAATACCTACCTACCTACCACGCCTACCTACTGCGTACCAGGGCGTGCATGTGCAGCTTGGGACGGAGCGAACCACTGCTTCCACAGGTGGGATCGAGGCTTCATAGCTTGCAGGTTGGCCGCTCCGTACCCTGCAGCCGTGCAGGGCCCGGCATTGGATGATTCCAAGGCTGGCCAGCCAGTGACGGACAACTCAGAGGGATGGGATGGCAATTGAGCCTGATGATCGGGCGGGGAGGGGTCATTTGTTGTTAGACGGATGGATACCCGAGGACGGGACGTACCTTGCAGTGGACAACTCTGGGTAGACTGTGACGGCCAGGACATGACGACCAGGTGTTGTCACTTAGCCAGCTGATACAGAGAAATGGATACTGGTGATTGCTGATGACGAGCTGGTCCCTTCCTGATTGTGTAGTGCAGTGCCGTGTTGACGGGGCCCTGGTGACGAAAGAGGCATCTGTTTGGAAAATGGGTGAGGTTGGGGACTGGGGCCGAGGTGGCTGGTAAACAACCTCGCATCCCACTTTGGCTAACACCCAAGCTCGACATCCCACACCCTCAAGGACCCCCGGTATTTCACTATTTCGCTCACTGCTGCTGCTTATTATTCAGAATCCCTACGGACGGCGTTTTAAGTGAGGCACGGAGTAGATGCCCTGCATTTTGCCAGCCATCCAAATAAAAAAAATCCAGGCCTCAGAAACACCATCTGCACTACTGGCTCCTGTCACACCTCACATGCTTTTCTCGCCCTTCTCCTCTTCCTCTCGCATTCCAATTCTTTACACTCACACTTACACTGCATTGCATTCCTCTCCTCACTCCCACTCTGGCCTCATACTCTATCGCGATTAAGGTTTCTTCCTTAGATCGCAGGCTGTGCGGAGGAAAGCATAGGCGACCCTTACTTACGTCAAGCACCGTCCGTGAGCAGCACCCAACATCAACATCAGACGGCTCAAGTCGGCCCAGCTTTGACTCGTCGTACCACACTCTTCGCTTTGCGACAAGCTCATTCCAGCCCCGACCTCGTTCTCTCCTCGTGGCATCAAGACACGGCACGGGTCGAAGCTTCTCCTCCACAGCACTGGCCAGCTTCAACTTCATTCCTGGGCCCCAACACCCTCTGTCGGCTGCACCTGAGCTGAGGCGGCGGAAGCAGAAGGTGTGTGAGGTGCCAGCACCAAGGAGGGGGTGCTCGTCTGCAGCTCCTCTTTTCTGTCAGCCAGCTCGACAGCAACAGCGACAGCAACAGCGACAGCTTTCGATCAACACCATGGTTTCCTCGGCTGATCAGCGGCCCCGCCCGCTGCCCTCCATCACATCATTACAAAAGCTGCTCCTGTGCCTGAGCGCATCATTACAGCTTGCACATGCCGGCCCCTACCCAAAAGATGACCTGCACGATGTCCTGGGCGCCGGCTTCTTGGTCGACCGCAGCTGCGCAACCTACTGCGGAGTCGACAACCAGTACTGTTGCGCTCAAGGGCAGGCCTGCACCACCAATGCAGGCATCGCAGGATGTACCGATACTGCCCTCGGCGGTGGCTTTGGTATTTATACCACAACGTGGACCGAGACGGACACGTACACCAGCACCATCTCGAGTTACTACCCTGCAACCACCGGCGACAACGGTGCCGATTGTGTGCCTCCAGCAGGCTCAGGCCAGATTGCATGTGGCCCAATCTGCTGCGCGAGCTGGCAGTACTGCGCCTCTAACGGCCAATGCGGTGGGGGACCTGGCCCCGGTGCCGGTGCGACAACTACTGAGGCCGCGGGCGGTGGTGGCGGCGGCATGATTACGTCCACCATCACCACCAGTGGGACCACCATCACTACCCAGTACAGCGCGCCATACAGAGTGACCAGCGGCACCACTGGGACCGGCACGACCACCTCCACAGGTACATTGGAGAGCGCGACGGCCACGGGAAGCGGCAACGGGACCGCCGTGACTACCGGTGGAAATGGCCTGAGCGGCGGTGCTATCGCCGGCATCGTCATCGGCGTCATTGCCGGAGTCGTCCTGCTGCTCGCCATTTGCGCCTGCTGTATCATGCGCGGCCTGTGGCACGGCCTGCTGGCCATCTTCGGGCTCGGCCCCGGGCGGAAGAGGAAGTCTCGCAGCCGTGACCGCGAGACCATCATCGTCGAAGAGGAGCGCTACAGGCGCGGCGGCAGCGCAGCAGCTCACTCCAGACGAGACACACACACCGGCTGGTTTGCGGCACGGCCGCCGCCGAGGTCAGCAGCAGGCAGCCGGCGTGCATCTGGCGTGTCGGAGAAGAAGAGGGAATCGACCAATGCTGGGTGGTGGGGAGCTGGCGCGCTGGGTACGTTGGGCCTGTTGCTAGGCCTTCGACGAGACAAGAAGCGCAAGGAGCAGGCGAAGCGGACGTCACGGGCGAGAAGCGACGTGAGCAGCAGCTACTTCTCGGACTCGTACACGGCCAGCAGCCCCAGTGAGTTCTCTTCAGACTACACTTACTCCAGTGTTTATACGCGTCCTCCGCAATCCCACGCTCCGGTCCAGGCCCATCGGGGCCCTCCTACCGTGTACTCGGCATCGGGTGCCGGTAGGGAGAGGGATGACTATTTCAAATCTAACGTGCCACCCGATTATGCAGGCTCCGCGAGCTCTGGTGGTAGGACACGAGATACACGCCGTAGCCGCCGGACGGAGACCACACGCATCTCGCGTGCTCCGTCCCGGCGGTGATAAAAAGAATAGTGGCCGCCTTCTAGGGCTGCCCCTGTTTTTTCCTTTTCAATAAATAAAAAATCGTGTATCTCCTGTTTCCTTTGTCAACAACCACCAAAAGCGTCCGTCCTCTCCTGCCGAGAGCGACCCGAACCTCTTACCGGAGAGGTACAAGCACAACAAACCCATCAAGAGACCCCCGTGTACACAACATAAGATCAAACACCCAACCCCCCATGAGACACCACATGCCTCCTGGCTACCAGCATCCGCAAAGCTTTGCATGGATACGACCCAGCCCGCTGTCAGGTCAGCGGGCTGGAGTCTTTGGTATATATCACTAATCTTCAAGCCCTTCCCCGTTGTTTGCACCTTTTGCTGGTTGGACTTTTCTTTGATAATACTGCTTGGCGTTTATGGAAGGAACAAGAAGAATAAACGCACCAGGGGATGCTTTTTAGCCCCCCTTTTTCTTCTTCTTGAAGCAGAGGCTGGATGACGAGACATGAGGGCGGGTGGCGGGATGACGAATGACGAGACGAAGGGAAAGGAGTCACGAAGGAATCTGGTGACGAGAGTAGATCACACCGGTCGGGTCGCCGAGTACGGTAATGAAGACGACAAGAGCTTATGGACGATCTGACCAGATGGATGGATGGATGGATGGATGGATGGATGGATGGATATGAGAAGAGATGATATTGTACAATCACCCAACTCGGCACGTTATGAGACGAGACATCTGGATACCCATGCAGTCGATAGATGATGAGGCATGATCTGGAGGGATAATGAATGCATCTGAGCTCAAAGAAAGCTCTGCACAACAAGACCTGACCGTTCAGCGACTGCTTCTGATGTGGATAGAATCCACAGCAGTGATAATAGGTTCTCAGGACAAGTACTGTGTAGGGGTCGTGATTGATGCTGTTGGCCTGGTCCGAGTTCAGGCCCGCAGCCAGCCAGCCAGAAATTGTTAGTACACGCCTGGGCGGCGGCAGAGGAGCCAGAAGGAGCTCCAGCTCTATCTGAGCAGTGCCCGCTGAGCTGGTGCAGTACAGCAGCTGATAGCCCATGTCATTTCGTAATCGTGCTCTGCAGCTCTCGACCTCGACCTCGACCACGACCACGACCACGGCCCTCGCAGTGACGACAACCCGATTCCCGCAGCCACCAGCGAGAGCTTCCCAGCCCATCCTCCTAGCTTCTGACCACACCTCCCTTTTCCTGTTCCACCCCCAACCGACGGCATCGACCATCAAACCAGAAGAAACATGTCGCTGGACCCGCCAACGTATCTCGCCTCGCTGCAGAACAATATCCGCCAACGGCCGATCCCATGGGAGGGCGCAGTGCGGGCTGGCACCCTGACGGAGGACCAATTGGCCGAGATCAAGGCCGTCGAGCGGGCGAAGAAGGAGGCACGCGTACAGACTGTCGAGGGCGATCTCGATGGATACCGGATACTGTTCGTCGGCGAGGAGGGCAAGCCCAGCGTGCTCGAGCTGGCGCGGAAGAGGACAGAGGTCGTGCAGTACATCTTGGTCCTGCTGAGCGACCTTCTCGACAGTACGTTGGACTTATAGGCGTCCATATGCGGCCCTCGCAACGGTCTGGGGATCTTGCAGCTACTGACTGGGTGCTCACAGGCGTCCCCTCTCTGTCGAAAGCGCTCTTCAAGAACGGCGACCCATACAAGCACTTCCTCCCGCTGCTCGCACACTCCTCCAGCTCCGAAGACCCCATACCCCTCCTCACCTCTACTGTCCTGACCAGCCTGATGGCAAGCTCTCGCGACGAGTCCACGGCGACTGTCAAGAAGGCCCTCCCACACCTCTTCAGCTACCTGTCCTCCCTCACCAAGAACTCGGACGCCGGGCTGCAGGACATCGGCGTGCTCGAATACTCCTCCTTGCTGTACGGAAGTGCATCCAGGAAGCAGTTCTGGGCCCAGCGTAGCGAGACTGTCGCCCCGCTGATAGAGATACTACAGAAGGCTTGTGGCGTTTCCAATGGTGATGTGTCTGCCAGCCTGTGGAGTGGCACGACGGGCCTTTCCAGGAGCGCAGAGTCTGAAGGCTCGTTGGGCGGCGGCGTTGGCCTGCAGTTGCTTTACCATGTGCTGCTCGTCCTGTGGCAGCTAAGCTTCGAGGGCGAGGAAGTTGGAGATGAGTTGAACGAGTAAGCAAATACCGCCGGGCAGATATTCCCCTACATGAATATCTGGTGGGCGTTGGTGCTGACACTTTCACAGCGAGTATGACATCGTCCTCCTCTACACACAGCTCCTTCGTCTCTCCCCCAAGGAGAAGACGACCCGCCTCCTCGTCTCCACGCTCTACAACCTCCTGCGCACCAACCAAAAGACCCTCCTCCCGCAGGCGGTGCTGGTGCGCCTGCCCGCGCTGTTGCAGAACCTCAGCACGCGCCACCTGACGGACCCAGACCTGCAGGAGGAGCTGGCGGCGCTGAAGGAGATGCTGGAGGAGTACACCAAGACCAAGACGACGTTCGACGAGTACGTGGCCGAGGTGCAGTCGGGCCACCTGCGGTGGTCGCCGCCGCACAAGAGCACGGTATTCTGGGCGGAGAACGCGCGCAAGATCATCGACTACGAGAACGGCGAGCTGCTGAAGAAGCTGGCCGAGGTCATGACCAAGCCGTGGGACAACGACAAGGCTGTGCTGGCCATCGCCTGCAACGACGTCGGCAGCCTTGTCCGCGAGGTGCCCGAGCGGCGCGGAACGCTGGAGAAGCTCGGCCTCAAGACGAGGGTCATGCAGCTCATGGGCGAGGCCGACGAGAACGTGAGGTGGGAGAGCCTCAGGGCGCTGGGCGGCTGGCTCAAGTATAGCTTCGAGAACAACGACAAATAAAGTGTGGCTTCTAGCTGTAGTTGCGGCGGCAGGGCGGTAGGCCGGGAATGGGTAGCATATGAGAAACGGTACGAAGCATTGCATTTGTATTCTGATGTTCTGTTCCTTTTCCTCCTGTGTTCAAGACATTTGGGTACATGACTGGCCCGACTGGCCAAGACCATTGCATCCGTCTCATGTGTCATTTGTGCTAGTGCTCGCCAACCAGGTACGTCGGGATTTCTTGAGCGGACATATGTCCGTTCTAAAGAGTATAAAGCCTGATATATGGCTTACTAGGCGTTCTCATGAGACACACTCGGCCCAGTGAAAGACCAGAACTCAACAGCAAAACTCGTTCTTTTACAAATGACAACACTGCCTATATCAGAGCACTCGTGGGCTGCGTTGCCTGACCTGCTCTTGATGAGGTTTATATTACCAGGCGGGAAAACAAAGAGACAAGCCAATTGTAATGTTTCCCCAAAGACGGTGTTGGCTGTACGCGTCTAGATGGGAGCTTCCATCACATATATCGTGCCGGTCTCTGATGTCCTCGTGCAACGTGGAGGCGAGCATGGCTGGTTATACGTGGAAAACTCAGTACCAGTATGTGATGGTTTCACATGTAAATACCGAACCTCTTTGTCTCAACTTCTGGCCTTGAGTATACATTCTATATCTGTTAGTTATTGTGGGCTGCGATGCACCGCTCAAGAAGTGAATGAGTAGAACGTATACCGGAATGTGTACAGAGAGTGTATTGTTACTCTGCACATTTATCTCCTCGTCAATGGAACAAGTGAATCCGTTTCTTTAGTGCGTATAAATGTTCCACTAGTCACATCAGACCACAATACTATCTATACAAGTCGTCGCCAACACAATAGTTGGAAGCAGCGAATAATGCCGAGTTGGACATCTGCGTCTTGACGAAAATGAGACCGGTGAGGCATGGTCGCCAGCCCGGGTAAGCAGCGGTTCTCCACGAGAATGTTGTCTTTTTACTAACTTCCTGATTACGTTTCCAATCTGTCAACATTACAATAGAACAGGTTGGTGTTAGGGACGTGATTTCAGTTAAATGGATAGATAGTCCGGAGGCAAGTTGAGACAGAAGCAGGCGGCTCAAGCGAATGCCCTTCTTAATTGTTTTGATCATAATTTTGAATGCCTATCGCGGACAGGCGACCATACCCACACGACCTTTTGTTGAATGCTGTTGATATCCATTGCCGCCTTTTGTCGCTCCTTCCATCGTTGTTGAAGTTATGCAATAACGCTACAAGAATTCCCTCTTATGCGGGAGCGGTGTCTTTCCAATACTTTGACTCCACAAATGGCATCTTGGTCACCGTGGCCTTACGGTTCCGCCCTCTCACAACAACATCGACCTCTGTGCCCGACTTGTGGAATCCGTTCTTGATGTAACCCATGGCAATGTTCTTGCCCAGCGTCGGGCTCGGGCAGCCACTGGTGACCTTGCCAATCTTCTCGCCCTCCCTGCTCACGACCTCGACGCCTTCTCTTGCGGGCGCCCCCTCGACTATGAAGCCGACACGCCTCCTCTCGACACCCAAGCCGCCTTTGCTCTTGAGGACGCTGCTTGGAGATGAGGTTGGCGCCGTGGTACCCGGCGTCCGCGCCCCTCCGCTCCTTGGGGATAATCCAGCTCAGACCGCCCTCGACGGGGGTGGTGGTGTCATTCAGGTCGTGGCCGTACAGGCACATGCCCGCCTCCAGCCTCAGGCTGTCCCTCGCGCCCAGGCCCGCGAACTGGAGCTTCTCCGGGCCGACAGCCAGCAGCGCCTCCGTCACGGCCACGGTCTCCTCGGCGGAAGGGACCGAGATCTCGAAGCCGTCCTCGCCGGTGTAGCCCCCGCGGCTGATCAGCACCGGGCTGGACACGTCCATGCCGAGCAGCTTGATCTTGGCCGAGGTGCACGAGCCGAAGTACAGCTTCGTCAAGCCCACGGCCTCGGGGTCGACGAGCACGGACTCCAGGATTTCGGCGCTCAGGGGGGCCCTGAAGGGCGATGAGCCCCTTCTCGTCCTGCTTCTCGTGCTTGACCTGGCCGCCGAAGGTGGCGAGCTGCCCGGCCAGGTAGGCGTCGTCCTTCTCGCGGCAGGCGGCATTGGTGACGACGTAGAACCTGTCATCAGCAAGCTTCGTGATGATGGTGTCGTCGACGATGCCGCCCGTCTCGGGGTGCAGGAGGGCGGACAGGGTGCTCTTGTTCACGGGCAGGGTCTCGAGGTTGGAGGGCGTGACCTTTTGCAGGAAGGCGGCGGCGTCCGGGCCGCTGAAGATGCGCTGCACCATGTGCGAGACGTCGAAGAGCGAGGCGTGGGTGCGGGTGAACTTGTGTGACTCGGAGACGGAGAGGCCTGAGTACTGCACGGGCATCTGGAAGCCGCCGAAGGGGACCATCTTTGCGCCATGGGCGAGGTGAAGATCGTACAGGGCGGTCTTCTGCAGAGGGGCCTCAGACGAGTAGCTCCTGCTGCTTTGCTTGTTGGCTGCGAGCAGTGGTGCCCTCAGTGAGCCAGCCCTCAGTGGTGAGGGCGGGGATGAGGACGAGGACGAGCATGAGGACAGGGCGCGGCACGACACGGCGAGTGAGCTGCCAACGCCAGCCTTGGCCCGGAGGCCGGTTTGGGGCCTCACAAGTGATTTTATTCTCCTCATGCTGTCTAATTGGTGTGCTTGCAGCCTCAGGGAAAGGAAAGAAAGGAAGAAGGACGGAGACTCATCCCAAGTCCTCCTTGTCCCCGAGACTCGTGTACTGCCGGCTATCACAGGCATGTCGTCCCGGTGTTGTTATTATTAGTCAGGGCAACTCGGCGTCCCGCTGCCGATAGCGGCGATTGAGTGCCGTCAGCTAGTCAGTCGCCCCCGTCCAAGTGTAAGCGGGAGACAAGTTCCAATTATGAGGCACCACTCCTAACCCTGAGTCTGCCGTCAACCCCCAAACTCATCGCTCGTCAGACCCTAGACCCTACACCATGACAGCATCTCGACCACGGCCATCTGGTCCTCGAGCCCTGCATCTTCAGTGCCTTCAACTTGCTTCATGCCTAGGCATCTCCTGACTGCCTTCACCACCTGCCCCCCAGCCTGGTGCTCCAGATCATCCACGGCTCCCTGCTTCCCCATGAGCTCGTCTAGCGATGGCACCTCAGTCACGCCGTTTGTGTTTTCTGCCTGCTCCAGCCTGCCTCCAAATCCCTGGTCCGTGTGCTCGGAATGCAGGTCTGCGAGGGATTTCCATGCCATGAGCTCCACAATGAGACATCCCAGCGCATACATGTCGAACCTCTTCTGGTAGGTCTGTCGACCCGCCCCGCGGGCTTGCGGGTGACGGTACAGCTCTGATCTCAGGCTCGACTCGGGCAGCTGCGTGAACGCTTTGGCTGCATCCTGAGTGTCCGGCCGGGCATAGTCGTACCCAACTATGTATGGCGTCGTCTGCAAGATCTCCTCGCGCTTTGCCCCCTGCTTGGCCAGGAACACGACGTTGGTCGGTCGCAGCGACTTGTGCATCCAACCCGCCGTGTGCAGCTGCAGCACCGCCTCTGCAACGCTGCGGCTGACCTCAAGTCGTCTGGCGAGTGAGATTCTTCGTGTCGTCTTCACCAGCTCATCCAGCCCTGTCACTTGCAAGTCTACTGCATCCGTTGGCAACACGAACACAAGACCGTACCGTCCTTTCTCCTTCACCGAGACCAGTCCCAAGCAGGGGAGCGAGTGGAAGGACTCGTGGACCAGGGACATGAGAAGAACAGTCAAGGCCTTCATTTGCTGCTCAAACCTCGACCACTCCGGGCCCTCCGCAATCTTCCACTGCACAAGGACTGGCGCATCCTGGTACAGACCAAGCTCGATCCCGGTCTCGTGCAACTCGCCTCCGGCTCTGGGTCGAAGATACCGGTGCTTCAGCCTCCGAAGTTTCGGCATGAAGCTTGGTGCCTTTCTAAACGACGGTGTCTCCTCATCTTCGCGTTTGTCTGCGCCAACGACCAGTCTGACCTGCTTCACGTAAGCTGCAGCTTTTATCGCTTCCTCGCCAATGGTGTCTTCCGACTCCAACAAGCTCTTCGATTTGCTCCGCCTCCGTGGTGCTCGGGATGAAAGAGACAAGCCCGCGAAGGAGCTTTTCCATGTCGTCTCTGTCACTCTCCCGTTCCGCATGATCAAGGAGCATATCCAAGTTGTCGACTAGGTTCTTGATCTCGTCCAGATACTGCTTCAATTTGGTCATGTCGCGCGTTGCCCATCGCAGCCTTTTGACTGTAGAGTTGCTTTCTTGGATGATTTTCCCTGCCGCTGTCTGAATGGTCGGCCGCAGGCGAGCGATGAGCTCCGCAATTCCTTGTTTTGGTGATTCCGCACTGCAAAGCTTTTCAGCCGTTTCCAACGTCTCTTCGGACACTTCCAGGTGGTAACGGGTCTTGAGCTTCTCAGCAGACGTCAACATCACCAGCAATTGGTCCAGCACGAGCCTGGCATACTGCCAATTGACCGCAGGTCTCTCCGTTTTCCCTAATCCAGATCGCTCTGCCCATTTGATCAGACGGTACTTCTGTATTTCCAACCCAGTCCTCAAAAGGTCGCCGTCCGAGCCGATATTCTGCGTCGTCTCGAAGAACTCGAAGGCCTGCACACAACCCTGAAATGATTGGAGGGCAAAAGCAATGAAGCTGACGCCGGCTGCTGCGACCTCGAGACCCGCCATCATACACCTTACTCTTTTGATGTGAACAAAGACACCTATTGTTCGCCTTTCTTGATCTTTTATGGCCGACGCTGGGAAACGAGGTGGCTGGACAGCTGCTGCCAATGCGGGCGGAGACGCACGTTATCCGTGTGACATCTCCTGCATCAGCCGCTCATGTTCGCATGGCACCAAACAGAGCCCAGTCCAGAAACGGATACCTGCAGCTTGCATCAACCAGCAGTGGTGAGATTTGATCCACAGCCTTACGAGGGGTCATAGTCTCCAAGCTGAAGGCCACAGGTGCCATCAGGTACTTCTACGGCTCAATCTACAACTCCAAAGTATCGATGCCAGCTCTTAACTGAACCCATGGGCAGCTGCTGGTCTCTCTCATTGCGCTTGACATCCATAGTTGAGTGCTGATCGTTCGCAGTAGGAGCCGCCACCATGTCGCTTCTCTCATGGTTCCACCCGTTGCCTCTGCCCCGGGCCAGACGGGCGCCAGCATCTTCTGTGGTGACAGACGACGACATCGAAGCCAATCTTCAGATGCTCTGCACCCCGACTCTGTCGGGAACCCCTGGAAAAAGTACCGATCAAATTTCACATCGAAACATCCAGAGTCTGCAGACACTGCTGGCGTTTCTGGATGCAAAAGCAGAACGTGAAGGCTCACTTCTCTGGAGCTTCACACCCAGGACATATGGCATTCTCCGGAGCATCGGCGCACTCGAGTTCATGGACGAATTTAGGGCGAAAAGTTTCAACGACTTCTATCTGCCGTACAATGAGCGGACTTTGCCGGACTTCCTGCAACAGAAAGACGGAAGGGACCTAAGACAGGCATTCCTAGACGCGCAAAGCTATTTCCTGACCAATACAAAACTCGTTGAAACGGACGGCACTTCAACGCACTTCGATGCCGAGAATGGTGACAATATTTTCCAGCCCATCAGGTCCCTGGGCCAGGGGAGCTTTGGGTAAGTTCAACAATTTAAGCCTTTGATCGGGCCCCTCGCGGTGTGGGGGGTCACTTCATGATCATTATTTGAGCGTCACTGATGAAAGTCAGCGGTGTAGATCTCGTATACAGCCGGTTGAGTCTGAGGCACTACGCTCGTAAGAGGGTCCTTCGAGGTCGCGACTCTGAGAGGAGCCGCGAGGCTCAGCGCACCCTGATTGGCGAGCTGAGGCACTTGAAGCAACTAAGCCATCGCCACCTAGTCAAGATCATTGCAAGCTACACAGATCTAGAGTACATATCGTACATCATGGAGCCAGTGGCAGAATTGGATCTGGAACGTCTCCTAGCGATGCCAGGGGCTATTACACCCGAATATCAAAGCGTGCTCCGAAGATTCTTTGGCTGTCTCGCTGGGGCTGTCAACTATCTCCATCAGAGCAAGATCAGACATAGGGACATCACTGCGCGGAATATCTTGATCTACCGTGAAGAGGTTTACATCAGTGATTTCGGCTCGGCCTACGACTGGTCGAACCGCTCTGTCAGTGCCACAAGGCATCATCATATACCAGTCAGTCCGGATTACCAAGCGCCGGAGATTGCGAAAAGAGAAGAGCGCGACTCCAAAAGCGACATGTTCTCATTGGGAGTGGTTTTCCTGGAGATGACGACAAAGTTGCTCGGTCGTTCAACAGCTGAACTCAAGCGTGTAATCGCGGGTAATGCAAGAAAACACAACTCCGACCAGCCTTATGTCTACGCCAACCTTTCTGTAGTCCTCACCTGGCTGGATGAATTGACGAAGGGAAACACTGTTGAGCACGACAACGAGCCACTCGTCTGGGTGAGGGATCTGCTTCAGGAGAAGCCACGCAATCGACCATCCGCGAAGGGCCTCATGAAAGACATACTGGAGTCGCCATCATTCCGCAGCTTTTGCTGCTTCAAGTGTCAAGGGGATTTCGAAGAGCGAGCTTTTGAATACGATGCGGCGCTGCAACGTGACGAGCTTCTCGAGGACTCCACGGCCACTAAAAGGACCGTGGCAAACTTGTTCGGTGAGGAAGCATCGTCATCAGCGAATGGCGTGTCTGCACAGAAAAGTGATTCTGTCGAACAATGGCTCGGCGTTACGAGGCTCGATAGGGGTGATGAAGTCGCCATGCCTGGAGCTTTTCCTGATGTTCAGGATGTGTATGTTGGCAGCGGGCGAGGCGTCGATGATAACAACAGCCTTCTCTCTGCTACCCACGCACAGAATTGGTACCTCAGTCCTGAACTTCATGAAGGTGACCAATGGTATACCCAGAGCATCTTGGCCACCGAGCCTGACGAACTTGCCACTCAATCCTACCACAACATTACGTCGCCAGCGGGATATTCGGAATCTGCAGCTGTTGACCCGGCGGTCTCTGATCATGAGAGAAACCTCCGCGACACGGGCCTAGGGTTTATGGAGTATGGAAGTAGTGACTCGGACGAGGATGCAGAGCACCAGATGTTCGAGGAGTACTCAGACTCATCAGACACGAGTTCCGAAAGCGAATCCGCCTCCGACACTCATCTGGCATCAGGAATTCAGTCAACTATCAAGGAGCTCGGCATCATTGTGGAAGTCGACGAGATCCAGTCTGAAGACGGCGCCTCAGAGGAAGACGACAACAATGACCACCGATACGAGGAAGTTTCCGATGATTCCACCATCGATGGGGAGACACAAAATCTGGGTGAACATCTCCAAAGTAACAAGTCTGAGCCGGTGGACATTTCATTGGACTCTTCCTATCTCACAGCCCAGGCTCTAAGTGATTTGCGGCTGCCGTTTCCCGTTGTCGCTGGATACCTCGAGAGTCAATGCGCCGACATGAACCTAGAGGAGTCGGCCACCAAAGGACCGAAGGCAGTCACTTGTGAAGACGATCCGGAAGATGCAATGTCTGATGGTCTTCGAAATCCAGATCACTCAACACTGGATTTGGGAGGGTCGGTATTGATTGAATGGCCCACCGAACAGGGTACCGATCAACAAGGAACGTCTGCTCCAGATGAATCATATAAATCGCCAAAGCACCTCGGGACCATCCTCGAGAGATCTGCAGAAAATGCTTCTCAGTCAAGTGAGAACGAGGGCGGCATCGCGTCGCCGTCGTCGATGACCGCACAAGTCATACCTGGTGAGAGCCAAATAGAATATGGGAGCGCATTGATTCTAAGTGAGGAGAACACGCTGGATCTGCCATCAGGCCCTGGAGTATCGGAAGTTCATGGAATCTATACCAATATCGGCTCAATTTCTGAAGAGACTGAGCGGACAGTGCGCTTTGCGCTTCCCCCTCCAGCAACACCGCAGACAACCGAGTCAACGTTGAGCCTGTCTGAACTTGCTACCGAAGTACCCTTCCCAAAGTGCAGCTTGTTACCGATGAGTGATGATTTGGAGTACATTTCTCCGAACTATATTATTGCAAATCAAACACAGCAGCTCGAGCAGGTGCCGACAACTGATCAAAAGTTGCGACGGCCACTATTGGGTAACGCAGCCACAAAAAGAGTGATCAAAACACACAAGGGGCCTTCAGCCCGTTTGAACCGGAAGAAATTTCCTGCAAAGACTCCAAAGGATGGCACGAGGGAATCGGAGCTCACTGCGTATGAGTCACATCCACCAGCAGAGCAAAAGGAACCCCGCGACCGTGTCTCCATTCCAGCAGACCACACTACTCATAATCTCCCTGGGAGGAGTGATGAAAACACCGAAGTACGAGCTTTACCAGGGTCTCGTACGTTCTTTGAGACCAATGTCAGAGGGGTTTTCTCGCGAGAACTTCTGCCACCGCCAGTGGTGCCGCAAAAACAAAAAGCTCGCAAGGCGCTTCTTTCCAAGGCAAATCTGCGTGCACTGGAGGCTGGCAACGCAACTGGGGAGGTTCATAATGGCCAACTGACACGATCAACACCTGTTCCACGTCTTGCACTAACAGCAGCGAACGTGAAGGCTCTTTCTGATGCTAAGAGCCGTCCTTCTCCCGCTTGGAACATATCTACCACACAAGTGCAGATAAGTGCAGCAGACGCACTTCTCATACAATCAGATCCACCAGATTCCAATGAGACAAGGCAAAGCTCTGGTCAGACGAGGTCGTCGGCCTCGAGGAGCCCTCGCGAGCGGACAGCACTTCCGGCGATCAATGCCAAATCGCTCATGAAGACAGCCTGGGACTCGGCCTCGGCGGGTGCGCCAACTTCTGTCATGTCTGAAGCTACGAAAGCGAAGTTCTCACGCATACTTGTCCCGTTTGACCAGTTCGATAGGATGCACAACCTGCTGAGAGATTACTGCAAGCGAGGCAAGGCCAGCGCCGTCAAATTTCTCTTGCAGAAGGGGTGTAACCCTGGCACGAAGAAGCACCCACGTGGTGCGCCACTTCTTGCAGCGGTCCAAGGGGCGAGCGAAAGACACAACAAGTGTGCTCGAGAGCTCATTAAACATGATGTCAACGTGAATGTGAAGAGCAAGAAGTCGGGCAAATCAGCATTGCATCTGGCTGTCGAGAACGATGAATTCCAGGGCTACGTCAGGCTCGTTTGGCTGTTGGTAAATGCTGGGGCTGAAACGAACATGCCTGATGAGAATGGCGACTTCCCACTGACGAAGGTCTTCTTCGGTGCGGGATCTCTTCCGCTTGAGAAGCATCGTCTTGAGGCCTTGGCTGTGCTTCTCCAGGGCGGAGCTGAGCCGAACCTACATGCCTCCGGTACAGGAAACACTCCTCTACACTTGGCTGTACGAAGGCAGGACAAGTGGGCCGTTGCCATGCTTCTACACAAAGGGGCCGACGTCAACGCGAAGAACTCCTCCGGGGCGACTCCTCTGCAGATGACAGCAAACCAGTTCCGCGGTGACCTGGGCCATGACCACGCTCAAGTCCTGGATCTCTTGTTACAGGCTAAAGCGTTGATCGACGAGAGAGCCGGCGCACTGAGCCGAACAGCCCTTCACTTAGCAGTCACCTCGGGGACTGCACACGCGGTGAAGCTTCTCCTCGACTATGGGGCAGACCCGCTGCTTGCCGACAAGAATGGCGACACCGCCATCATGCTCGCCATCAAGGGAGCAGCCAAGATGACGGCTGACCCGGACAGGATCGAGGACCACGTCGAGGTTATGGACCGGCTGGCGAAGAAGCTTGGTCCCTCGTGGGCACATGCCACTGACTTTCAAGGCATGTGTGCTGTGGAAGCTGCTTGCTCGGGCGACCACATGGATCTCTTGCGGACCCTCCTTGCCGAAGGCGACCTCGATCCGCGCTCCAAGTTCCGCGATGGGACTGTTCTAGACTTTGCCCGGAAGAATGGGACGCCGGGGGTGCAGGAGGTGATTGAGCGATACGTGAAGTGAGTATCGACGATGAGAAACAAGAACCTAAAGCCACGGGCGGAACCTGTTGACAACTGGACGTGGCGCGCTTTCTCCAAACATTGTCGTGAAGCCATTTCAAGACGGCACAGTGACGCTGCAGTCAATAGAGCTGCTCTGCGATAGCTGGGCATGACAACGCCGAGGCAGCACAAATCTTTTCTTGAAGTGTTAAGAGCTTTAGCTGGCAAAGGAGAAGAGTTGGATCAATCACGGCCAGCTCGGGGAAGTCCCCGATATTCTTGAGGCAGTAGCAGGAACCTACACTGGAATTGGCTGTCTCAATTCCATTGGACTGGTCTTTTAACATGGCAACGATGGAGACCTTGAGACAGCATGCGGTGACGGGATCAGGGCAATGGCTACGCAGAGTCTAGAATCGTTCCCACTAGATGGAAGTGAAGCTTCTACAATTTGATACGGAGTGTCAACCATACCCTCTTCTAAGCATCTTCGGCCAGTCTGCCTCACACGAACGTCGGGAGCCCCATGCCGCGCTCTCGGCCCCTCTCTAGAGAACAAGCCCACTCCCCCCATGAATGAATCCACATCCCCTCGAGTCGACTCATCAGCATTGTCCTCGTGAGGCTCCTCAGTGGGGTCCTAGGAGCGCTGACAGGCGGATTTCCGGATTACAAATTCGACCTCTCTCACAATTTCTCACTGCCGGCATCCACCTTCAACTACCTAGCAGCAAGAAGACAGGCACAAGCAGCCCCTGGGCACCAAAAGGGAGTGGCAAGGTACACCTCGCCTCCCAGTCAGTCTCCCCATCGAGTGAGTGCTAAGACACGTCGACGAGTGAGCCGAACGAAGCACCAAGAATAGCCCCAGCAACCAACAAGACCAGCCGTTGCTGGAAGAGAGATTCCTAAGGGTGTAAAATTGGATAATGTCCCGCTCGCGTCTGTCTCAAGCTGTCACCCCAGCCCACGACCCAAGGTGACTTATCGCCGACGAGAGCCGCGATGCTTGCGAGAGCGGACAGGGGAGGAGGGAAGGGGACCGAACGCCGTCTGGGACGAACCCCTCGTTCGGGCGGTGATTCCAGTCGGATAATGAGCGCCACTGCGACACTGATACCGATTATTTCCCCATGCGGTGGTCTTTGTGTGTGAAACTTGATGCCATCATCATTTGCCCGCGAATCCTCCTGCAGGGTTTCCCACGCCAGAGCCCGAGTGTCTTGTCTGTCAAGCACTGCCCCATCCTCCCGTCTCCCCTGCGCGTGCCCGCGGGCAGACCTCAACCACAACCCACGTATCACGTACCACGTCCCACACGTGCTCAGTGCGCCTAGTTGCGCCTACTGGGGAGTTTTTTTATTCTGTTGCCTGGAAGACACAACCCCTCCACCCTCTCCCCCCCCCCCCCCCGGTGTCGCGGCAAATCCTCCGCTCAGGAGCGAACACTCCACAATTCTGGCCAGTGAGCAAGGCGCAAGGACGCCCAGTGTTGCTAATGATGGTGGCGGGCAGCGACAGCTAAGGCTCTCTCGCTCGTGGCCACGCCGGCAGAGACCTTGATCCTGGGCTGCCCTGGCCCAGCAATGGCCGCCTTGTCTTGACGCGGCTGACCGGGTTGGTTGTCTGTCTGTATGCCTGCCTTCCAGGGCAGTCTTCGGGTCTGGGTTGGCTGCGCGAACCCCACGGGCGAATCCGCCTGCCTGGGATCGTGGAGGTGGCGGTCGCGTCAATGGCGGCTGTCTTTGACGCCTGGTGGCAGGGGGGCAGTAGTTCTAATTATGGTCGATTCGTCGGGCAGACAGGTCGGCTCGTGGGTTCATGTATGGCTGTGACGATCGCGATGCGGGCGCGGAGGCACGATGCCTGGATATCTCGTCTCAGGATCTCGACTGCTGCTGGGTCGGTTCGAGCCGCAGGCTACGCTGGGCGGTGCAGGTGAGGCATAATCTCCTGATACAGGCAGGTCAGGCAGGTCAGTAGAGAACATCGGATCACTTGCAGATGCTCCTTACACTGCCTGTATTACCCATGCGTGGGAAATCATGGGCCGATCGCGGCCTTCGAGTGGCGAGCCAGCCCGCGCAGAAGGATCTCGACAACGCACCCGTTTGGGAAGACCATCTCGCCAAATTGGTTATGCATTGTTGATCAACGGTCGGTCGGCATTTCCACGGAGGCAGCCCTCGAGCTCTGGGGGAGCTCCTCACTTGGCGTGAAACAGGAACACCAAGAGAATCTAAGGTTGAGTAGGATCACGCGCTGCAAGGTGGCAGTCTTGCAGCAACAAAGAGCTCAAGAGCAGCTTCTGCATGCAGTAAACGCCTGGCCGCTGTCCAAGAGAGTATGCACTCTGTCCTGAAACAGATCCTGCTCATGCGGGTGGCACTCAACTTGCCTGCACCGCGAATGGTGGCTGCAGATAGCTTCACTCTGGCCCGGGCGAGTGTGGGCCAGATCTGGCCTCATGGCCTGGCTTTCGCGGGCGAGGACAAGGGATAGAGGAGGGGGGGCGTGTGCATTCGAGCGCGGGATGGGATGAGTGTTCTGCCGTCTGCGTCGCCATGTACTCCGTGTGCAGAAACAGTACTGCGGCCGAAGCTCCCGCGCACCTGCCCAGTCACGATGTTCATTCACGGCTGTTCGAGATGGCCAAGCAGGGGCAAGCACAACGCGGCTCGACGACCAGGGGGTGCGGGAGGACCTCAGTGTCTGGTCCTCAAGCCTGATCAGCGACAAATGCCTGGCTGGTCCCTCAGCCAGGATCAAGCACGACGGGAAGCTCGCAGCATATGTGCCGATTTGACAGAGTGTCGGCGGGCAAGGTGGCCGCATGGCGTCGAGGGCGATATCTTCTGTCCCAGACAGTCACACTGAGACAGTGACATCTGACTGAGATGGAAATATGTCGTACCTGGCCATGTTCCATCTTTAGCAACCGATAGATCAAGAAACGGTTTTGGCTGGATGGCAGACTGACTGACTGGGTTAGCCCTCATCAAGTAACGCACGGCAGCCGACCAGAGTAGATTTCATTATCGTATGCTGCAGCCTTCAACCACTGTCACTCGCCAAAGGCAGCAGTGGCCATTGTGCCCGCCAGCATAACAACCATATGGAGGTCGTACAGTAGTACCGTGAGAACAAGTCCCAGGCGCCCATGGGCTCCGGTTCATCCGGCATCAGGCGGCCCCAGTGGTGTCGGGTATCACTGCGGACCTATACCAGAGTGCTACACTACATGCTGATGGGACAACTCATCCCGACTCGCCATCACATATCCAACCATAATTTCTGCGACAGCTGTCCCCTCACGAACTGACTCGCTAGGAAGTGGTCGAAGATCGTGTAATGGAGCTGAGCAATTGGGACCTCACCGCGGAACTTCCGCGGCTACAAAGACACCGAGAGCCCGTTTAGACAACATGGAGAAAGCCGTAGTCTGCATCTATCAAAGCATGCCATGGCATGCCTGTTCTCAGCCCGCCCTGATGGATGCGACGCGATATGAAGGCAAGCCAGCTGTCCTGGAAACTCAAGCCTGAGCTCCTAGGGCGCCCATTGAGCCTTCCCTCGATGGTAATGTGCTCTGTGATGCCTCATCTTGAAGTCAGAACTCGACGCAAACATTGGTAGGAACGGCTTGTGCTGGAACACCACAAAGGGCATCCTTGAAGACATGACAATATTGGAGACGGATTCTACGCTGAACAGCCCAGCAAGTACCGGTGGTGATGTGGCAGAAACCATAGAAGTCATGACAGCAACCAGGTGCCCTCTGAATCATATCGCCTTTCTGGGGAATATGGTGGTCCTTTGGCGAGCTATAGTGGTTCGACATGGAACAGCCAGGTAAGCCCCTCGAACGATATCAGCTGTGCGCTGTGACCTCGAGGCCGCGTCTCGAGCTCCCAACCCGGTCACGGTTTCTTTGTGACCATGATCTACATGTGGTCCGATTGAAGACTAGCAATAGACAAAGGCGAAGTCGCCGAGACAACCGAGTTGATCATCACTGATCATCATGAGTAGGACATGACTGGAAAACACAACGAAAAAAAAAAAAAAAAAAAAAAAAAAGCAAAGACAGATCGGCAGCAGCACCCAGAGACTCGGGCACAAAGGAACGGGCAGCTCATCCACTCGGTGTTCAGCCACTCAGCACGACGCAGGCACAGGGTCCAGCCAGCCAGATGTACTAGGTTCGAAAACGGGCACCTCAGGTGACGATAGCTTCACTTGCCCGAAGACAAAATACTGGGTTGCTCCCTGCGTGCAGGCCATGACTCCGGCTTCGCCAGACATTCTAGCGAGAAGAGTGACGCCCCCCGGAGTGTATTGGGCTTGCCTTGTCGCGAGAAAAGCCTTGTGTCACCTTCCATTCCTGAACGGCGAGGCCGGAACGGGGGGTGGTGTAATATGCTTTGCTGCCTGTGTAACCCCAAAGGACCATGCAGAGAGGGCAAGAAGCAAGAACAATTGCCCAGTGGTCAGCTCTGCCCATGCCCCTTGTGGATTCGAGTGAGCCAGTCGCAGTCAAGTGACAGTGCCAGTGGGTGAAACAACAGCCAGTGCCGGCAGCAGTAGACCATCGAGTCCCGCATTGGTAAGGCTGAAGAGTGCTTACTGTCTCACAGTCCTGTGCAGTGCAAGTTCTGCTTCCCAGAGCACCGGTACTAAACCCCACAGGGGCAACAAGGGAGAACAAGACACAAGCATTGTTCCTGTTAGCCTTACCGCTGCTTGCCTCTGGCCGCGGTGCGGTGTGACGGAATGCACACTTCCCTCCCATCGGTGGCGAGAGGTGGAGGTATGCAAGCCTACAAAGGACCACACACAGTCATCTGAGACATTCTGATGTGTTGCTCACCCGCCTCTCGATCTTGTCCCACCCCAACTGGCAATATCGAGGCCAGCCACGGCAACGGGAGTGGCATCTCATCCGGTTAGCAGCCGAATCGGCCGGTGTCTCTGTCGCCCACCTTCGGCGCCCGGGTCGGACAATTGTTTGTTCTTTTC